ATCATTGGTAACATTGACTTCAGTTCTTGGGCAACTTCACATATGAGCACTTCTGTTATTAATACTACAACACGTAGACCCGTCATAATGACTCTGTAAACAACGGCCATTGCTAGCTAACGGACACGACAGATTCCTAACACGCACCACTGAACTAAGTGGGAAGCGATTTTCTCTATGCGGTCCGTGTAAAACCTGCGTGACGCAACAACAGAACAGATGTTTCTCTGTGTGGTGCGTGTCGAGGAGTTACAAGCAGCACAAGTCTATAGTTAGTTGTAAAAGGCAAAAGCTTTATACGGGTTTGAATACCTCCACCGTGACCCTTAGAGTCGCAGGAGGCGACGAAAAAGGAAATCTCAAATTTGAGACAGTAAAATATGGTCTCGAGGGTCTCGAGTGCCAAGGGGCTTGGACCCGAGAAAGACTGCGCTGGCAAGGCCAGCAGCATATACAAAAGACAGACCCGTCCTCTCGTCAGAGAGGGCCCCCACAAGAACAAGACCGTAACTGTCTGGCAGTAATAAGGATCTGGTCGCAAGCCCCAGATGGGTGCTTTATGCCAAGACAGACTGGCCGACTGACCGTCGGTCGTAACATTGGACTCAAGACTCAGTTAGTTGTAAGACAGCCGCCGCCCAGTAAGGACGCGAACACGGAAGCCGAGGGACTTACAGCGTTGGAAGCCGTTATCGGACAACGACTGGTGAAGACATAGCAAACTGAGAAGACTTAGTACGTGCTGTGGTGAACTGCAGAGTGCGAATTGGCGATAGCGCTAGTTACTTGTAGTTGCAATCTGTAAATGTTGAATAAAGGTCAAGGTAAAGTTGTCCCTGTACTTAACTAATTAAGCACTTGGCCATGAAGGCGTATGGGGGAGTGGACTATAGACCCACGTTTTTTTGACCTCGTCACTAGTTGGAGGTGAGTGGTCAATTTCACGCCCTAGGCGATTTACCCCAGAGGAAAGAGCGCCCGATACCCATCAGAGAGGAGGTTGGGTGGACCCCAGAGCCGATTTGGACGATATGGAGAAGTGAAAATTCTTTACCCTACCGGGACTCGAACTCCGACCGCCTGGTCGTCGAGCCAGTAACCAGTCGCTATACTGGGTCTATTAAATCCAATTAAAAATCCAAAACCTGTCTACACTTACACCCTATCACGTGATAATACATTGCAACATATTTAATTCATTCTAATTAAGTTTGAGACCGCTTTGCATACGGGGCCTAAATGCATTTATGCGTCTACCCTTTGAGCTCTTTCAAACTTTTCCTTTTTTTAATTCGATACGCACCTTCTCCACTATGTGTTTATTACAGCGTGTGATTTTAATTCATTTCCAGTTCGCTGTAAGATCTACGTTAAAGTATAATACAGTCTTTAAAAAGGTTATATGGATCCACAAAATATACAAACTGTATCATGGTTACTAACTATATACATAGGTAAGCCAATAAGTAAGTTACAAATGGATTTAGAACTTAAACAAATGAAGAGTACTGATTTGAAAAATGCTTTTATTTCTCAACATAATCTCCCTGTACATTGAGGCACTTGTCCCATCGTTTCACAAGCCCCTGAAACCCAGCAGCATAAAATTCTTTGGGCTGCTGTCGGAACCAGGCGGTGACTTCCCTTTCTACAGCTTCATCGTCGGGAAAATGTTCAGCCGAAAGATGATGCTTAAGATGATCGAACACATGGAAGTCGCTTGGAGCACGACTCATCACCTGTGACAATTCGGGCTAGCATATCGTGTCCTTCATCGTGGTAGCAATTGAGATGCTGTAATGCCAGACCCATTCTTTGCATTTTGTGTTGTGGGGTCTGCATGCGCGGCACCCATCGTGCACAGACTTCGTGAAAACCTAACCTGTTATTCGTTATGAGGTAGGCCATGCCATGTGAACACGCCTGGTCCCGTCAGCAGCCCAAAGAATTTTATGCTGCTGGTTTTCAGGGGCTTGTGAAACGATGGGATAAGTCAGCCTCAGTGTACAGGGAGATTATGCTGAGAAATAAAAGCATTTTTCAAATCAGTACTCTTATTTGTTTAAGTTCTATATCCATTTGTAACTTACTTATTGACTTACCCTCGTATTTATATATTTAACAGCTGATCACATAGCATCAACTGACAGGATGATCAGTGAATAATGAACAAGAAAGGACATGGAAGGAAACTGAAGTTGAAGAAAGTCGTCTTCTGGGATCTGGCGCCGTGTATTCTTGGGTTTAACCGACGTATCGGAGGAACATATCGCCTCCATCTCAACTACTCTTAAGATGGAGGTGATATGTTCCTCCGAAACGTCGGTTAAAACCAAGAATACACGGCGCCAGATCCCAGAAGANGTTTTCAGGGGCTTGTGAAACGATGGGATAAGTCAGCCTCAGTGTACAGGGAGATTATGCTGAGAAATAAAAGCATTTTTCAAATCAGTACTCTTATTTGTTTAAGTTCTATATCCATTTGTAACTTACTTATTGACTTACCCTCGTATTTATATATTTAACAGCTGATCACATAGCATCAACTGACAGGATGATCAGTGAATAATGAACAAGAAAGGACATGGAAGGAAACTGAAGTTGAAGAAAGTCGTCTTCTGGGATCTGGCGCCGTGTATTCTTGGGTTTAACCGACGTATCGGAGGAACATATCGCCTCCATCTCAACTACCCTGAAGATGGAGGTGATATGTTCCTCCGAAACGTCGGTTAAAACCAAGAATACACGGCGCCAGATCCCAGAAGACGACTTTCTTCATAGTCATCGCCGTGAAAACCTCAAAACTTACGAAACTGAAGTTGCTTAACTGAAGGAACCACCCTGCCTACTAACTTGGGGGAATGAGGAAGCCCACCAAACACCAGTCTTTGAGCTCAGATTTGAGTTCGCGTTCTTCAAACTATAAAGAAGGAGTCTTAACCACTTGTTTGTGACATCAGATTTATGTGTTATAGAAACTGAATAAGAGTCAATCATTTCAAGAAAATCTCTAGTAGTGTAATGCAATCTACTGAAGCCTGTGTCAACACACCTCTTTATTAGAGAATGTTTTGTAAACTGAGTCAATCCAAACTGTACATTTCTTCTTTGCATAATGAGTTAACATGAGATTCATTTTAGTGCGTTATTTTATGCTTCTGTCAGTAGAAAGAACATAAAAGTGTCAAGGGTGAAGGAAAGCTACATACAATCACGTTCTTTTCCATTTAGTATATTCACTTATCACAGGCTACAGAAAATAAAGTCATTACAATCCTGTATAAGTTAACACAGGCTTCACATGGTCAATTTCTTTCCTGTTTTATATAATGAGTTAATACAGGCTACAGACGATCACCTTCCCGCCTTGCAAAATGAGCTAGCATACTCTGCCCACAACCACTTTCTTTCCTGTTTAGTATAATTAAGTAGAAGAGATTAAGCATAATCACTTCCTTTCTTGTTTTGTATATTGAATATTAAGTGAAAGACAAGTAAAAATAATGGTGGACTCTTATACAACGTGAACAGATTCGCAGCAGTACTCTGTAACTACTGTAAGTGACTACTGGCAAACATTTACATATTTAAACCATAACTTTTTTAGATAAGGAAATCAACCTTTGAAGAGATAAGACAACCATGTGGTTCAATGCATATAATATTAATTCAAGATTATATCCTACGAAGAGTGACGGACAGAGCCCTCACTTGTGAATTTGAGTACAGAGACTGTACACAAGCCTTTCAGAGGTATTACACATTTATTTATATGAAAAATAAATAAATTTAAACTGTACCACTGTAAGATTTGTATCAGCAAAAATGAACATTAAGCCTATGATGGGTGTAAAAATGAAAAGAACTCTTGTAATCAAACATATCTGCTTCTCTATATTCATAATCTCAAAATTACAATTCTTTATCACTTGGGTTACAAGTACTGCACCTGATTATGCAATACCATAACATGACATGACATCATCAACTGTGTTACGATAATGAGTTCATGACCTCTGCACTAAACAGAGGTGAATGGTCAGCTTCGTGCTTTACCCATGGAGTAAAGCGCCTGGTACCCATTATATAGGAGGCTGGTTGGGCTCCAGGGGCAGCCTGGACACTGCAAGGCAGAAAAAAATCTCTTGCCACAAGACCCAAACATCCAGCCCATAGTCCACCCTGACACCAACTGAGCTAAGGACAAGTCATAATATAAAACCTTGTAATGCTAAAGCCCACGTTACAACACCTGTCATCTATATTCTAAACTCCCCAGTATATTTAAAATTTTAGAAATAATCACATATTTTATCTTATGTACTAGAGGAACAACAAACTGTGAAACATAATACAGCTAACAAGAAATATATGTGTATTTCATAAACTAACACATACAAATTGTGATCCAAAGGACAAGAAATGAGACAGAACAGGCACTTATTACATAATGATTTTATTTCATGAATTATAAAATACAACAAGAAAAGTACAAAAGTATCCATACAAACACGAACTGGATGTGTAGGAAGTGCATTATACAGACTCCATCAAAACAGATTTAAAGCACAGAAATCTGCTGCATTTCACGCTGATTTCCTTGCACAGATCTACTTAACAGTGTACACACTGGAACTTATGACTGCAGACACAGTGTTTCTTCCATACGTAAGGTAGACCTGAATCTTTGTTCTCTATTACTGAAACTGCTTTCACATCAGAACTGCGAAAGAATAAACATGCTACATAAAGGAAATGACCTGCACCAGCAAACTCAAATCATAAGCAGATCAACACTGTGTTAATTTTCACATCTTCTTATGCTAATGTACACCTTGTGTTTCTTGCCACATCATTTTAATCACCCTTGTAGTCCACAGTTCAGAGGATAAAAGTTAATTTAGGGCACTGAACGAGCACTCGGAGTTTGGATATTGCTGAACTGCCTGTACAGAAAGTAGGCGCACATCCCGCACGATACAACTGCTCCAGTCCTGAAAATATTCATAATGAATTTCTGTACTAACATACTGTAGCATGCAGACCCATTGCTAAATAACGATTCTGTAAACCATGCCCGATGCTAGGTAACAGATGCCTAACAACCAACAACTGAAGAGAAACACAGGAATGCTGTCTTCTTAATAAACGGTTCATAACCTTACAAAGTTTTGGGAACTTTGCCCTCTAAGAGAATTTCCAATCATCAGGACGTTAACAGCAGGTAACAGGGTCAGCAAGAGAACACAGGAACTCTTCGGTTTCAATCAGACATGGTGCTCATGGTTTACTGCAATAGACTTAAAATGTAAACAAAACACTACACAGAAATATGTATGACATAAGTAATCATATTGAGAGACCTTATCAGCACCACGGTATATCTCATTTTGCAACATAATGAGATGCAGTATAGCAAGGGTCCACTGCGCATATCTCCACGTATCTCATTATATGTGAGTTTCAAAAATGTGACTTCCTTATATTGTGATCAACTGATTCAGACTGATCAAATTAACAGTGCTCAATTTAATACAAATTGCTGCTAGCAGATTGGGTGGGGATAGAGCACTGTGTGGAAGGAATGCAATGGGTGAAGGGAAAATTTGGGCCAGTCACACGAACTCTCTTGGCATCTGCTGTTGTGTGAGAAATGTGAGCCTGGAGGCAAATAACGATTGATAATTCTTTTTAAAGAAGTCACGGCCAGCAGATCCACCAGATGCCCTAAGTGAAAGTTTGTTATCAACTTCAACAGCCATAAATGCAAACTCAATACTGCCGATCTTTTAAACCAATTCAATCCTCTTCTCTACCAATGGAATCATCTGCTCTGTCATTGTCCATACAAAAACATTCACCTGAATGACTCATTCATGCAGTAATGAGAGTAATCTACCATGAGATCAGTGAGTGTCAATTTCTATTATTTCATTATCATTAATACAAATTATTTTTGTCATCTAAAAGCTATTTAACATTATTTAGAACACATCTTATTTAAGTTTCTTAATGTCTCACAGACAGAGAGAGAGAGAGAATGTAATTGCATGTGTGTTGGTGACGCAGCTCCTCTGGGCACATTTCAAGGACATCATGCCATCCCATTACTTATCAATGTCTAGCCTTCTTCTTTCAAAGTAAATGATTATAAACACAATGTATTCACACTAAAATGACAAATGTTATTGTCCCATTTATCCTGGTAACGCGACAGTAAGTGACAGGTTCCAGATTTGGTAACTCAATTTATTGGATAATTTCACAGGTCGTAACTACAATTTGTTATTACACTTTCAAGACTGCTGTATGTATGACACACAAACAATTATAACATATCAACTACTGAACTGCGCTGAGCGACGTCTTCCTGACGAATCCTCTCAACAGTCTTCACTGCCTCTTATATAGGCTCAGCATGGACCACATAGAAAACATGGCCTCTATTTTTGAAGATACTTATTTATTGCTTGTTGCCTAGCAATGGAAAGCCCTTTTCCCATTGTTGTTGAAGAATTTTTCTTTCCAGGAACATGGTTTACCCAGCTGTTCCCTAGCAACGGATACACATGTTACATTATTAAAATAAGGAAAGGTTGAAATGAAATCATCTGAGTTAATGTACAGCCCATCATTAACCTACCTATTTCACTGCCATAACAATACAGGCTACTTATATAAATCACAACTTCCTTGTTATGTAGGTATTTTCATTTGTCCATTAACCTCATTTTAGTTCACAATACTCTTATGAGTACTCTTACAATGTAGAAAAGGTTGTGTATCACTGTTAGAATACATATCATTTACAATATAAATGAAGAACTCATTTCACTGATGGCCCAAAGATTCAAAGTCACATTTTAGGCTTTGCACTGGTTACAACACGATAAGGCTGAAAAGTAAGCTTTGTAAAGTTACTTACCCCAGAAAGGTCTGGAAAACAGATGAATGCCACAGAGGGTGATAGTAGCTCACACGCAACTCTTTGTGTTTCTGAAACTGTCTAACAATGTCTTTGGCACTAAAAAAAAACATAGTTACATATCAAGTTAAGTTTCAAAATCAGACAGCATGACACCTAGCATATAATATTTGGAGGCAAAGACATTTTAAGCTTATAACATATCTGACATCTACTAACTGTAAAGCTTCTCTCAGCATATATCACTATGTCCATACTATAATATATACATAAGATATAATGAACAAACGAAAGTAATGAATACGGTATAAAGATTATTAACGCTGTCCAGTGTGATTGATAAATGTTGTGTTTTTTAATCATTCATCCTTTATATATTTTGGTCATAGCAACCATCATCAGAAGGATATTATCAATACATATGGAAACTACTACTACAATGTCATAGGTCATTATCAATATGTACAGAAACTACTGTTACAATATCATAGATATAAAATATTATCCTTTAACAATTACTAAGATGTGCATGAATATGTTAAAACATTTATAAATTATTATAATTAGTCTATTTACAAAGCACTGTTTAGAAAACTTTTTGTTAAAACTAGAGCCAGTTTGGTTCATGTCTTTACACATCTTCTCTTCAAAGGAAGATGAGTGTGTTCGATGTTGTGGTTCTGTTGTTTAGCATACAAGATTCTGCAAATATATTGTGGGTATTATGTAGTATTTCTACAATCCTGATTTCATTTGAATGTGAATTTTTTGTTTTTAATCTTATGTTTAGTGTTGTTGCCCAGTTGTTCAGCCACGCTGTGCTGTTATACTGCTAACAGTCTTTCATACTATTGATAATGTGAGGGACCAGGATACACCAAGTCAGATTTAATGAATATCAGTCAATTAATTTGGATCAGCAAACATCCATATCACAAAGGAATGAAGATGAGTAAAGATTAATTTGAAAAATAAACATGCTCCAATACAGTACAGATTTTACTTCATTTAATGTCCTACAAGTCATCTCAGAATGAGGCAAAACGGTTTGGACTTACAAGCCATAGTTGAAAACTGAATATTACTCCAGAATACAGTACAATAATAGTTAAATGAAATGTTGTCAAACAGAACAAGAGCTCATAAACCTACAGTTGACATTTTAACAGACATCCCAGACCAGGGCTGCCAGAGCTAAGATACATTTGCTGTAATGTTCCAATTATCTGCAACACGGTGATAATTTCTATGAAACAAAGGCTGTATTGATGAGTGAAGCAATCACATGTTACAGTGCACCTGAATGGGTTACCATCGCATGTTGTTGCTAGAATACAGACAGATAAATCTGCATGCAAGCAGTCGGTACAGGGCGCTAATCTGGGAAGAAAGCATTCCAGTAACAATGCACGGATATAGGTGTCTCTAAATTATAATTTAGTCTCTCCATCTGAGAGAAAAACTCTAATTAAGGGCGTCTGAGAATGAATTGGGGGGGGGGCATATAACCAAACGTGTGTCCGCCTTGCCTTGCTTCTCCAAATGGGCGCACCATAGAAAAAAAAACTTATATAAAACGAAATATTCGTCCTAGAGAAAAAAAATGTTTACTTCTAACATTACGAACAAGGGTTGTCCAAAAACGTATACATCAGAAATATCAACTATCATATTTAAAACTTCCAAGGCAACTGTGCTGTGGCAACATGGAGCTTAGTGTCCGAATTGACAAGTGTCAAAGTTACTTTACGTACAGGCCGCACCATAGCTCAAGTGGTTAGTCACTGGCTTCCCACCGTGGCGACCCGGGTTTGGTCAAGTGGGATTTGTGGTGGACAAAGTGACGCTGGGGCAGGTTTTCTCCGAGTACTTCGGTCTTCCCTGCCAATCTTCATTCCACCAATTGCTCCAGTCACCCTCACCTATCATCTGGGGCTGGTACAATAGACCAGAAGTGGCTGAAGTAGAAGGGGGTTAGTCCCACCCCACTAGGAATAAAAAAAAATACTTTACGACTGGAGGTTTGCTGCCAAACGGTTCGTCTTGGCGTCAAGCCCCTCGTGACTCACGACCAGAGATCCTTTTTTTTTTCTTTTCAACTGAGACCTTGCGGTAACAGCCCTTACGTAACATCCACTCTGAAGAGAAGATGGGCTTGTCTTGGCCTTTCATCAAGCGTTCGTATCCTTAACAAGTGTCGCGTCCGCACGTTGTATTCATACCACAGACAATGCTTCCAGCTGTCCGAGCACGTAACGTTGGGAGAACAGTGGGCGAGGTCAGACGGACAGGGTATCATAAGACAGAACAACACTACAATCAACTGCTGCATCAGGTCAAAATAACCGTTCTCTTCTGATCAATGCAGTTAAGCAACACTGGACGTGGTCAGTACTTGTAGCTGAAATTCCAATTACGCTAAGGGAAAATAAAACTAACGCCGTTGCTACTTAATTCGGAAAACCCCATACAGGCAATTCTAACATCGCTAGGAGAAACCCCAAATTAGCGTCTCTGCTCAGATACTAGGGAGACCCACACAGACAATTCCTGAGCGGAGTGGTGTTGCTATGGCAAATGTAAAAAAGTAAAGGTAAAGCTATCCCTGTAACAGTTGTGAGACGTCGAGGCACCCACATTTTCTAGAAAATCGGCTCATAGATGGCGGCAAGGCTGTCAGCCCTACGCGCCGGCTGCCCTTTACCCTCAAGAATATTCTTGGTACTCATTTCTGTTACAGGCTGAGTCGACCCAGGGCCATAGTACGGCCAGAAGGATTATGTCAATTGAAAAAAATCCAATGACCTCATCGGGACCTGAACCCGCGACCTTCCGGCTTGTAGCATAGCGCCTCAACCCACTACGAACGAGGAAAATACTATTTAGTGCGCATGTTCACATTCTTCAAAGGTAACATCATTAAGGTGATTAAACACAGGCCGAGAAGGGCAGGACACGTCATTTTAGTCAGGAGACCTCAAGGGCAGGGACCCCTTTGAAGAAGCAGGCGCAGGCCATAGGGGCCATCCTATGTAAGCAAGGTATGAAAGTGCTGACTGGGTCCAACGGTAGGATTTTGTGAGAAAGATTCTTAATAGCCTGAGAAGTTATTAGATTTTACTGAGAGATCGTGAACAACGGCTGTGTAACACACTGATATGTTGGGATTTTGGACTTTATCCATCGTCCTGGTTTTTAAGATAACAAATAAAAACACGACGTTTCGGAAACTGGATCTGTTTCCGTCCTCAGGTGAAGGAAACACCTATTCAGTTGGGTCCCTTAGAAAGAGCTAGCCTCAATCACTGGACGTCCAGTGACACCTTCAAGTGTCAAATATTCTTCTCAGCACAGTGCTCTCAAACATCCTCAATCTATACCCTTCCTTAAAATTAGTACAGCATCGCTGGAAGGGCGCCACAGCCAGTCTGGAAGTTATGGAGGAGAGAAAAATCTTGCTCCTGCCGGATTTGAACCCGGGCATCCAGCACCTAGCCCATCACTATACTGACTGAGCTATCCCAACTCTCATTTGTTTTATATTTCCTATCCAAAATGGTCTAATACATGAAGATGCTTTATCACCATTGTTGCTTTACAAAATGCCATTAGGAAAGTCCGAGGAAACCAGGTGGGACTGAAATTAAATGGGACACACCAGCTGCTGCTATATGCTGATGACGTAAATCTACTGGGAGACAACATGAATATTATGAAGAAAAACACAGAATATCTAACTGATGCAAGTAATGAGGTGGGTCTAGAAGTAAACACAAACAAAAGTAAGTATACGTTGTTGTCTTGTAATCAGAATGCAGGGCAAAATCATATCATACAGACAGCTAGCACATCATTTTGAACTATGGCAAAGTTAAAATAACTGGGAACAACAGTTACAAATCAAAATTTGAGTCGTGAGACAATTAAGAGCAGATCTGATCACTTGGGACACTACCCCCTGAATCCAAACGATTATCTAAATGCTCTATTAAGCAAAGTACCGACTGCACACTTTGTCAGAACTAAGGGACTGCTACTGAGTTAATTAAAAAAAATCTACACAAGAAGTTCTGGGGGACTAATCACCTAATTTCCTTTCACTTAATTTTAGTATCTATTATGCAAAGTAGAACACAAAACATTTATGTAAGATTTGAGGCTTTCACGGCAGTGACTATGAAGAAAGCAGTCTTCTGGGATTTGGCACCGTGTATATGTGGTGTTAACCGACGTTTCGGAGGAACGTATCGCCTCCATCTTCAAGGTAGAAGGAAAAATATAAGAAATCTGCAAGCGAAGAGACCGAGAGAACCTGTAAAAGTAGACCCTGAAGATGGAGGCGACACGTTCCTCCAAAACATCGGTTAACACCACACACACACAGTGCTGAATCCCAGAAGACTGCTTTCTTCAAAAAACATTTAGTATGTATGCGTAATGAAGTCAATAAAACAATACAACTTGGGAGGCTGCAATGTTAATATTACTGAAGGGAGTCATTTATAAATGACACAATTGAGATGGCTTCATGACATGATATACATATTAAGTTTCATGAATACTGATTTGGTCATTCCGGTAATATTATGGTTATTACCTCAACAAGCTATGACACTGCAATGCTGGTGTTAGTAATGGGAAGCAAGGTTTTACCTTAGCAGTTTGAAAGGCTCTAATGTTGATATTACTGATGTGAGGGGATTTATGAATTATGCATTTGAGATAGGCTCAGGCCCCATGATATACATATCAATTTTCATAAAGATTGGTTCAGGCATTCAGAAGTTACAGTAGGGTGATCTCATAAGCCTATTTTCATTTTTTTAAATACAGAAAGTAGGCTACAGAAGACACACAATTGATTGAAAACAGCCATGATGTACCCATCCCTTCAATTTGCAATATAGATTAAAGATTGGTACTCACATACCTGCCATGGTTCCCCACAGCCACAAGTGCCCTGAACCTGGTGAATGGCTTCACATCCACTGAACCATACCTAGCAAATAGTTCAGCAACCTGAAAGAAACATATTATGCCACTGTGCAAAATAAAGAGTTGTGTTTTCTGTAACATGAAGCACTGTACACAGATATTCTAAGAAATCCACCAAACCAGCCTTTTACTTATAACCTCATTCCAGCTGGTTCTTCCTCAGTCACCCTTTTCCATTACTATTGTGATGATAACCCACTGTTTGCATCCTCAGTCATCATGTAAAGTCTGCATCACAACATCACCTCCAGTGCCACTTAACAACACTCTATTATGTGCATAATAAATCTATAAACTTTTATTTTAGTTTCACATAAGTAGAGTTCTATGAGGACTGATGAAGATAAAACGAAGTTTACTACACAGCTTCTACAGCAAAAGGTAAAGGATTGACATACTACAATCCATTATACGCACACATTCCTTTTTGTGGCGGTATAACTCCAGTCTCTCGAAATTTCTGGCAGTAAATTAAGTGCGTAGTTAGTGTCACACCCCAGCTACTTTACCTCTGGGGAAAGAATCCCGAGAGGCTGGTCTGAATTCAATGACAAAAAGAAAAACCTCCATCCTGCCAGGACTCCAACTTGATTCTCAAGTTGTTCAGCCTGTAGACTAGTCATTATGCTGAACTAGCTACCTGCTGTTGCAATAGATACTCCAGTACTGCATTTTATAACAATCTATTTAGTTTCAGGACTCATACAAGCAGAATGACAAACCAACATATAAGACCTTCCCTTTAAGAACCTGTTTTATGCAGAATGAAGTGTGCTAATGAGTCTCACATATTTAACAGTTTTACTTCACCTGCTGCCACCAACTGTTCATCATATCAGAATAATACATTTCTTCTTGGATGATGTGTGTGAGTGGAACAAGGAAACTTCACCCTAACAAGGTGTTTATTGTACTGAGATAAGACACAGTCACTACCTCCGGCAACCAACCCATTCACCAATCATAATCATTAAATGAAACACAATAACCTGCAAATGTCAAACACGATGACCGATCAATTTACACCTTTGGTGGAAACACTTGCCTTTGAGACATCAATAGTACGGAAACCTTTTGCTTGAACATGAAGCCAGTTTGGTCTGTCTGATGGAGGATCGGGTCCATCAAGGCACTGAAAGATGAGAAATATACCAAATAACCTTTGACCAGATCAGTAATATAACTGGATGAAGGCATAAGAAACAACAGACAAATAAGAATAAGTTCTTCCCTTCAACTAAGACTAACAGAAAAAATTAATTAATAGAGCAGACCCTTGTTTCACACTGGGGACAACTTCCTGGAGATGTCGGCACAAACAGAATTCACATGAATGAAAGGAGAATTATAATGTACTTTAATTGGATACATTCCAGGTACACAAAAAATGAGACTCTCTCTCATAAAATAATACAAAATATTTATATATTTTAAACATAGAAATTATATGCAAGGATATATATCACATTTATTCTGCAATAAAACATAAAGTACAGACATATTACAGACAGTCAGGGAAGCAGAGCATGATGAATACTGGCAAAAACTCCCTTCATAGCCGGCTAGTCTGAGCTAGTGATGGCGTTCTTCTTTGCGGCAGCCTGGCGTTCTTTCTAGCAGCAGCCCGGTGATTGCAAGCTGGCTGGCCAGTGAAGCTCTTGCCGCGGCTGGCTAACATGGTGAGTGCTGGTGATCGCTGATGGAGTCAGTTGCTACTAGATTCGCTGTTGCGCTTGTCTTCATGCAAGTGTAACTGTGATTGACGTGACTAATGCTAGCGTGTTGGGAATCCGCATCTTTACACTTTTGCTGCTAGGCGGCGCGCTGACCAGTGGGCACTGGAGCTGGATTGGGTAGCGCTTGTGTGGGTGTACAGAGAGTCAGGCAGCAAATTGTACTGTATAAATATCACCCACTCTTGTTACACTGTGCGAGTTGTCTGTTTTCCACTGAGGGAGGTGCCCACACCAGTACTTTCAAACGTGCAACACTAATAAGAAGGCTGTTGTATCTACACTGGATTGCTTTAGTTTAGAGTATTCCTAGATACATTAAATTATACCTTAAGACAAATGTATTACATAGCATATCTGTTTTCTCACTGAATGACATTCACTTTTAGCATTGCAAATTCACCCATTTTTCTACACGTTTAACAGATGTGACTTACCATATGGGATATATTGGCTCGTATTACATTCACACAATTCTTCTTGGATGATACACCCAAGAGATGTTCTCTGCTTGTTAGTATTCTTCCAAAAACAAGACTACAAGCAAAAAAAGGTGATGTTTAGTCCTTGCAAAGAGAGATCTGATTCATGGGCAAAGAGACAATAGAAGAAAATAATTTTACACGCGCAAGACATTTTAAGAAGAGATTTAAATTTAGAAGTACCTTTGATAGACAAAACTGTCATCAGACAACGTAATGTTTAGTCGTTCCAGAGCTATGGTGATGCAGAGTTCCCACACAACAGCTATATGTATATTGCAAAATGCCTAACTCAATGCATTTCATTCATGACCAAATTATCAGAAACATTCTACGCAATGCACTTGGCTTCCAAACCTGCAGAATTGCCAGAAAAGTTCCTATCCAACTGACTATAATCCTAACAGCTTTCACATAACCAAACTCAACAAAGATCAAACGCTGTCATGTTTCTGAACTTCTTTCAGACAGAAATGACAACCCTCTCATCACTGTTGCTCTACAATGGCATATGTCTTCTACAAACTCCTGACTCCAAATGTCACCATTGAAAATTTACCACAGTACCAGATTATGGGGTTCAGGATTCTTAGTATTACTTTAATTCAACAAGAGCAATGTTAAATTTTAATATTCACAAATGAAAAGCAACAATGATGTAACCCCATTCCAACATGAATTTTCAACCATCACTGGAATTTTCTGTCTTTAAAACTATTATTTTTTTTCCAGTAACTGATATTGTGCCATATTTGCTCAAAGAACTGTGAAGCCAGAGAAACAGCCATTGTTAGCGAACGGCTCTGAAACATTCGTTTCTAGGCAAAAACCATGAAACAAACAACGGAATGATATCCATTGCTAGGCAGCAGATTCTTAATAAGCAAGAATAGACAGCCACTGCTAAGGAATGGCTCGGTAAACACGTTCCTCTGGCAAAGGATATGTATGCAAAAAAGAAACAGTGTTTTCTGTGTGGTCCATGTGAAGATGCTATAAGCAAGGGAAAAGGTTAGAGCTTGGTCAGTTAGTCTGCGAAGAGAAAACTAGGAGGTTGTTGTGACATGGCCACAAGTCAGTTGTGAGGAAGGCAGACAGTTAGAAGGGAGCTGCCATTCAGAGAGGACTTGAGCATGGAAGCAGGGTAATAGTCATTGTTGGAGCCATTACCAGGCAACTACTAGTGAAGACACTGTGGGCTGTGCTATAATCCACTTCACACAATAAAGAAAAAATGTTCATAAACATCAGCAGTGAAAGCCAACTCATATGCAAGGAACTCTGTTTTTTGTCTGGAATCAGAAGACCTAACACAACAGAAATGTGTACATACCTGCCACATGTAACATGGGCAAATATATGTGCCATTCGAATAAAACAATATCCTGTGCAGTAAGAATCCCACCCTGCTTCATGAAATTTCACATTGAGATCCTGGGACTGTTCTGACACATTGGATGCTGTTTCCTTTGGATCTGAAACAGTCAGTAACATGTCCTTTATCTCCTCAACAATGTTTCATAGCTGTAACATAAAATGGAAACAGCAGACAATACAGGTACATACACAGCGCATGTCCCAACAGAACTGTACCTTCTGCACAACTGTTAAGACATTTAGTTATATTGTAACGTGTTTGCATTCCAGAAGAGTCACTGCTATGGAAACGCTAGAATAGACCGTTACAGAGGAGACAACAATTGCTCCATTGTAGTTCTAACAGGAGTCTCCATGGTTATAACAAAGGGTTCGTTGCCTAACAGCGGCCAAGGTTATAAAAGCCCAGTTTCGACGAGAAGTCTTCAGTCTTCATCGAGCCAGCTAAGAAGCCAGTCATGATCGAGCCATCTTGGAAGTCAGTCTTGGGACAACTGCCAGAAGAGATAGTCCAGCATCGCCGAGTTATTGTAAGCAGTGATTGTGACACTGCAGACGGGAATTATTGTAAAGTGTGTAAGACGAGCGAAGGAATAAACTTGCTATGCCAAACGACGGTGTGAACTTATTTGTAGCGTGACACACAAAACACGCTAAATTGGTGTCAGAAGTGGGATTGGACTTACACACGTGGCCAACAAAGTTTGAACTCAAGAAACGCTACATTGGTGTCAGAAGTGTTCTACGAACTTTAACATGCGTCCTACAAAAGAATGGAGATGCAGCAAGTGATAGAAATGCTAGCAAGAATGGACGCCAACATGAGGTCCTACCAAGAAAAGACGGAGGCCAATAGAAAAGCTGACCAGGCCAAGGAGGACGCCCGACACGCAGAGATGATGGCCGACCTGAAAGCATGGCGAGAGGAAATGGCCGCCATGCGAGCCAAGAAGTTGAAAGCCTGGGGGGAAGAGAGGAGAACTTCCCACAAGAAAATAGTGGCCGTAACAGATGAAGAGCCGACCTCCGTAGAAACGAAACCTGAGGCGGCAGAGCATCAAGAAGTCCCCGTAGATGACGCCCTGAGAATACCGGTCGGAGAACCGAAGAAAAGGCGTAGGGACCAGAAACTGGCCGCGGAGTGCCGCCGCCAGACAGCGAAGGATGCAACACGGGTAATTCATAAACCCCAGAAGGAATTGGCCGTCGGCCACAGAACGACATCCCGTCGCGCGACAGTGGCACGACGTTGGAGAAAAGACTCCAAGAAGGAAACTCCCAATGGAACCTTCGGGTGCCAGCGGAAGAAATTGGCCGTCGACCATAGAAGAACGATACGCCGGGCGAATGTGGAAAACCTCAAGACAGACATCGTCAGGAACACCACCCAGAAAAGTGTGGACACCACGAGAGGTTGGGATTCGCCAGCGAGGGGACGACCTTCCATGTCAGAGTAGCACGGCATAACAGGATCCCCAGAAAGAACTGGGTAAGGGACAACATACCGGGAGGAAACGGGAGAGGATACATGCCCGGAAGAGACAACGGGGGCAACCGCAATAGAATAAGGGGAATAGGAATAGAGCCCCATAGAAAAATCCCCAGGACATACAGGAAGACGACGGGACTAATGATCAAGAAGCGTATAGCCGGATCTCCCGTCGGCCTACGACAAGGAAAAAGTTGGAAAAAGTGGAGGGGCCAACCTCCTCCAAAACCAAAAAAGGGAAACGGCCCCTATGGGNTTGGAAGGAACCGGTAACGTAGAAGTACCGGCCTCCCCAAAAAGAATGGAGAACGAATGAATGTGAGACAAGGCGACCGACAAATTCTGGACCACGGGAGTGCTCGGGGGCGAGCACCACCGAAGAGAGGGGCGGATGCGGTTAGACAAACAATGCACAAAGATGCCAGCAGGACACCAAGACCGAATGCAGACACTGGCAAGCAGAACACCGCGGAAACGAAACCGAGGGGGAACCTTTAGGCTGTTCGGGGACGAACAACCTTTAGAAGGGAGCAATGTAACGTGTTTGCAATCCAGAAGAGTCACTGCTATGGAAACGCTAGAATAGACCGTTACAGAGGAGACAACAATTGCTCCATTGTAGTTCTAACAGGAGTCTCCATGGTTATAACAAAGGGTTCGTTGCCTAACAGCGGCCAAGGTTATAAAAGCCCAGTTTCGACGAGAAGTCTTCAGTCTTCATCGAGTCAGCTACGAAGCCAGTCGTGATCGGGCCATCCTAGAAGACAGTCCAGTGTCGCCGAGATATTGTGAGCAGTGATTGTAACACTGCAAGTGTATTGTTGTTTTATTTTGTTATTTTATTGTTATTTTACAAGTCAGAAGGTCGTGGGTTCAAATACCGATGAGGGCATTGGATTTTTTCAATTGACCTAATCCTTCTGGCCGCACTATGGCCCTGTGGTTCACTCAGCCTCTAACAGAAATGAGTACCAGGAATTAAATAAAATAATTTTCCTGGGGAGTAAAGCGCAGCCAGCACGTAAGGCTGACGTTACTGCCATCTTTGAGCCGATTGTCTAGATAATGTGGGAACCTTAACATCTCACAACACTACGGGGCTTCATGGCCTGTTACAGGGATAGCTTTACTTTACTTACTTTTTTTACTTAGTACACAGTAATATGTTTTGACGTATATTCATCATCTTTGGGCTGATGTTTACGTGTGTGACATAAATACCAAACCAACATATCATGTTAAGATGTGAACTATACTTTATTTAGAATTTATATCATACATACAAATATCTCACAACCCTATGGGCCTCCATGGTCTGTTACAGGGATATCTTTACCTTTTACCTTTACCTCACCAAATGTGGTCATCATCTGTTCTTAAGAATCTCATTTCTACTACTGTATTTTACTTAGGTCTCTTTGTTTTAATTTTTCAAAATTCTTACGCATCACTGTTACATATCACCACACTACTTGAACATTACAAGGAACCCATGATAGAGAGAGTAAGGCTTATAAGGAGCAATGCAACAAGAACTACTGGAACCAATATTTTCTTCACTTACACACATGGCAAACCATGGAATAAAGTGAGGGCTTCTTTCCTTATACCTTCTTCATAACAACTGACTTCTAACAAACTATCACAGGTTCCCTGTACATTTCTCCACCAAATTTACTTGCAATTTTGTTCCAAAGTTGTTTCTGGCCAGCAGTCTGCAAGTATAATGACTGTTTTGCAATCCTTTGTTATGTATGTATGTTTCAAATTTTAAATTTATTTTGCTTTCTATAAATCCACAGTAAGAAAGCCCGTTGGATACAGAATGAGTCATACATCTTACAACAAATGTGGAATTAATTATCAGTTCCAAGTCCTGTTTTGTATGTATTCCAGTCATGGTGTTTAGGACAAACACTTATGTATTGTGTGATTTAAACTGCTTCATGTATTGGTCTGTTACTCATATGCATTGACATATTTATTCTCACATGTACACACTTGCAGAAAACAGTGGGCAGGACTTTTATTTGCAAAGAACAGCTCCTCATTAGCAGTCAGTTATGAGTAGAAGAGGTTATGTAAGTTTCAGAAAATCTTTAACTTATCAGCTCAGAAAATGCTAACAACAATGAGAATGTTGAATTATTCTTTGCAATATTGATATCCCCATTATAACCATTCCAATTAAGAAATATTTCTGTACCACATTATTATTCAAAATGGTGCTGCTATATTGCACCATACAAAATTGGAAGTTTGGGGGATGGAACTGTAGTAATGTATTTTATATATTTTCAGATATTACAATTATCAATTAGACTAAGCAATTTTATGAATGTTAAAAATTCGTGTAATATCAAAGCTGTAACGCATAAATTTTACAAAATCAAAAGGTGGATTACTTTTTTATGGGCTTTGTACATTCATTGTTACTTCATTCTTCATTCCAAATCTGTGAAATATTATACTATGAACTCCCTCTTAGTTCCAAGTGATAACTGCCACAGTGGCCAGTCAAGAATTTTTCAAACTTTTAATTTACATTTGCATTTGGAACTTTTAGGGCAAGAGTTTGAGAATTAATTTCTGACAGCCCAGAAGTGTCATATAACAACTATGGTAGAAATACTTCTGGCCTGACTACTGAGCCTCACAACAATTATTTCCACAATACGTACTACAAATTTCAGCTCCATCTTCAAGTTCTATAATGGGAGAGTATAACACGAGGTATCTTCCTCGCCCTTCTTTGAAGAAACAATACAGATGACTCAGTATATTGGAATTCCACATATCTGTAAAAAACAAATATTTCAGCAAAGTCAATAGAAGGTCCGTCGAGTGTAACAATTTTGTAGGTCACTTCTTTATCACTTCTGCCTTACATGTTTCGGTTTAATAAAACCATCATCAGAGGCACGTAGTACAATCATGAAAACACTGTCGTTGTTTAAGATGTACACAGTTATTTGCTGCGTGGACGCTGCAAAAGGCAAAAGAGATCAATAACCAGAACAGCATGTTTGACCTCATTACTACTTGTATAAACACACCCCCGACCACGTCATAACACACAAGGCTTTAAATAATACTGACGTAGAACTCCCACTGCAGTACACAACACACAACACATAGGAAACATCTAACCATAAGGTAAGCAAGGATCAAATACAACACTAAACAAAAAAATAAATTAAATATATAATAATATATAAAACCTAATGTAATACAATATCTTTGCAGCCATACAACCTCAAGCTGACATCTCCCATCTTCGGGATGAATTAACAAGGAGGAGCTTAACATTTTACTTCAAATGTTTCAAATTTTTAAATATTTTAACACTGGCGTTTTAACTTGAGGGCAATTTCGGATGGAATGTGAGAATTGAACGTGCATTCAACAATCCTAGCAAGTGTTGTGCTTTTACACGTCGACATATTGTAGCAGCGTCCACGCAGCAAATATATGTGTACATCTTAAACAACGACAGTGTTTTCATGATTGTACTACGTGCCTCTGATGATGGTTTTATTAAACCGAAACATGTAAGGCAGAAGTGATAAAGAAGTGACCTACAAAATTGTTACACTCGACGGACTTTCTATTGACTTTGTGATTGATAGTGTAACGGACCAAAAATGAAACAATTCAAAATATTTCAGCGTTATTCTTATTCTGAAATATCTGCAATCTGCTAATCCTCAAATCTGATCATAAAGCTGCAAAAATTATATTTTTAAAAACACTAACAGATCATATAACATTTAAGAAAGAGTGAAGTAAGTGTATTGCATAAATATACTTGCCAGTACTTGCCTTTAGAAGCCATCAGCTACACAGCTATGTAAGAATTTCCCATTCTATGGAACCTGAAGGTTCATTGCCATGTTCACAACAGCCTGACACTGGTCCCTATCCTGAGACAGATCCAGTCCATATCATCCCATCCTATCTCTCTAAGATCCATCTTAATATTATCTTCTCACCTATCTTCCTAGTGGTCTCTTTCTGTCTGGCTTACCCACCAAAACCCTATATACCCTTTTCCTCCATGCATGTCACACACTGAACAAGATAGTGACTGACCAGTGTCAGAGTCTGGGTGGTTGAGGTTGCCCAGTTGTGCAAGAGGGATCTATTTTTCATGTGTAGAATAGGCTGGGTTTAAATATCTTACAAGTTAATGTCACAGTATAGCCCATCAATTAGAAACTTTCACTGTGAGTGACAATATGGAAAGTGAATAGTCCTTCTCCTGCTACAAGGTCTAATTCTTTATCACCAATAGGTTTTCCCCAAAAATGGATCAGTCTTTTTACTCAGTGCTTTAGCAGCCAGTGATTATTTATGCTTGTTTGCAAAAATATGTTTCTCTGTATCACTTCTAAGATCGTGCCCATCACTTATTTCCACTTACTAAAATCCTATATAAATGGCAGAGAGTTCAGAATGAGAATCAATGATAGCATATCTAACAATTTTGCAATAAAATCAGGTGTACCACAAGGCAATGTCTTAGGCCCACTATTTTATTTACTGTATACAGCAGACCTACCAGTCAATGCCAACACAACAAGGGACACATTTGCGGATGATGCCATGATCCTCTCAGCCAACACAGATCCAGCAATAGCTACCTTCACTTTGCAAAATCATCTAAATCAAATACAAGAGTGGACAAATACATGGAAAATAAAAATCAATGGAACCAAGTCAGTGCATGTAAACTTTAGTCTAAGAAGAGAACAATGTCCTGCAGTTTTCTTTAATAACATACAAATACCTGAATCACCCAGCACAAAATACTTAGGAATTCATCTAGACAACCATCTAACCTGGAAGGAACACATTACTAAAAAACACAAACTGATTAATTTAAAAACCAAGGATATGTATTGGTTAATTGGAAGAAATTCCCAGCTCTCATTAGACAACAAAATCTTATGTAAGATTTGAGGCTTTCACGGCGGTGACTATGAAGAAAGCAGTCTTCTGGGATTTGGCACCGTGTATATGTGGTGTTAACCGACGTTTCGGATGAACGTATCGCCTCCATCTTCAGGGTAGAAGGAAAAATATAAGAAATCTGACACAGTCTGCTTTTACCGGTTCTCACGGTCTCTTCGCTTGCAGATTTCTTATATTTTTTCTTCTACCCTGAAGATGGAGGCGATACGTTCCTCCGAAACGTCGGTTAACACCACATATACACGGTGCCAAATCCCAGAAGACTGCTTTCTTCAACAAAATCTTACTTTACAAAACAACAATAAAACCAATTTGGGTATATGGAGTGGAAATATGGGGATGTGCTAGCAAAACCAATATTTCCATAATCCAAAGATGTCAGTCAAAGATACTATGAATGATTACTAACACCCCATGGTATGTTTCCAATATATCACTCCATGAAGACCTGAAAGTGTCACTAGGAAAGGAAGTCATAATAGGGAAAAGCACAAGATACCTCAACAAAATAGAAGGACATGAGAATGTACTAACTCAACCGTTACTGGAACCACACAATGGACGAAGACTAAAAAGGAATTGGCCAGCTGACCTGAGAGAGGGTTAACGAGGACTTATCGCTGGATAAGCCCTCTCCACGTCACGGGGAATAATACAGCCAATTATCTTATAGAATCAAACGTAATTCTGATTGCTAATTTTATGTAAATAAAAAAACTTCTAAGATCATGAAACGCTCTTACAAAATGTCCATCTCACTTCATTTACACTAGTTTCATCACTAATTAGAAATGGATATTTGCATTTAAGAACATCTGAAAACAGACACCAGTTTAAAGTTTGAACCCTTACCTATTATGCATATGATGGAAAACTTCAGTATTTGAATTTTGTTATTTTTTATTCACTATCAAGCCAAGCATATCACCACATACACACAGCCTTACACTCACTTTACACACTACTACCCAGTACCACTTTCAGTTTCAAACTAACACTCACATTAAATAAATGTGAACAAAGATTATACCAGTTGGGGGGGCAGTAAAAGTAAACACAAAAATTAAAACTCATTGTCTAAAATTTATCAGTAAAGAGGTAGGGGAAGCAAACAGCTGAATTCTTTAACCACAGGGGAAAAAACGTGAAACAGTGGATTTACTGAGAGAGCAAAATGACCGGTCTCATAAGCAACAAAATTTTGGCTCACTGTCAATATCTTTTCATTCTTATTTTATATATACAACTGCATTTGAAACAATTCTTCACATTTAAAGTTCCATGACGTTGCCAATTTTTGAACATATGGCAGCAATTAAACGTAACTGGGAAGTTGAAGGAAACATGAATTTCCAAATATACATTGCCATTCATTATTGCACTGTGCTCAGAAAATGAACTGGGATCAGGCACAACAAATAAGAAATCAATCATAAAATTGATGAAGAGATTCTTTGAACTGACACCTCAGTCTCGTGTCATAACAATCGTACTTCTCTGGTGGGGCACAGAATCTTGTCTGTCACATTCAAATGTTGGGTAGCATACAACAGAGAACAGTCTGTGACAGCTGCACCAAATCTGAAGTCTTTCTTCTTCAGTTTCAAGCTTGGATTTTATATCTGCTGCAATCCTGTTTGGACTTTTAACTGTTCTTGCCCCATGATTATTATGCACATTAAAATGTTGCACATCCTATACACACCACTAAGCTCAAGATACGAAACTCATTTGCGCCTTAGACAAATTTCTTGTTGATGTTGAAGAGTATGGACTTGTGCTTGTCACATGCTTCTGCTGGTTTCCTGCTTAGCTTGTTCTTTGACCTAAGATGGAAGTGATATTTTCCTCCTAAACATCAGGTTCTCTTGGAACTACATCCAGAAGACTGCATGCTCAGTACTCACCACTGTGAGAACATGTGGTGTTACCTTACATAGAAACAAGAAGTGTGAAACACACAATGACCTACTGTTTTCTTAAACTTAATGAAAAATGAGGATACATGAATTATGAAATCAAAATATAATATTAAACACAAATTCCACTTCCTTACTGAGCTTAGAATTCCATCTACATCACCAGAAATGATGAAGTGGTAGGAAGTTTTAGCTCAGAATCAAGGAACATTTTAATCTCATACTTTCAGGCAGTCTAACCTTACCTATTAATTGAGTGCACATCAAAATCAAGATACCTGAATGCAACTTAAAAATATTACTATGCTTTTAACAGGAGTCCGATTTATTATTTAACAACTTATTTTAAAACCCATATTGTTTACCATTAATATTACTAGTTAATGGTAATTACATGGACAAACTATACAAGAATAATATGTGACTTTCACTTTTTAAAGGTGTACAGGTGTACAGATCAAATGACATGCCTATTTCCAAATAAAAATTACAAGATAAAATACAGAATGCTGCATGAGACAGTACCTTCTTTAATCAATATCTTTCTCATCTGAAAACTGAGGAATTTGGTGTCATAAATTACTGGGAACAGTCTGTGGATCTCCTCCTTGAAGTCATTTAACCGAGCTGAAACATATCAATTAATGTGTAAAAGAATGCATATTTACAAAAGTATAGAACAAAGTTTTCCCAGCTTAATTTTCATTCATACAGTGGGGAAATGTCATCTTCACAAGTTGAGAGCTGTGCAAAATGCAAGGCTGATTCAAGTATTTTTGGGCAAATGTGTAGGCATCTGGCAGAAGTTTCTTTATACTTGTGTAGTACTGATGTATTCCCAAAAAAGTAATTATTCATATCTCATGACCATCACCATATGTAACTTACACAATACCGTATCTGCGGATAACAGTTAAGAGCTCTGCTCTCCTGCTACACTTGTAATGGCACAACATAGTACATCAGACATGCTTCTGTACTTCCAATGATCTGTCTCCACTCAAGCAGAAAAAACAATGCCTGAACTGGAATACTTGCTTTTCAAATACCAACTCTATGGATATGTGTAAAATTATATCATGGTAAACTTAACTTGGTTCATCCTGGTCCGTCATACTAGTAACTGTATATAAGATTTTTAACCGCCATCCAGTGTGACTGATAAAAGCTGTGTTGTTAATTTTTCATCCTTCACATGTTTTGGTCAAAACGACCATCTTTAGAAGGATAATATTGACATACATGGAAACTATTATTACCATGTCATAGATATAAATATTATATGAGGGTTGGAACTTTAATAGTGGCAACTATTTATTTATGAGTACAACTGATATAAAATAGATGCATGTTTTGAAGTTTTACTACCCTTAAATGTAGTCACCAGCATTGTGTACAACCCGTTGCCAGCAATGTGGAAGTCGTAGGATACCTTTAGCAGCACCTGTTGTGTTGATAGTTCAAAGGGAGCAGTCTACTGCCTGAAGAATCTCTGGAACAGTTCTGAAGCGAATGCCACGAAGTGGTTCCTTCATCTTAGGAATTATGTCAAAGTCACAAGGGCTTAATTCTGGTGAGTATGGTGGATAGTACAGCACTTTCCAGCCCCATCGATCGAACAAATCAGCCACAGCTTGCCATTTCTGCATTTCCGTCAAATCATGCGGAACCCATTGTGATGTAATTTTCCTCATGCCCAGGCGTTCCTCCAGAATGTGAGCACGGTCGTATGTGCTAATCCTGTTTCTCGGGCCAGCTTATGAAACATATGGCGTCGATCACTCTCCAGTAACGCGGAAAGAGCATACACTTCTTCTTCACTGACACTAGGACGACCTGGCCGACACATGTCTCCCACATTTTGGTGTCCCTCATTGAAGGCTTTTACCCACCTTGCCACTGTTCTGTAAGGCAATGCAGATTCCCTGCAAGCCTCTTGAAGACCTTGATGACACTGTCATGCTGTATGGCCTCTGACACATTCAGTCTTTATCCAACTCCGTTGTTCCTGTTTCGAAAACATCGTGACAAAACTACATTAGACCGCCAGCTAACATGAGGCTCTGTTCTTCTCGTCACTGTGCATGCGCGTCATGTGGGAAGGGAGAGTCCATTTGCACTAAGGTAAGGTAGGTATGTAACTAACGTGCGGTATAAGTGACATTATTTGGTTCCATTGCATGGCATTTATACAGCAGTGTTGCCACTATTAAAGTTCCAACCCTCGTATCTTGTAACCAATTATAAGATGTACAATGATTTGTTAAAACATCTAAAAATTATTACAATAAGTCTGTTTACAAAGTAGTATACAATATTTGTTATAATCTAGAACACGACATGCACCAAACTGATATGGAAGTACAGTAGAACTTGGTTATAACATCATCAAAGGGACCTAAAAATAGTGTCGTTATAAACGAATGTCGTTGTAACCGAAATGGGCACTTCCACAGTAGCCTTATGTTTGTCACGTAAAAATCTACCAAAAACCGAGTTAAAATGTTGCATTTTTTAGTGAAATACGTAGTTAAGTACAGACTAACGTAACATTAACGTGAAATTGCCCAAATGTTTAATATCAAAGGCATATTACAGCGCTTTTCACTGACAATACACACCGCACTAATACTGTATATTAAAGGTAGGCCTACTCACCAAATTACAGTAGATTACATCAATTGTTGTGCCTTACTGTACCTAGATACGAGTACAGTAATCAGTTATCTTCATCTGTTTCCTGTTACTTGCCCAATACACACTTTCTAAATTACGTTCAATGTCCATATCAGAGAAATTCAGGAATGAAAATGACGTTACATACGAGGTTGATGCATTTGTGCATGTCGTACTAAGCAAGGTATAAAAACAGTTGCTTTATGAGGAATTAGTTCGTACCATTGAATATTTGATGCAATAGACAAGGTGTCGCAGAAACCGATGTTGCTATAACCAAGTTTTACTGTATATAGATAGTCTTTGGACTGTTATCTTCACTAAATGTGTGATGCTTTGTTTTATATGGCTGACTTGTGCTTTTGGTGGTTTAAGTATATTTATTGCTTTATGCTGAATTACTGGGAGTTGTCATCCATGGTTGGTAAGCTATAGAAAGGGGATACTGATCAAAAAAGGATTCTATTGTATATTGTCTTGTATACTGTTTTATACATTTTATGAGAGTTGTTGACATGTACTGTTTGGTTGTTTCCAACTGACTTGTTCAATTGTGCCTGTGTAACAGTTATGGATGTTAAATAAATTATCAGTTATTAAAAGACTCACTGGTTAATGGAACAGTAACTAGGTATGTACGATATTTGCCAGTCATTCCAGGCAAATGCTGGGACAGCATCCTGAAATAGGCCATGACAGCTTTCTTCCAGATCTTTTCCATTCACCAGTTATCACCATCTCATCTTACCAATGTTACATAAACACAGCAGCTGATATAGCATTGTAAAATAAAACAAGAGCCATATTTTGATTTACATTGTTAATGTTCAAACATGTACATTTTATATGATTTTCTGAAGTTATGATATAACAAATACAAATTTTCTTTATGCTGTAACAATATCATTTCCTTTATTTTGCATTTGTTTTTGGAGGTCCCTTAATAAGTTTTAAAGTGAGATTTCACTATATATTGTAAAGGGAAACTAAGGAATTTGAGTTTGCACATGTCACTACTGTAATATTACTCTTTCAGCATTTTTGTCATGTTTGTGAATGGTGTTGCATGTTCTGTATGCTATTTTTGCATCTGTGTCTTCAAATATTTTGGTGAGTTGTTTTATTTCCTGTACAAATATGTTAATGTGCCACATTTTTTTTTTTGTATATGGTTGGTTTGTTCTGTGTTATGGTGTTATATAATTTGTGTTCTAGGGATTTATCTCTTTCATAGTGATCTTCTTAGTACATATTTAATTGTAGGTATTTCTGAACTATGTTTTGTTAGTTCATTAAATACAGATTTTTTAAGTTAAATTTCGACACAACATCAAAATTTCTTGTTGTCCCATTTGTGATTGTTGACCTGTACACAATATTTCATCTGGAATTTGTAGGCAAGTTTATGATCTATCACCATCAAACCAAGAACTAAATATACACTACATGCAGCGACTATTTCAGTGTTTTTCATTCCATGAAAAAACTACCTGAATAGAAGTTGCATACTTTTAAAAAAAAATATATATATATATATATATAATTTCAGGACTGAGACTCGAACTCTGACCCCTCCATCTTCCAGCCTGTAGCCAGTCGCCATATTGACTCTGCTATCCCGGCTGCCAAGGGGATAGATAACATATTGATACCATGTGCCTACTTTTCTCCTTAAAGAAAGGAAAGGAGGATAAAGTTTAAAAATAAATTGATTACACAATTTAAATTAAGAACTTTTCAAGCCAGTATACGGCTGTGTTTGTGGTTTTTATATGAAAACTTTGGCACTATCTTTTCATCATTTTAAATGCATCACTATCACATCTGACTATCAGAAACTTCCTTTCCAGAAGGAAAATCAATATTACAGCCTTCCAAGTTAAACATGTTGTTCTGGCTCAATTTGTGGCAATGTTACTGAAAGCCTTAACTTTTATTCCAATCTATAGTTAAATAAATATGCGGTCTTAATACACAGTATGTATAACACACGTAAGTTCCTCACAGGTAACACAGTCCACTGCAATGAACATCATGCATAAAAAATATTTCTTACAAGAAATATACCTTACATACCAAACTCATATATTTAAATGGTTGTGGTAACAAATATTTTTAAACATGTTTCTGTTGCATTAAAATGAAGACAAAATTAATTCAACTTACTGGGCAGCTGTTCATGGAACTGGTTATACATAATCATGAGATCTAACAGAATGTTATGTCCAACAATGGGCTTCTTAAGCTCTGTCAGCAGTTTAAACAAGCGAGAGAATCCTAGCAGTGAATGCATCACGGTTTCTTCCAAAGTTTTATGTTGCTCTTCATTTTCCTCCAGTGCCTTTCTCTGCATGTGAGATATCTTCTTAACTCGTATCTAAATTGTAAAGATGTGTGCATGTGAGTCAGGAACAATATTAGTTGTCCACGTAAATTCAATCTCTGCAACTTATTATAAACCTTTCGTCTATCTACATTATCATATATTCTGCCTATATTAATGACCGTCATAACCATTTCCTTTCCATGTTCCTATCTTTCTGTCTATTCATTGTCATCAAAAATGTTTCAGAATGGATTAAGTGTGCTAATTAGGTTATGCACTCCATCTCTAGTTGTGTATTGGTAATATTTTTGATCAAGTACGACACTGAATATTCTTACCAAACACTTGTGGAACACAGAACAGAAGGACGTAAGCATGTAACCACTTATGCAAGACCCCAATTGGTGTGAAGATCTAGAAAAGACCCCTTAGAACTGGAAATGCAACCCAAGAGGCTGATCAGGCTTGTTGTAAACCTCAAGAGAAGTGATACAAGAAGCTGAAGCAGCACTGAAATTATAAATGTCAGGGAAACCCTAATTCTTCTGTATTGCTTGAACCATGGTCTCTCCCGAGACTGGCTCTATGCCTTCACAGTATGACATGGAACTAATGTCCTGAGTCTTAAATATTAAATGACTTACAAAACTAACACTCTCCATAGAAGTTACTTACCAGTCCCCCTTCTGGGAACGACCAAATGTCAGGGAATCTCTGTCGAAGTTCTTTGTGCATGACATAAGACAGTCTTATATCTCCTTGGCAGATGTCCAAGTTATTCAAGTCCAGTGTATCTCCCTGAACAGCACTGGCAGCCCATTTGGCCACACGGGAACATACCAACTGTATAGATTTCTCATCATCCAAGTCGACAGTACGGTCCAATTGGTGAAACAGTGATCCTTTGCTCAGTTCTTTGCGCAAATGAGCTTCCTCCTTTTGGTTCAGATATGGGACACCGTCATACACAAACTAACAAGCAACAATTTTCAGTAATTTCTTCCAAAAGAATAAGAAAACTGTTCAAACAGAATTATTAATAACAAAAATGAAATTTTACAAATCAAAATACAGTTATTCCAATAAAGTCAAGACATTATTGCTTTTTCAGAAAAGATTACACTTCTTACCTTATTAAAATCAAAATGATTCTGGCAAAGAAACTCCAAGGATGATGACTGACACATAAATATATTATCAATAGATGCAAATGATCTTGGAAATACATAAAATGTGTATTTACTGGCCTTGTATTTATTTTTGTCCTCAATAAATCTGAAGGCAGTTATACCAACTTGCATTATAAGAAAGTGCTCTGTACTTCGACGTAACTTCCCATATCGCTCACTACCAGTGTCAAACAAGCTACAAGAAAGAGAAAGCAATGTTGTAAGTCAATACAGCATAACTTACCTCAGGCCAAACACAAAATCTTGTCAACGTTAATCCCACATATGAGAAGTTATAGCTGTACATACTATGCAAGCTATATCCATGTTATGCAAATGTGACAGGGAAGGGAAACACCATATACCAGGACAAGAACTTCAATCTATTAATGTTCATATTGGAATAACATCTTCTCAGGCATTCAGCCACACATAAATTTTGGAGACTTCTGCTTTATACTTGTATGACTAATTACCCAAGAAGAATTCAGGACTTTCAGTCATCTTGAATGTTTCATATATTTTACCTGAAACATATACTTTCATTCTTACAATTCAACTGCATCATATTTTGTGTTATTTAATGACACTTCAGTAGGAAGACTGTACAGCATCAAATTGGAGAATAGATGAAAAATGAACTGGAAAGGATTTGCAAGTAACTAAAATTGAGGTAAAAACCAGGAAATATCTCAGGCAGGAGGGTTAGTGTTGCGACCAAGATTTCAACTGAGCACCATCTGAAGATGAAGATAGAGGATTCTGCTATGCCAAGCCACTCTACTGCAACAATGACAGTTAATGGTAGGAACAAAGTACTGGTCACTAAGCTGATATTTAAATCACACTATGACCTATAGGAATGAATTTCCCCACATCCAATAGTGTGTGTATCTGCGTATGCATGCATGTGCGTGCACATCCTCGATGTGTCCTTACTATCAATTATGCACATCACTACCTTCCAGTGTTCTCCCATGTCTTTATCTGTGAAGAAGAGAGTAATGAGTTCATTGCTTTCCTTTAAGAATGGTGATAGTGCTAAGTCTGCACTATATACCAGACACATATTCATTAATCAGTAAATTTACCATTCTACATACATCAGTAGAACTGAATGAAAATTTGTGGATATAACATTCTTAATAATTTTAATCTAGATAAGACAATGCACAATGAAAACTGAAATTAGACACTATAAAATTAAATGGTGTGGTATATCTTTACACTACTGTAACAAATTTCATTGGCTAAATTAGAATGATTTGGGTTGGGGTGAAAATCATTTATAAAATCAGACATTGGTTTATGTTACCACAGTAACTACAAACACAGTAAGAGCTGTGATATCTGTCACTGGATGGTTCAGAAAGATCTACGAGGAGTGTTCCATATATAATGCCTCCTATTTTCTTAATGAAAACTACAACAGATACAGAAAGCATAATAATGCAGTTAAATAGAGCAAGATTTCATCTACTTACAGCTATTTTTCCACATAATCACCACCATTCGTTATGCACTTTTGCCATTGATGAACAAGAGCCTGTATGCTGCGCCTGTAAAAGTCTGCACCAGCAGAGGCTAGCCACTTTCTTACAGCTGCAATGACAACATTGTTGTCTGGAAAATGTTGCCCACGTAGTCTGTCTTTCTTAGGCCCAAAGAGATGGAAGTCTGAAGGTGCTAAATCGGGGCTATAGGGTGGATGTGGTAGGACAGTCCAGCCAAACTTTGCAATGTGCGCGGTGGTCGCCAAACTGGTATGGGGTCTAGCGTTATTGTGTTGCAAGCGAAAGGTTGTCTGCTTCTCTGAACTGACTCAGGAAATGCGGGCTTTCAGCTCAGTCAGTGTTGTCTTGTAGCATTCAGAATTGACAGTCTCACCAGGCTCCAGGAAATCCAACAAAATTACACCCACCTATCCCAAAAGACCATGCACATCACTTTCCCTGCTGATGGCTGTGTCTTGAACTTCTTTTTTCTTGGGGAATCTGGATGTCGCCACTCCATGGACTGTCTTTTGGATTCCAGCTCGTAGTGGTGACACCACGTCTCATCTCTGGTGACAATGCTGTCCAGAAACTTGTCACCTTCAGCCTCAAACTGGTGCAACAGGTCCTGACAGACTTCCATTCGATAAGTTTTGTGATCCTGTGTAAGCATCCGTAGGACCCACCTGGAACAAACTTTGCGATAATCCAGCTTCCCCAACATCGTTTCCAATGCATTACAGCCAATATTAAGCCATGCACACAGTTCCCCGGTCGTTATCCACCGATCTATACGGGTGAGCTGATCAAGGTGCTGATCATTGTGAGGAGTGGCAGCTGAGCAGGGACGCCCAGGGAGTGGCTTATCATGCACTTCACTTTCGCCACTGTCGAAAAGCATTACCCATAGCCTCACTGTGCTGACATCCACTGTATTGTCTCCATACACCTTTAGCAAGCATCGATGGATGTCAATGGGTGCAATTTGTTCGGCAGTGAGAAATTCAATAACACAGCTCTGTTTCGTACGCACGTCTATGTCAGACGTCATTTTGGTAGTCTGCTCTGCTGTCGCTATCTGTCACATGACAACCAAACTAACAGTACACTGGCGGGAAGGTTCAACATTTACTACAACACCACCAACATCCAGCTCAGACGTTACATATTAACACAAAAAAATAGGAGGCATTATATATGGAACGCCCTTCGTATTAACCGGAAACTGACTGATCTGTGAATATGATGATGAGACTAATGAAATACTGGTATTCAATTTTATTTTTTGATTATGCGAGGGCTATTTGGAAAGTAACATCTGTTTATTTTTAGCAACTAATGTAGGCGTGGAGGGATAGCTCGCACATGTGAGGTAGCATCACATGACTCATTGCCTTGTACACCACCACATAACTTGTCACCTAGTGTTTGTTCTTGCCTCAACAGAGTCAGTTATGTTGAGTGCTGCAATTGATAATCCCACCAGATGTGAAATTCACGCTGTTATCTTCTTTCTTCATGCTAAAAACATGAGTTCTGTGGAAATCCATCGTGAATTATGCACAGTGGTTTACAGTCAAAATTTAATGAGTGAAAAAATTTTTATACAGTGGTGTAGAATGTCCAAAGATGGGCAGGCAAACAAATGTCCATCATGAAGAGTGAAGTGGTTGGCCATCTGTAGTGAGTGATGATCTTGGTCAAAGTGTTAACCAAAAAATTTGTGAAAGACAATTTTAGAACTTGTGTGTGAATTTTCAGAGACTTCATGCACTCTTCTCTATGAGATTATAAGAGTTAGGCTACGCTATCACAAGTTTTGTGCAAGATGGGTCTCAAAGATCTCATAGGTGCACACAAAATGCTGAAAAGGGCTTCAGCTCTGACTTTTTACAGTGATACCATAAACATGGAAAGGAATTTCTCAATCACATCGTATGAGTAACAGGTGATAAAACCTGGGTTTAATTTGTAAATGATGAAACCAAAGTGTATACCAAATTTTTAACGAAACATAATGTGCAGTTACCTGGGTTTAAACGCTGGGTCAGACAGTAGACCTGTAAATTCAGTATCCACTGCAACAAACACAGCACTCCTTAACCTGCCTTCAATTTCAGGATACTTCTCCTCAAAATTATTTCTAGTAATTTCAACCATCATTATTCTGAAATAAGTAAATAGATCCAGTTAAAGCACAATTCTGTGCTTGCAGGTACACTCTTTCATGACAATGAAGTAAGTCTAGGCGACATGCCACTTCTACATCTTTGCTCAACACACGTCAACATTATCAGTAAAGAACCTTTCGAAGAGTGCAAACATGTAACCACATTTGTTACAGTATCATGTTTCAGGCATAATTTATTAAATCTGAGATCATGAAAAGGCGATCAACAATTAGTATAACCTTTGTTAACAGTTTTTCAGATAAGCGCTTCAGGAGCACTTGCAACCAACAAGAGGGCACTGATATGTTGGGATTTTGGACTTTATCCATCGTCCTGGTTTTTAAGATAACAAATAAAAACACAACGTTTCGGAAACAGATCCAGTTTCCGAAACGTCGTGTTTTTATTTATCTTAAAAACCAGGACGATGGATAAAGTCCAAAATCCCAACATATCAGTGTGTTATACACCATTGTCAGAATCCTATAGTAACAACAAGAGGGCATTCCAAACAGAACACATAAAGTTTACTTTTTTCGTTGCACATATTTATAGTCCTACATATCTTGTACTATTCTGGCTGTTTTCTTCTTGTGAAAAACTTATTACTTAAGTACAGTTTCTGTCAAAGTTAAATTTGTCAGATTTAACCTCAAAGTTTTGCACCACAACGATGTTAATTCATAAACAGTACGTTTCAAATATTCACATAAAAAGTTGGTTGAATGCTTGGTTACGATGGACTTTGAGATCATGCTGCACCTTGACAACTTTAATAACATAGGTATAGGACTTCCTATGTGCCATGAATGGAATAAAAACACATGAGAGAAGTCAGACACAACATACAGAAGGACAAACCACAAGCAACATGAGTCATGACTTACTGTTCCCCATTCAATCCAAGCTGGATGGAACATCACTCATCATCTTACTGTGCATAGCTCCACAGGGGGCTTGAGCTGCAGCAGATGACAGATTTGTGCACATCAAGAGAGACAGTCCCTGACATGTTGCTCACCAACTCAATGTTCTCATGGCTCGCTGCCCAAGAAGACTTCATTGTATTATGCTGTCACATGTTACTAACTAGACATGGGGTTTGGATTGATAACTGGATTTACTGGATGCTCATAACACATCATTACAAATTATTATAGCAGCCTCACTAATTTACACACTTTGCAAATAACTACAGCTACAGCAGACACAAAGTCTTCTGCCTGTTAGTGTCATCAGTAACTTTTGCTAGACAGAAGCTGCTAACAAAGGGAACTTCTCACAGCCAACCATGAACTGCCACTGCTCACTTGCGCCTATGGCTAAACTGGAAATGAAATGGTGTTTCTGGGCCTTTATGTGGCACATGGTTTTACTTGGAAAGCACCGATAGACAATACCACACTGCAGCTGAAAACAGTTCCAGCGTTGAACCATTTAGTTTTATAATTAGCAGATCATTTTACAGTGAGCTAGGCTTATTCTTTACAGATTTCATCACATTCAACTCTCTTTCATAGCGTGCTCTAGAAGTTGGAAGGGTGGTAAATACTGAGATTATCCTGCTGAGGGATATAAATCATGACAAAACATACTTCAGTAAGTCCTCAAGTTTCATTCTCTGAACATTGTCTTAGCTTCATGCTGCTTCTGTAACTGTCTGAAATGTGGTAGTAAAAGTGAGAAGCGTATGTCTTTATTCCCAAGTCGCTAAAACTTCTCATTTTAACACTAGTCCAGCTTTAGTGCACTGAGCACAGAACAGACCAGAGCTGTTTCACAGGTGATGATGTGACAAAGCCTTTCATTCAACACTTCTGTTCCTGATTTAATGAGTGTCCTTATGTCAATCTCAAGTTTTACTTTTGCCTGTGTTATGCTGGTCAGCTGAATTTCTTCCAGTTGTCATGTCAATGAAACACACTCAATTATGTTTTCAAACGGCCTCTTCCAGCTTCTCTAAGGAATATAGAGTCAATGAAAAATGTACTTTTATAATGCTCAGCATCAGGTCTTCTCTTTGGGTAATTATGAGTAGCTTCTCAAAGGCAAGAAGAAAGTCCACCAAATTTTTAAAAGTACTATCAAAATAGGAACACAAACATTCAAAAGAACACCTAGAACTGAAGGAGGCTACTACAGATATTCACTTGCCAGATGGTAAAATCTATCCAAATTGAGTTTACCATCCCCTGGCTATCCTCATACAAAATTACACATAATGTTTCATTAGTTATCATTCTCGACACACTCCCCGCCAAAAGAAAAGTCACTGTATTTATTTTACAGTTTTACCTGAATGAACGTTAGACATTTTTAAAAGATCTATTACCATGTAAGTAAGCAAGTAATTACCATGCATCATTTCAGGTCCAAAAATTAAGTGATGCTACTGCCACTCCCACATAACAAGTTACACATCCTCTATGTTGTTATTACTGAGTGCAGAAAACTGAGGAGTCTGTAAGTGTAACAAGATGACCTCCAATGGCCTAAGATCATACCAGGTTTAGTGAAAATCTGTCAACTGGTACAAACACTGAAATTGGGGAGGGGGGGGGCAGTGACATGCACACACAGCATGGCAATCTCATAATCCTACTTTTTTTTCCCTTAAGGTAGGAAAGTAGACTAAAAATGTGGCCATTCAGCATAAATTAAATTCTGTCTCTATGGAGGAATAAGATATGTCAGAAGTGAGTTAAAGCAGGAGAGAGTGTCCATTCATTTACTAACAGTGTAGCAGATAGCTACAAGCAGCAAGTGTCTACTTCAGTTAAATTCTCTCTCTATGCTACAGAGAATCCAATCTAACCATAACACAGACCATTCTTTCCAGTGTTCTAAAGGAACTAAATAAAAATATTGACAAACTTTCAGTTCATCCCCATTTTACAACTGATTATACTCTTGAATTTACACACAATACTGAACAATTTATGTGACATACTTCTCAGGAAGAGGCAATATCAGCAAAATGAATGCAATGCTGATATGGCCACTTCCTATAACTTACATAATCTGACACCTAATAAACACCGTAACAGTGGACAAAATAAATAATCATAATGAGCATGAAATAAATGATACTCAAGAGCAACGACTATAATGACAACCCAAAGCAATGCTTCATAACGAATATGACAATTTAAATACTCCTGACAACTCTATAAACAAATTTCTTTTCAAAATTGAGCAAGAGTCCAGAGTAACACCAAACACGACTAACTCTCTTAATGCTATACAATTCTCAGCAAAACACTTTAAACTGGACTCTATATAAATCACTAGTAATGTATGTTGTCGGGGTAATATTTCATTTTTATACAAATTCAAATATTGCGCCATGTTTGGTTATGTTAGATGATTATTCAATTTGTACGCGGTCCTATAGCACCAGCAACGAAATACTTACGTACATTGACATGAGTTATGTAGAGAGAATATTCATTATGGACTGACATATCAGAAAGGACAAAACATTATATTCCAAATTCCATACTAATATCGCGCCAACTGCTCTCACAGCCTTTACACTCACACCAAATAAGCCTGTCACGGACGTCACGGATTACTACGCAGGGCAGCCAACACCACAGATGGAAATGTCTCTAATTCATAGCATGAAATTAACCAGATCCTTCCTATGAGTGTGTGTGTGTGTATTTATTTATTGCGTGGCATGCAGATCCGTTGCTATGTAACGACCGCAATGTAAGAAACTATATAACAGTCGTTGCCAATTAATGACTCTGCTAACATCGGCCGTTGCTAAGCAATGGCTGAGTAGCAATCACGTGGGAACGCCAACATACACGAACGAAAAAATTGCCCAGCAACAGAAGAACGTCTCGTCAGAGAGGGCGGCCCGCAAAAACAAGACCGTAACTGTTAAAGGTAATAAATATCTGGTCATGAGCCCCAGATGGGGCTCGACACCAAGACTTACTGACTGACTGACCGTCAGTCGAAATGTGACTTGGACTTGGAGTGGTCGTGGCCTCAAGGGTCCTGACGCCAAGACGAACTGATTGGCGCGGGTGTGGCGAAGGCACCAAAGCTTCTTCACTTCCCCTCCCCCTCTGTTTTCTAGACTCTTCTCGAATCGTGCAGTCTTCACCGTAGGCTAGATGGTTCCAGAATGGCTGCACCTGGGTAAACGTGTGTAGAATTTGCCAATTAAGCCAGTCTGAGGAGCGAGTTTGGGTGCGATCTTGGCGCGGCGTCCAGTTACCTGTGTGGTGAAACAATGCATAGTGTCGAACAAGTCAGTAAATGCAAGGAGCGAATACTGCAGTGGCGTTTAGTGAAGCAGTAGTGAACTAAAGGAAGGGGAATTCAAGGTCGTAAGTGAGAAATTAAAAGTATGTATCTGCTCGGAATCAAGATAAACTTTACAACAAATTTAATGACGCTGTTGGTAGCTCAGATTATACACGTCGAATGGTAGGATCAAAGTGAATAGCGAAATAGAAAGTGTGTAGGAGGAAGCCATCTTGACCTAAATTGAATTACCGTCCGGCATTTATCGGAAGACCCAGGAAAACTTCGATAAACCTCCGTCAGTGACGTCAGGACGGCTAAAATTCGAAAGAGTCTTCTCCTGAACAGAAGTGGAACACGATACTACCTCGTGGTACGGTACGTCAGTGTTTATCTGTCGGTGTCCCGGCCAGGATTCGAATCGAGCACGTCCGGAACAGAATACCGCTTGATCCCACTTGCTCGGTTGGTGGGCGTAACAGAACGCTACCATGTTTATCCGTTCCACTCTAATAACATTGAACCAATTAATGGATTTTCATAACAGCATCAACTTTGCTCAAAGCCACCAGATTGTCACTTTCTGATTCCCTGCAAGAATATTAAGCAACATGTCGGCCGCGCGAAATCTGTGTTTATATTAGACAGCAGTAGCTACGTGTTCCAGATAGACATCAGAAATTTCATTTGGATGTAGATAATGGATACGAAAGATGGCCGCCTTCATATCACCATTGAGTCGTTACGTCCCCCCCCCCAAGAAAAAGCACTTCCGTACGTCGCCCCTTCCTTAACCCCACCGTTTAGCTCTTCGTTTCACTGGAACATCTGTGATAACGCTGGCTAGCCTAAGTGCTTTGGACCGGCCAAGCTGTGGCCCTTTCCGTCGCCACTGAACTGTACCCTTGAGGACGCTTCACCACTGTGCCAAAGCGCCAAATTATGTTCAGTGTAATGTCTGACAATCGACTGTCATAGCCGTAAAAATTAACACTCGCACTGCGTGTGTTTATGCTAAACATGTCACCATAGAAATTTCAGTTCATCAGCTCCTGACATCACATCTTTGCATGATCTGTTACAAACTCTTCAGCGAATTGTCATTGTACAGACTTTTGTGCGTTGTTTCCAACTCAAGCTCGCACGGCTGTTGATGACAGGAGTTACAGCGGTCTACTTCCTGGTGCTGTTTTGAATGACACGGTGTTAATGCACAGTTGCACAAAAATCGGTGAATTAATGCCTGTAACGTTGTCAGGAGACACACATAAGAACGGATGGACACGCGCGACTCGCTGATACTGTTCCGAACCATTGAACCATTGAAGCAGAAGAGATCACTGAAGGACGCAGTGCAAGGGCCGGATTATTATGACCCACCCCTCATACATTCATTCATTCCGAATAAATAAATTAGTTCCGTCGGAGTTGCTGCCTGGTTCAGGTTTAGCAGCTGATGGTGTTGCAGAATGAAGTGCCGAGGAAGGTTATTTCGAACTATACGGAGGTCACGGAAAGCAATATCATTGATGGTGAGGACGAAAGGGCTCGAGGCTTTGCCTTTCTGTCTATTGTTTTATTGCTTTCCAGTCCCGCCTGCCCTTGTCGGCCTGCCTAGAGCACGTGTCGCTAGCCGAGGATAAGACCAACTTTCCTACGCACAGAATGTGTAAACAGAGCCGGAATAGCGTAGTCAGCACAGCGACTGGCTACGGGCTGCACGACCGGGGGTGGAATTCAGAATTAGGCCGACCACAGTGGCCGCGCGGTCTAAGTCACGAACAGTCTTCGCCCGCTCAAAAACTGGGATCGTGGGTTCGAATCCAACTTGAGGCATGGATGTCTATGTGCGTTTATTCTGTGTTTGTGTTGTCCTGTGTGTGCAAGCAGCGGCCTTGCGACGGGCTGATCCCCCGCCCAAGGAGTCATACCGACTGTGTGAAAGATCAAGAAACTGAAAAACGGCCAAGGCCCAACAATGGGCTTTAGAGCCATAGATAGACAGATAGAATGTGTAAACAACTGGGAGAGGGGGAATATGTGGAAGTGCACATGAGAGGGGTGGGTCGTAACAGCTCAAGGGAGGTATGGATAACTTGTTCCCTGTTCACAGTATAGGAGGGATGAAGGTAACTGCATCGCGAGGAGTTTAATAATCTGTATTCTTCTCCCAATATTAAGACTACCTTTCTTCTAGGACGGTAAAATAGGCAAAGTTGTCCCCTGGGCTTAGCTAATTAAGCAGTGCGCCATGAAGGCGTATGTGAGGTGGATGTAGGGATCCACGTTATCTTGACCTCGGCACTAGTTGGAGGTAAGTGGTCAGTCTCATGACCCAGCCGCTTTATCTCCTGGCGAAGGACCCTCGGTATCCACTGGACAGGAGGCCGGGTGGGCCCCAGAACTGGTTTGGACGACGTGGAGAAAATTCTTGACCCTACCAGGACTCGAACTCTGATCCCTCTGTCGTGCAGCCCGTAGCTAGTCGCTGTCCTGGCTCCCTCTTCCAGGATGTCACAAGTTTACTTTACGATACAGCCCTCATCTCAGGCTGCACAATGTCGAATGGCGGGGTCAAAACTCAGTAATAAATTGTAAGGGGTTCGAAATGAAGCGGTCGTGGCCTAATTCAGGCAATATCCCGGATTCTGCCTGGACAGACTGAGGAAAACCGCGAGAAATTTCAGCCAGGATCGCCAGTGTCCATGCCGGAATTGGAACCAAGCACTCCCCCCGAATACCGCGATGTTAGCCTGCTCACATTACACAAGGTATTATTAAGGCGAATAAATGAAGAATAATGAGGTGGGCGAGGCATGTAGCAGGCATTGAGCAAATTCGATATTTATGTAAAATTCTAGTTGAAAAATCCTGAAGAGAGATTTCGGCAAATGTTAAAATTTATTTTGCAGTAATGTGGTTTGTGGAAGTGGACAACATTAAATACGTTTGGGAGGGGAAGAAGGGCTCAATGGTGTTTATTTTAAACACGATAAGAGATGTGGAATTGCATAAAAGCGGGGAATTTCGTGAGCAGTTCAGTAATTAACCAGTCGGAATATTTCTGTCAGTAAAGTGACTGTATACGTGTTGAATGTCTGGGGTTCAATTCCAGTAGGGGCATAGATATTTGTTTTGCGACCCACGCATCACCACTTGAGGCTCGCCCAACCTCCTGTCGAACGGATACTGGGAGTTCTTATATTACGAGTAAAGCAGCCGAAGCATGAAGCTGGCCGACCACTCACTTTCATCTCGTGCTATAAGCGGGGATGCTTGCAGGTCTACTTCTCGTCTTACTTACATGCCTTAGTGACAGAGGCAGCTTTAGCTGACCCAGCAAAATATCTAAAAAGATTGAACACGCTTTCGCACTTGAAGTCAGCAACATCGCTGATGTATTCTCAACAGTAGCACTTAGGCATATCGCTGTTCCCCTTGTCCGTCGCTGCTTCCTTTGTTGTGGATATCGGCAGAAACAGAACAGCGCCATCTCGTCGCCCAGTGCCCTGGCGTGAGGCGAGTGGGTAGGTTGTCGGCAGTGGTCCGGTCACACACACGGCAGAAGCACGGCAGTTGCCAAATGCCAACAAAATCCGGTAAGCTCCATCTTTACGCTTAGTTTATCAGACGTACCTCTCATAAAGTGTGTATAATGGAGAAGTCGTGTCTGTCCCTTCCGAGAGCATCCAGCGGGGTTCGACTAAATTTCGTGCTGAGGGTCTGCATGAAAAGGAGTCGGCCAATGCAATTTGGAACCGCGACGGTTCTGTACTTCAGTACTCCTGCTTTACACGAAGTTCTGATATATGTTCCGTAATTTTTGAACGGCTCTGCCTACAAAAAAAGTACATATTTGGATACTTTTCGCTGCAGTACATACGTAACGAAATTTCTCCCTTTTTTGTACTGTCTGTAGCATGAATACGTTTGCAGCAATAGTACATCAGCAACAAGGCAGACGGCATTTGAAAACTATGTGTACTCTCGATTTTAATTTAACTGAATTCTCAGAGGCCGATCACAGTCTAAGGCATGAAACCGTCTGTGTGCGTTTAATTCAGTGTTTGTGTTGTTCTGTGTGTAGGTAGCGGCCTTGCAACAGGCCGATCCCCCATCAAAGGAGTCCTACCGACTGTGTATAGATTAAGAAAGTGAAAAAGCGGGCAAGGTCCAAAGGGCTGTAGAGCCATAGAGATAATTCTCACAGAAAATATTCTCCGGATTTCCGATGTCATTGGATTTTTCAATTGACCTAACTGTTCTAGCCGGAATGGCCCTGGGGTCGACTCGCCCCTAACAGAAATGAGTACCAGGAATCTTCCTGGGGGTGGGGGTAAAGAGCGGCCAGCGCGTAAGGCTGACAAATTTACCGTCATTCGGGAGCCGATTGTCTAGAGAAAATGTGGGAGCCTCGACGTCTCACAACCCTATGGCCCTCCATGACCTGTTACAAGGATGGCTTTACGTTCCTAGCTATGCTTTTTCAGACAGTTGACCGAGAGGAAGAATGGGTGCCGCAGTGGTCAGCGTCACATGAACACTTTTCGGCATGTAGATAATAGCCATAGTCTTGCAAACGCAACACAGCCGTTTCCTTAGAATACTGATCAGAAGCTTCAGTATCCACAGGAAAGCCACTGGAAACTGCCGGTCGCAAGCAATAAGCTTTTCATCGAGGCCCGTAGTCGCATTTTTGCCATAATTTATTGTACTGCTGGCAGGTATTGCGTGGTCCATTATCAAATCCACGTATGAGCGTAATTTTGCAGGTACGAGTATTTGCTGTTTCCCAGCAGGTGCTTCAGCCCGTCTGACTTCAACAAGCTTGATGAACAGGGAGCCCGAAAGCATAATATGCAGTGTTTTCGATTTCTCTTGACATTCTCTATAACTGTTCATATTTTGGGGTGTTGCCCGCACACACACATATAGGCCAGTAGACTTCTCCAACCACCAGTCGAAACCAATTCCTTTCTATTTACTATCGCACTTTTCTCCCCTCTCCATTTGCCCCACTTTGGAGCACAGGGCTGATTGATCAGTTTCATGGTCAATTTTACAGACGGCAGGACTCCTTGGGCGGGTCAGATGCTCATCGCAAGGCCTCTGCCTAAACACAGGACGACACAAACACAGAATAAACGCATACACACACCAAACATCCATACTTTGTGTGGGATCCGAACCCACGATCCCGGCTTCCGAGCGAGCGAAGACAGTTCACGCCTTAGGCCGCTCGGCTACCGTGACCAGCCGTTGTCGGACTAAGTTTCTCGATCTGCTTTTCAAGTGCATGAATTTCTGCCGTTTCTTGCTCATATCCAGGCTTTATGGATCGACAGAATCCTGTTGATGTTGGCTTAGGATTATGTCATATTACAGTTTCCTTATCCAGTCGGAACTGAGAATAAGACTAACGCAGTTGCAAGGGTATATTTGGGCACTGCGATAACAAATCAAAACCTGATTCAGGAGGAAATTAAGAGGAGATTGAACTCGAGTAATGCTTGCTACCGTTTAGTCCAGAACCTTTGGTCTTCTCATCTGCTGTCTAAAAACATAAAAATCAGAACATATAAAACTATAATTTTGCCTGTGGTTCTGTATGGATGTGAAACTTGGTCTCTGACATTAAGAGAGGAACACAGACTGAGGGTGTTTGAGAACAGGGTGTTGAGAATATTTAGACCGAAGAGAGATGAAGTGGCAGGAGGTTGGAGAAAACTACTTAGTGAGGAGCTTCATAACTTATACTCTTCTCCAAGTATAATTAGAATGATAAAATGAAGGAGGATGAGATGGGCAGGACATGTAGCATGAATGGGTGGAAGAGGAATACATATAGGATACTGGTGGGAAAGCCAGAAGGAAAGAGACCACTAGGAAGACCAAGACGTAGGTGGGTTAGCAATATTAAAATATATCTTAGAGAGATGGGATGGTATGGATTGGATCGATCTGGCTCAGGACAGGGACCGGAGGAGGGCTCCTGTGAACACGGTAATGAACCTTCATGTTCCATAAAATGCTGGGAAGTTCTAAGTAGCTCCACAGTTGGCTTCTCAAGAAGGGCTCATCTCCATCGACACAACAGAAGATCAGAACCATGGAAATAATTTGAATTCCTACTAAATGTTTCTATGAAATTGCCCCGTTCACTGCTTCACGAAAACCTTACTTGTAAGTCGGTCTCGTTACTGCGCCTTCAGAAAGAACTTGGTTTAACGCATGCTTCAGAGAATTTTATCTGTTTTTAAAGCCATTGGAAAGTGTCTTGAACAAATATAACCTTCATCCTGCAGCATCATTTCCAAAGAAGTGCGAACTGGTATATAAATTTCGAAAATTATATTTTAACGTATGGTTGACTGTTTTGAGGAGCTCCTTGTAATCCTGCCACCATCAGTACATGAACCCCGAGGGATTCCTTCCCGATAGCTTTCGTATACAGCAGATCAAACATAAAAATAGTGGGTTAACACAATTAGAGTTAAAGCCTTCCCCCTAAAGAGGGAGCAAAAATGTGCAGAAATACGAGTACATTCATGAGTCTTAAAAATAATTAATTTGAGAATATTATGTTATTTTATGGCGTGAATCCACGACATTCGTATAATTTAAGTATAATACAGATTTCAATTTGTTTGTACCATTTTATACTCGGTTCTTTTAACTGCCTTATAAACTGTGCAGTCTCACTTGATGAGCGTAACATGACGTAGCCTGTACGTAACTTGCGAGCTCCATATTGCCCACTCTCCATTTCGCTCCGAGTGATAAACCTATTGTAAAAACCCAACAATCACACGTTTCTCTCGGACACTGCGAACAAAGGCAGGTGGAAACATTAAGTTTGCAATGATGTCATATTGTACAATGTTGTCAGATTTCTCTTTCTCTTGCAAATTGAATTCTTTGGCTATTGTTAATTACCCAAAAATCTGTGATCTAAACATGAGAAAATGTCTTTCGTCCTGCAACATTTCAGTTTTCGTCCATCCTGCTTCGCAGAATTGGGGGAGAGGCAAATTCTAAAAGCTCCTCTTGGAAAGACAAAGCGGAAAGGTTACTGATCCTGTTTTACGTCGACAATTAGGCACAAATGCGTCCAAGAAACTATCTTTGTTCTGCCAAATCGAAGATCACCGAGGAAAGTGGCAGGTACAAGAAAAGTTTCTTTTGATGAGCTGTTAAAAATAATAATAACCGATGAGGAATACCTTCAGGTAGGTTGTAACGCCGTGTAACACCGCTTCCATCTTCGGAGTCGAAAGAGTGAGCCATCAGAAGTAGGCGGCATGTTCCTCCGAAACCTTGGGATCTCTCAGAAGTACACGGTGTTACAACCTAATCATACACATAGTGACCGCCGTGAGAACCCCAAATCCAGCGGAATGTTGTAACATAATTCGGCACATTTCCCTCATTATGAGTAATTTTACTTTTATGTTATTCAGAAAAGCCCATTCTACACTGAACGTGGGGCGCATGTGCAATTCGTGACGTTCCTGTGGATTATCTGGCGACACTACATTATTCCTTGCTGGGGCAGCATCCAGACTGGCTCTGGGGCCCACCCAAGGGCTCTTTCCACTCAGTTCCATTTAGTGCCCACGTCAAGAATGATGGAGCTATGCTTCCACTCCCCCCATACATCTTTATGGCGTGGTCTTTAGTTAATTAAGCAGAGAGACAACCTTACATTTTTTATACTCCACTGCGGCGTGATTTAGTCCTGTTTTCTCGTATAGAAGATTATTAACGCCGTCCAGTGTGACTGATAATTGCTGTCTTTTTATAATCTTTCATCATGACGTGGGTAAAGCAAATACATCTCTGCAACTCTACACAAAAGTACACTTTCCCTTTCTTCTTGTTGAGTCTGCTTTGCATTAAATGCTGTTTGCAGTCCGAAATAACAGAAAGAGTTGAGTAGAATTTAAAACAATGAAACAACAAAACGTAAGACAAGAATGAAGGGCTAGATTGTGCAGAGAACTCAGAAACGGAAAAATATATGCCACTGGGTTGGAGCCCAGCGTGTGTCGCGTTGCCTGGACCTCCCACCATCTTGATCTCACAGGAGACCTCTACATTGATTTGCACCATGTGACACACTTAGTGTAGCTGAGGTCTTCGGCCTGCAAGTGGGGCACAAATGACACGCAGATATTTTTAGTAAATCACCCGCATGCTGCAAGCCATCATTTTCAAAAGTGGGCCAAGCACCCCTCATTAGCTTGCTGAAACCTGAACTTTAGAGCAGTGATTCTCAACCATTGTGAGACCGCGGCCCGGCGGTTGAGAAACACCCGCCTTGGAGGGTCAGCGTAGAGCGTAGGAAGTCTAAATAGGAACCCGCAGATGGCTATTTATATATAGACACTGCATCTGTTTATTCGTAGGTCATGAGTTGGGGAAGCTCAGTCAGCAAAGTGATGAGCTACGAACTGGACGACTGGGGTTCGATTTCCGGCAGAAGCAAGGATACTCGTACGGTCTTGGCATTGCTTGTATGAACTGAAGAAAACACGAATAACTTCGGTCAGGATAAAGCCGACCGAGATTCGAACTGGCAGCTCCTGAATACAAGTCGTATACATTTCTGCTTGATGAATGTGCATGCTGACCACGTGGGCCCCTTAATTTTCACTGGACATCTCTATTAGTAGGGCTACTGAAGGGAATTTTTCTTTTGTCCATGTTGAAGTAAGCCGTGTATAGGCTGAGTACTGGAGGGACTTCCCCAGAAGAAAGGTGACTGGAGAGTGAAGCTGCCCATCCGCCTCCACCTAGCCCCGAGGTTATGAATAACCATAGCCTTACCTCCACTCCCCTTATATGCTTTCATGACATGGTCCTTGGACACAGGGACTACATCTTTTAACTTAACCACAACCATCGAGTTACTTCTACCTTCAATCAGTGTTAGTTTCTTCGGTTATTAGCAACACTGAATAAACTGAAGAGATTATAATGTTTAGCGAGACTTGCGGATGGTCATGATAGGGCAACTTCTGGGAATGTACAAAAAAAAAAACGCTTATCCAAAGTGGCCAATACCTGGCCAGTACTCCACCAGTTTTCAGTTCTGATTTATGTTGTGTGTTGACAGTCATGAATAAGCAATGCATCTGTGTTGACTAGAACTCATTAGCCAATCAATATTTCAGTCTTCACTTTGTGTCATTTGAAAATCCACATGTTCTTGGCCGTAACATAAGAACAGAGCTTCTTCTTTTTATATTCACGGATTAGGAAATGTGTTGCACCCAGTGGTCTCAGAATCCTTTTTCTCTGACTTCTTATGACCTCTAATTCTAATGCCCATAAGATAAAGTCATCCCTATGTTTAATTAAGTATGTGCCATGAAGTCATATGGAGGAGAGGAGGTATTTTTGTTGGAGATATTCTTAACCTTGGTCATGGAGGCGAGTGGCCAGCTTCATTTCCCTGCAACTTCGCCATTGGGGAAATATACCCTGGTAGCCTCTGGATGGAATGCTGGACAGGCCCCAGAGCTGGTCTGGATGCTTTGAATAAGAGAAAGTCTCTTGCTCCTGCCAGGAACTGAACCCCAATTTCTCAGACAGTTGCCAGTCTCTATACCGACTGAGCTGTCCAGCTCCTGTTTTAATCCCTATATTTTATACTTCCATTCTGCCCTTGGTCATTTTTTTCTCTATGTAGTTATCTCCTCAACTCTGTAATTGACCTTTAACTCTCTCAGTATCGGTGTGTCAATATTTTTCTTTGCCTTTCTAGCTTACTGTATGTAAATATTTCTTTTTCTGTTTAACTGTCTCATGTAGAGTCTGTCAATGTGTCATTATGTATCAAGTTAAAAAGCCTTTAAGTTCTCATTCCTTCCATAAATTTTACCTTCATACTGATGCTGTGTGTTCAAGGAAGCAGTTGATATAGATATAGCAATTCTTGTCTATTACAAGTGATAAAAGATCATCTATTTTTCTTCACTTAGAGTCAGTGTTGTCTGCACTCTGATAGATACGGGATAAGCTGTAGAACTCCTGCCTATGAACATCCAGCCACACAGATGTTACTGCTACAATCACTACCCATCTACTGAACAGATATTTTCCTTTGCTGTTTGATAACTGATTTTATATTTTGTGTTTTTGGCTTATTTGTGTTTCTGTTGTAATGTATTTAACACTAGAAAAATTGTTATTTACTTGTACCCATACTGTGTGGAGTAGTACCTGATTGTTAATCTGAATGTTACAAACCCTGACATGGTCATGGGGTGACTAACAAAACGTGAACAGAGGAGCAAATGAGAACTTGACCCCTGACTTCATACATAGACACATTAGACAGATAAGTTGTTGTTGTTTTCCTCCTCCTCCTCCTCCTCCTTTTTCTTCTTCTTCATGGCATGCAAGCCTGTTCTGATTTCACATGCAAATTCCATAATCAGAATCAGAATGAATGAAAATGGACAAGTACAGGCAGAATTGCACAAATCATCTGGACAGAATGACTGGTGGAAGAATACTGAAACATAGTCTACACAGTATGAAAAAGAAGTACTCGTATGTTACTAAAGTTCACATCAGTAATACAAATGCAAAGATTATTGTATGGGCTATGGGAAGAAATAAAAGGTCATAAACCAGTTGTAGTGTGGGAATACTTATAAACCTTCAGTTTGGAGTTAGGGAAATACCAAGGAGGCAATAGAATGAGGAGTTTGAGCCTAAATAGACAATAAGTTGCCAGCTCCTCTTTAGAAGAAGAACAATTCTTATGTCATATGGCCAAAATATTTTAAATATTGACACTTGACCTGAACAAGACAGAATGAAGATGGGTTAACAAGTGCAAGTCAGCTCAACTGCAGCAACATTTCAATCTTTTGTCTTTCCATCTCTAAAATGTACAGCACCGTCTCCAAAACCCAGGGTCTTCTTCCTTATCACACAGTTGCTTGAAAAACAGATTAATATTCAACACAGACTAATTAAACACTAAAAGAAAATGAAACAAAAGAAGAATATGATAATTGTAAAACAGTAGTGTCTAAAGCTGCAGCAAAGTACAGTATGTTCATGGCATTGGCTAATACACGGATAAAATTTTCAGACTGACACAATTTAAACAGCAGTCCAACAGCTGGTAAATATTATTTTGCATCTCTTATAAATACCCTTTCAATCATCCCTCTCTGATTCTGAACAGAATAATGTTTTCCTGTTCTGTCTGTGCATTCATTGCCACTGCAAGTATTGTCCCTATTCTTTTCATCTACAGAACAAAGTAATGAACGTCAATTGAATGGTTGCTGCCAGGAGTATTACCAGGAGGAGAGGGGCAGACTGCCAGAAAATTTGCGTACAAACTTATGTTCATACAATTCAAGAATACTTCTATGGATCACCCCAGAGCTGTGGAAACCTATGTTGAATAGATAGATAGATGTTTATGTTAATATTTGGTATATATCATTCCTTCTTGGAAAATTTGATTTTCCAAAACCCAGGGGGTGGGGGTGGGTGGCAGATGCTGGACTGGCCCCCCCTCACACTACCATCAGCCATGCACAATTATATCTCTGTTCCTTCTTGAGGCCTTGCCTCCAGTAGACCACTCCAGTGAGAGGTAGATATCTCAACCACATCCTTCCACTGCAGCTAATCTGTGAGATAAGACATCAGTTAAAACTTATATTTACATACAGTGTGTTTATTTGTTTGTCTGTTTACTGGAAATACAACATTGAGGTTTACCATGAAACACAACGTGGCTTCATTTGTGCTATATTATAATTGCCCAGGTGTAGTCTTCATTGTATAGAAGTCCTATGTATATTCCACATAATTTCTTTGTGATTTTGTATGAGTATTTCACTTTGTTTGATGTTCATTTACTGCCGATACAATCCCATTGCTGCAAGGTCAATCACATTACACATATCACAATGCGTTATCATCATCTTTGTGGATTAGGCCGTACATGGTCTGGTCCTTCCTCTTAAAGAGTATACTGATCGATCAATCAATCAAAATCATTGACTTAACTGTGGGTGTCCTACATTCAATCCACTTGGCCAGCTCATCTTAACCTTCTTGATTTTGCTACCTCATCAATTCTTGGTGACTTGTGTAAATCAAATTGCACTATTCTGAAACTACTTATGTTAGATCAGATTGGTTATTACCTCAGGTACATATATCCTCATGAACACTCTGAACCTCTGTTCCTTTCTGAAACTAAATCACCAGGATTCACAACCATACACATAGACAGTTTCAGGCTTCAAAAATATGTTCAGCCACTCATCAAACTGAATTTGCCGAGACCAATGATGAGTATGAAATTGATTTTTAGTAAATCATATTGCAAGAATATAGGCATGTGTCTGGTAGGTGTGTAATTCTACAGCCCTATAAATGGTAAAATTGTTTTTGTATATTACACTTTATTGTAGTGTGGAAAGTAGACTAGACTATAACACGTGCAAGCTATGAGATTTGTATCTTATGTACACTGTTATGTTGATTTCAACCAAAAGAAAGAGAGCAACAGAAAAATGGAGAAAATAACATAGAGAAGAGCTTTGTAATTTGTACTCTTCACTGAATATTGTGTGATGACTAAATCACAGAACGTGAAATGAACAGGTCTTGTCATATTCATGAGGAAGGTGATTAATGCACACAAAACTTCAGTTGGAAAATCTTATGAAAGCAGACTACTTTGGGGACTTACGCATAGTTGTGGATAATATTAAAATGGATCTTTGAGAAATAGAGGGTGAAAATGTGGACTCTTTCAACTAACTCAGAAAATGATCCAGTAGTATGCTTTTGCAAACAAACAATAAATCTTCAGGTTCCATGAAAACAGAAAATTTCTTGACCGCCTGAATAACTATTAATTTTTCAAAAAATACTCTGCATGTTAGCATTAAATCAGTTACTGAGTTTTTAAGTTGGTTTAATAAAAATATTTGTCTTATTTTATTTGTGTCAGGTTATGTTATATAAATGAGGCAACACCGATGAAAGATGCTGGTTCACAGCAAACGGTTGTGGCTACTGGCATCAATATTCTTGTTTGTGGGAGTATTCTCTTCTCCCACACTCAACTTCCAGTATCACAGATATGATGATCTGAGCCAGTATTTGCATGATGTGGCCGCAGCATATCCAAACATGACAAGTCTCTATTCTATAGGAGAGACATTACGCAGTGAGTATCGACAGCAACATGTATTTTCAGTCAAAATGCATTCAACTATTTTCCTGTGAACTCCACTGTGTACTTATGATCTAATAATAACATCCAGTATTGAAAAAATTAAAAATACAAATTTTAAGAAGCTCTGCTAAATAGATATTTTCATGAAAATTATGACAACTGATATAAAAGAAACTATTAATGGCAGATTCACCCACTGTACCTGCAACCAGTTAGGTGCATTGATCCATCAGAACACTATGGTACCATAACCATCATTGTGATTTTATTATATAGAGAGATATTTTCATGGTACATTACAAATTCACTCTGAGAAATATTCCAAAGAATACAAAGATGGCAGGTTTGAAAGTAAACTAGAATGTAAAGTGATAATTTTCCTGCAAGATTTGATAGGAAGTGAAAATTAGTTCACTACCATTTTGTCATTGATCTGAGCTGCTCTTTCTTTGTTACATTCTTCTTGCTTCAGTATTTTTCAGCTTACATTTCTTATTTTTAAAAAATAAAAAGAGGCTTATGACATCACCTTGTTTGTGTGTCTGTATGTGTATCCTCCCTATTAACTTAATAACAATACTAGAGCCTCTCTAATTTCTGAGGAAAAACCTTAATATTACTTGAAGGCCTGTACCAGTCTTCATGATACTTTGTATACATATCATGCCACCCAAGCCCATCTCAATGGCAAACTTCATAATTCCTTTCCATGAGTAATACCAACATTATGGTCATTCAGATTGCTGAGGCAAAACCTTAATATTGCTTGAACTCTTGTACCAGTCTTCATGAAACTTAATATATATATCATGCCACATGAAACCATCTCAAAGGCATACTTCACAGATCCCTTTGATCAGTAATAATAATATTACCGTCTTTCAGGGCGTTGTGGAAGTAACTGTAATGTTACTTAAATGCCTGAATTGATCATTATGGTACTTGGCACTTACATCATGCCACCTAAGCTCATTTGCACTATTTCAGGACATAAACTATGGGTGCTAGAGATGAGTACTGCACCAGATTCAACTCTTGGTATCCCCAGTGTAAAACTCATTGCCAACATTCATGGAAATGAAGCAGCAGGAAGAGAGGTTCTCCTTCATCTTATTCAGGTATTAACATATGATGCATTCTATGCATGGTGTGCATAAACGGAGAGAACATAGCACAGATCATATTAACCCACAATTTTCAACTCAAGAATGGCCAGATGGATTTTAATAATATCTTATACAAATATTACACCACTGAAGGTCATTCCAAGATTTTTCTTTTTTATTTCCTACAGTCAGTAATAACAGTGTGGCAGATACATGAACTTGTGAGATGGGAAAGACTTCTGGAATCCAGTAACCATAGTAACTTCAGCATTCACAGTAACCAAAGCTGTCCTTAATACTATCAATATCTTCATTCAGAACAGACAAAAGCATACAAAATACCAAGGCAAAAAATAAATGTATGTAGAAACCTTGTAACGGAGGATAGAATGCACCTTTCTAATCTCGTGTGCACCACATATACATACACACAGATATACGGTATGTATATATACAAAGTCTGAATAGCCCCACACTACTTGCATCTATAAAACCAAGAGTAATTTTCACATATCTGATTTCAGTTGAAGAACGCATGCAAAAGGTGAAATCTGAGGATTTCACAGTAACAACTGTGGAGAATACTATTGTCTTGGCTATGGCGTCATATGGTCTGGTGGAAGCTAACGGCTACTTCAGAGGAATATACTGTTTCTTTTATAGGGTCCAAAGAGTTAGCTGAGAAAGCAAACAGTTTGCTGCTTGCTTGGCTTTGACCTTGAGGATGGAAGCAGTAACTTCCTGTGGCAGATTTGTAGTATTCTACCAGACTACATGGCATCACATTCTAGATGATAGAAGTCTACTGGAGGAGTACTTTAAAAATGGCATGGAGACATTTAATATCTTGAGAATCTCGATATTCTGTCAATGCTATTGCTGCATTACAGTGCATGATAGAATATACTTCGGCATAGACACACACACACACACACACACATGTACATATTTTGACACAGAATAAGAAAAGATATCCAGCAGCACATGTCATATGCAGACATTTAAATATCAAAGTAACGAAAGAAATTATTCTATGTCCTGTATAATTTCTTTAACATGTCATTTTGAGGAAATCTGGATTAATACGTTTGGAGTACCAGAATGTGATATATTTTCAGCATGCACTTCTGTCACATATTAATCTAAAGATTAGTTAGTGAACATCATAGCTGAAAACCAGTTGTGTCAGCCATAAAAGAAAGATGATGACTCACAGATCATAAAATTGTATAGCCATTATTACTATACAGAACTGTGCATCAGGACTGCATAACACACAGCCAAGCTGTTTGTGCGTCTTCTAATTTTTGTCATGTCTGTAGTTCTTCGTGACCAACTATAGCTGTAGTGAAACTGTTCGGTGGCTGCTAGACAACACCAGGATACACATTCTGCCCAGTCTTAACCCAGACGGCTTTGAGGTTTCTGTAGAAGGGAAATGCGAAGTGGGACCTGGCAGGTTGGTATTTATGTAGTTACTCCCCTGTTCTCTGTAATTTATGAGAATATGTTATCATGGGAATTGAGCAGACAGGGAACAAAGACAATTAATCAGTGAGATATTCAATAGTTTGCATGCTTCATATAGTAATATTGGCAAAATTATGACAGATGTTACAGGGGTTAGCTATGTAGCGCACGAGGGAATACAATGAGAGTACACAGAGCTGTAATCATAACATATCATAGATTGATATTAAAATGGATCACAGAGAAACTGGTTGTAATGGATTACAAGGCTCAGGATAAAGTATAGTGGTGGTGGTGATGATGATGATTAATTCTTTGATTCTGTACCAAACAGGAACATTGTTAACAATTTAAAATATAGGGACAGCTCAGGGAAAACCCAGAATCAGACACTTAGACAGTTGTAAATGACTACCCAAAGCACCTTCAGAATGTTGCTTGAAGACAGCTGAATCACATTCCATCAACGCTTCCCTCTGAATCTCTCTCAAGTTGCTTGAAGGGAGGGATGCAAATTTTCTTTTACCTGTTTGATGTCATGACATGGAAGACTGGTTACTAGACTGCCCATCCCACCTTCTTGTTCTGGGTATTTAATGCAACCTACTCAATAAATTGACCCAGTTGACATAGTGAATAAAAACTTCTACGGAGATGAATGTCCAGGAAATATTTGCCACAATTATGTCACCAGAACTGTTAAAAATATAACCTACATTTTTTTACACTATATCTGGTATATCACATGGATGTTGAACTTATTACAGAAACATTTCTTTCTAGCAATATTGTCACCTGTTTATAACTAGACGCAGGGTTTGGATTGGTAACTGGATTTATTGGACACATATCTCATAACTATAAGTAATTCTAAACCTATTGGTAATCTGCACACTTAACAAATCACTATGGCATGCACTGCCTCAGTCTGTTATAGTCTTCACTAGTCATTATTTGGTTACAGTTCCAAACAATGGAAATTCTTCTGGTTTCATGCTTTCCTAACAATGGAGATGTTGTTTCTGGCTGGCTACCATCTCACAACTTACTCATGAATGTAACTCTAGCCAAGACTGACTACTCACTGGCTCCCCTGACCATCCCTGGCTCTCACTGGCCATCGCTGGACATCAACTACTACTGACTGCAACTGTTTACAGCAGCTTGCTATGTAGACTTGCGTTGGACCAAACAAAAAACACCATCTCCAATAGTTCCTCTATTATTGTTTCTTTATTATGTGTATAAATGGCAGTAACATAATAGTGTGTTTACTGTGCCATTGCCTAGCAATGGATGACAATCCTTGTTAAGCTATTTGATCAGATCACATATTATAACTGCCAGTTACTGATTCACTATCACATTTGCACACAGGAATTACTCTCTGCAGCAAACCTCTCAGTAACTTTCATCACACACATCAAATATAAAGTTTTCCTACACCTGTGCCTGTGAGCACTCACCTCCATCTGCTGCCAATGTTAAGAATGCATGATGCTCTATCTCCACTCCCCCTAATGTCTTCATGGTTTGATGCTTCATCATGCACAGAAATAACTACTTTACTGGGACTAGAATTAGAGGAAGATGCAAGGAGAAACTAGAAAGAGGATTCTGAAGCCAGTGCAGATTATAAGTTACCTAACCCATGAACACAAAGAAAAATAAACTGTTCTTACTTTTGTTCAACTTATATAAATCTAGAAATAACTTCTGTTTTCATATATTTAACCCATCTTTCTTAAATATGTAACAAGTAAGAGATAATTTTTCAGTGTACAAGTAACATATTTTTCAATATTTTCAGAGCTATAAAGAAATTCACTACATGCTATGTATTGTATCATATATATAGTTCTGTCTTCAACTCTGTCACTAAATATGTTATGTAATGTGTAAGTAAAATTAGGATTAAATTCCATCAGATGCAACAGTATTTTTTAATAATAAGCTGGAGCCTTCATACATGTGGCCAATGATGGAAGGAAACCAACAATTCAAATGAAATGCTTCACATGTATTGCTTGCATGTGGTGAATTGTAAGAGTTAAAACACTAGTATTTAAAATATGTTTCATTAAAAATAATAGTTTTTTTTTGCTGTAAATCCCAGTGGTGGTTATGTTCCTTCTCAGTAAGTTGCCTGTATTGTGTTGGTCCTCTTTGCATATATACATATGTGCGTGCATGCGCACGCGCGCGCGATGTGTTCACCAAAATACAGAGCAGAGCACACAACACCACAGCCCTGCCTGCACACACTCAGGGCCAGCACAATAAAGATGACATAAAATAAACACAACCTTCATGGGGATTCACAGCAAGATCCTTATTCCATAAATACACTCTATTATTTTTAACAAAACATATTTTAAATACTAGTGTTTTAACTTTTACAGTACAAAATATGCGAGTTATACATGTGAAGCACTTCTTTTGAAGTGTTGGTTGCCTTCAGATGATGGCTGAAACATGTAAAGGCTTTATTTTATTATTAAAAAAAAACATTGTTATACTTGATGGAATTCAATCTTAATTTTACTTATATATTATAGAGTTACTTATATATGCGTATTATGGAGCTTGTGGTGTGACAGGTTCTGTATCCAATGGCTTCAGCCTTGTATGGATGTGCTGGAACGTGTAATAAATACAATACAATACAATGGCTGAGGACAATGTCTATCACAGAAATAGATTATATAAGATACATGAGGAGTAATTTTTTGGTAATTATCTCAATTTATTACTAATGAACAGCAGTATATACCAGTCTCTCAGACTTTATCAGGTATTATTGCCCCAAAATCCAAGTACTTAAGATTTAATTATGTTTATCATTTACACAGAGATAACTTAAGAGTCAATTTATGTAGATTTTTATGTGCTTTATATTTCATTTCTTATGCATTTGTGAATGCAGTTTCATTTGATGACATGTAGGGAAAATGCCCGGCTCGTGGACCTGAATCGGAGCTTTCCAGACTACTTCCAGAATAATACGAAACCACGACAGTATGAAACACAAGCAATACAAGACTGGTTAACCAATAATACCTTTGTGCTATCAGCCAGCTTACATGGTGGGGCCCTTGTTGCTAATTATCCATATGAGAATTTTATGGAGAACAGTAAGTTACTTTGCAGAGCAACTTCCATGACATATTCTGTAAAGAATGTAGTGCACAGATGATACTGTCCAGTAACAGACTTTTTCATTTGTAGTCTTGATTCTGTAATACTAGCAACTTAGTTTACATTCTGCTATATTTTGATAGGATCCATTTCCTAATAAATTATTGTTTGTGTTGTCTATGAGTTACTAAAAGCCTGACATGTTTTTGTCCTACAAGATCATCATCGGGCTGGTATACCCCATTAAAACTGTTGAACAGTTCAACACTTCACACACCAGGGACCACAACAAACCCACAGAGCTTCACATTAATGATACCAATAGAAAGCATGTGTGAGACAGCACCATACAGAATAATATGAAACAATATACAAATGCTATTTGGAAAGTAACCTCCATTTATTTTGGGTAACTAATGCAGGAGCAGGGGAGATCTTGCACATACGAGGTAGTTTCACATGACTCATTGCCCTGTAAACCATCACATAACTGGTCACCTAGTCACTGTTCTTGTCTCTACAGAGTGAGTTATGATGCATGCTGCAATTGATAATCCCGCCACCTGTGAAATTCACACTGTTATGCACTTTCTTTATGCCAGAAATATGACTGCTGTGGAAATCCATCGTGAATTATGCGCAGTTTGTGGCCAAAATATAATGAGTGAAAGCACTGTAAGTCAATGGTGTAGAATGTTAAAAGATGGGCGAACAAATATTCATGACAAAAAGGAAGGTGTTTGGCCATCTGTAGCAAGTGATGGTCTTCTTCAAAGTGAAAGACGGTGCTTCACAGTTTCAGAACTTTCATATGTGTTTCCACAGATTTCACGCACTCTGCTCTACGAGATTACTACAGTTAAGCTAAGCTATCACAAATTTTGCATAAGATGGGTTCTTTGGCTTTGGCTTTGACTTTTTAGAGTGACACCACAAAGATGGAGAAGAAATTCTCAGTCACATGGTACGACTAACAGGTGAGAAAACCTGGGTTTCATTTGCGAATGTTGAAAACAAAGAACAGTCAAAGGAGTGGATGCACATATTCACCAAACAAACCTAAAAAGTTTAAAAAAACGTTGTCTTCTAGAAAGCTGATGGCAACTGTTTTCTGGGACAGGAGAGGAGTGCAGATGGCAGAATTAATGCAACAAGAAACCACAAAATAATAAATAAATTGTGAAACACTAAGAAAACTGCATAGGGCCATTCAGAACAAAAGGCATGGAATGCTGACATGCGGTACAGTGCTCCTCCATGACAATGCGTGTTCACAGTACAGCTGCTTGTAATCAAGCACTGTTGGAGCATTTCAACGTGGAGTTGTTTTACCACACTCCTTACAGCCCTGATCATGCTCCAAGCAACTACCACCTGTTTGCCTACCTGAAGAACTTGCTGAGATCACAGAGCTTCAACAATTATGAGTTCATGAATGGTGTAAAACGTGGCTGAGCTCACAGGCAGCAGACTTCTTTGACACAGGAATATAAAAACTTATTCCCTGATACGAGAAGTTCCTCATTTCTGGCAGTGATTACGTTGAGAAATAGCTTCAGTATGTATTTTTTTATATAATAATTTTTTCTCATTGCTTGTTTTGTTATCAGTTCACTGGGGATTACTTTCCGAATAGCCCTCGTACAATGCAGTAACTGCACTATATATGAATTTTGTTTTTCCTGTCAAATAGAACAATGTATAACAAACACCTCGCTCACATTTCACTGTGCATAACTGAGTCTATTGGTCGTACAATGTGGCAGTATGTTTTGGCTCATGGAGCCATCATCAGGCGATATATTAACAAAGCTTATACTTTTGAATTATGCGTCCTATATGGATACATATATTGCACTTATCATTGTATGTTACAGTAAACCAAAAAAATATGGTGTGCTTCTTTCTCTTTTGTTAATCACCTTTATATGCACAGATTAAGTGGTTGTGTTTTTATACTGCTTTAAAAATGGACACTCTGTACATTGCAGCTGGTAAACACCTACAGCACTATACTGTAACACAATATCGGTTTCAACTTCATGGGGGGTCTATGTCCCAGGTATTTTAATGCTTTATGTATGTGATTTGTAAAGTGTTCTTTAATGGGGTACACCCCCTGATGAGGGGTTTAGCAATACAGTCAACTTAAAGAAATAAACAAGATATACTAATATGGTGACTTGTGTCTTCATTTTACACTTTGTACTTCATTTGACTGAAGAGAAAAACACAAAATGCTATTGATACATGCTGGCTTTCCATTACATTCCATTCACAGTTTGGAATGCATCCTATTATCTCCTAAATATGCCTAAGTTCAGGAACAAGACATCTGCTTGGAATCACCTTTATCCTGGTCTGAACAAATCACATTTCACATGTTTTTGTTATGTGTTGTTCTCGGATGGTGATGGTTCTAGGCAAGCTATTCACTGGTGTCTGAATTATTGTCAGATATGAAAAGACCATTGCTTTGTTATGTAGACCCACCTCTGTTGGCCACCCAGCCTGTATTCAGTAGTGGCAGCAAGCACTTTTTGCAAGGACTAAAGATTACCAGGAATGTCTGCATCTAACACTAGCTTCTGTCCCAGATTGGGACAGCAGGACCTCAGATTTTAATATTTAGCACTAATGGATTTAGTGGCATTTCTCTAACCAAAAGAGAGGCATGGACTGCCCTGGAATTTGACTTGGACAGCCACAGTGAAGAGCCAGTGCCATGTCACCTGGGCTATGGCATGATGTGGCTTGCAGAATTATAATGCATCCATGAAAGAGTTAACTATTTAATGTCTATAAGGTGTGTTTGTGTTACCACTTTTTTCTGTTGTTCATTTTCCCTGCACCTAATTGGTACTCCTCTTGCCAGATATCTGTATAAAGCTTAGGAAAATACTCTGATATAGTTATTTGCAGAGTGGTAAAACAGCAGTGGGTTTTAAAGAATTGGTGCCTTCTTTATCTCACACTGTGCAGTGCAAATACACTCTGCAAAACAAATTCCAGAGGAACCGTTTAATGTTCCCTGATTTAAATTTTCTCTCATTTAACATTCAGTTTCAATGATTCCAGGTCAATAATATCAGCAATAATGTTCTGCATTCAATGTTTTCCTCTGGTGTTCAAATCCACTACTCCTCAAAAACAAGAAAACTTAAATGGGCATTTTCGCTTAGTTGGGGGTGGAGTCCAACTGGGTCCACTTGGCACAGCGGCCACTGATTGGCCTCTTGTAGCCTGCCCTGGGTGATTATGATGATAGAGAATTTGGTGGAATGAAGATTGTCAGGGGAAACAGAAGTACTTGGAGAAAACCTGCCCCAGCGCTATTTTGTCCACCACAAATCCCACTTGACCAGAACCGGGATTGAGCTCAGGCTGCCAGGGTGGGAAGCCAGCGAATAACTGCTTGAGCTATGGCGTGGCCTTAAATGGGCATTTCACTGTATTTCTGGCATGTAATGCTATTTATTTGTACTTTGTTCATTGTCTTGGTTCTTTCTATAAAAATCATAACATCAAAAATCAGTCCATGATTTATTTAAACCGTCTTGTAGTGCATACACTCATTTATCTCCTTCTCTCCCTCGCACTACATGTTTCGGCATAATAATGCCATCTTCAGGTGCTTGCTTATCCACGCCCAACTAGTTCATTGCATGCCTTGTTCTCATATTAAAATAACTAAAGTATGTATCTATCATATACATTGTCAAACGTTAAAAATATACCCACATACCCAGCAGGCCCAACAGTATAACACACGCAGTCACAGGAGCAAGACACAACAAAAGCACAACACACACATGATAGTGAAGGAGTGCTCCAACAGAGGAGAATGGGTGTGACTGGCGTAGTGAGGTGCGACGTAGTCATGTGGTATCCTGAACAATTTTAATATTTTTAACGTTTGACAATGTATATGATAGATACATATTTTAGTTATTTTAATATGAGAACAAGGCATGCAATGAACTAGTTTGGCGTGGATAAGCAAGCACCTGAAGATGGCATTATTATGCCGAAACATGTAGTGCGAGGGAGAGAAGGAGATAAATGAGTGTATGCACTACAAGACGGTTTAAATAAATCATGGACTTAAATCAGTGCAACAGGACGCTAAAATATAACATCAAAAATCAGTTCTGTTTTTGTCTTCTTATAGGTAATGGAATTCTTACTCTGTTGGGCCCCACAGGAGAGCTACTCTGGGTCCAGGTAATGAAAGTGGCTCTATCTAGAGGTTAACAAAGAAATTTCTTTATCTTTTGTCTGAAGACAGAAAGAAAAATATGAAATTATGTGTTTTTGTATAAAGAACTAGGACGATAGATAAAGCCCAGACAAATAGCATGAAACACTGTGTCACATCATCAGATAGCCTCAAGCTTAGTTTATTATTAGCATGTCTAAACTTGTGCCTTTATGTGGTATTGGCATCAAAATGATGACATAACCATGTACACACACAGTTAAAAATTTACCCTTTGGTTCTATATTATTTTCTCACAATTTTTCTAAAATAATGCAATTTTAAAATAAAAATATGAAGAGAAAAATGAAACAAGCATGCATTTTCTTAGCCCAGTGAATGGAGATGGCTGTTTCTTGATGTGAACTAAAGTCAAATGTTGCGCTAAATGGTAATGGATGCTTGTTCAGCTTCAACCAAATATCACAGCAGCGGTGTTAAGCACATGGGCATAAGCAATAATTTGTTAGAAATACCCTGTACTCTCAGGACTGTGTACAATGGAAATAAATATTATTGAACTGGTTACTTAGTAAGATCTCTGTGCTAAATGTAGCAATATTCAATACAAATTATTTAGTTGCTTAAAATCAAGGACATGTTTAGATTTTAATGGTACATTATCTATACAGCAGACATGACACAGCCATATCCACCATCAGTATCACCAGATGATGACGTGTTTCGACATTTGGCAACTGTTTATGCCTCAACACACCCAACAATGCACTTGGGATATCCCTGTAATAATATGGACAGGGAATTCCAGGGTGGTATAATTAATGGAGCAGCTTGGTATCCACTTATAGGTAAACAGGATTTCATTTTCATCAGTTAGTAAAATATTTTCTTAGATGTATAAACTTATTCCTTCTATTTCAAATAAGGACAAATTTTCATAGCAGTGGATGGATTCCATTACTGTATCTGTTTATAAAGAGTGATTAACTGACTGCAGTGCATAATTACTGAGGAATTTAATTTTATCCATCATTCCTCAGTATGTATTTTAACACAGCATATTACTTTCTGCTGATAAGGTATAGTAGGGGAAAACTAGAAGAGCAGTAGAACAGTACATGAGATATTTACAGTGTTCACAAAATCTGTGACTCAGTTAGGAGGTAAGTAATTGTTACATAAGGTTCTCACTAAATTTGATACACCCACTTAGGCAGTTAGGCTAATTGAAACGAGTTTAAATAAATTCTATAATAAAGTCTATACTGTAAATATGTTTTTGGTGCAGTTCCTTTTCAGAATAATCTGAAACAATGAGATATTTTATCACCATTGCTTTTCATATTCACTTCAGAATATACCACTGTGAAGATCAAATAGTATCAAGATTGACTGGAATGGAATAACATGTCAGTTCTTGCCTATCCTGATGATTTAATTTATTTGCTGAAAATATAGACACCATAAATATACAGACACCCTATTAGACAGTAGCACGAAAGTTGATCTATAGACATACACTAAGAAAACTTTGTTATATGTTTGTGTTATCACCAGAATACAGGACAGTAACAAATCAAAATTGCAATCAGGGTGAAGTTAAAGCAGATTCAGTTTGAGAAGTGTCTGCTACCATTAAGTTCAGAATCTTTTATCTTCCTATCTTCTGAAGTTTAAATTTGCCAAACAATAATTTTAGCGTTTTTGTGTGTGTGTGCGCATGTGCGTGCAACTTCGCCTCCATACTAAGTAAAGAAAACAGAGACAGAGGGCGCTTGGAAAAAATCTGAACAGTGAGGAGCTTTGTAATATATTATTAGGGTACACAAAGTATTGTGGCATGTAGACCCATTGCTAGGCAACAACTGTGAGACAAGCAACTATATAACAGCAATTGCAAAGTAACGGTTCCACAAAGAAACATATTTCCACAGCAATTTTGGAAGAACTGTTTTCTACATTGTCCATGCCGAGCTGTTATAACCAGGACCAGTTAGCAGCTGCAGTCAATTAGAGAACTGCTGGGGCTCAGTCATTGTGCGCTGTTGCTGTTAGAAGCTGGTAGCTGATGCTGGGGACATTTTGGGAACCCAGAGGAAGTAGTATGTCTGCCATTGGAAGCCGCTACAAAGCAGTGACTGTGGACACTGGTGTGTATGTGTAATAGTGAGCTGTAAAGTGTAGTCACATGCTGTATTGAACTGTGCCATAAATCAAGTCATCAATCCATAGTCCATCTGAAGTCACACTCCACACACGTGACAGTATAATGAGATGAGCAGGACATGCAATATATATGGAGGAGATAAATTCATACATAATTTTAGTCAGATAAGCTGAAGAAGAGACACCACTTGGGAGATCTTGGCACATATGAGAAGGCAGTATTACAGTGGATAATGATGAAAGAGGTTGTGAGGCTGTGGACTGGATTCAGCCTAGGGTTCTTGTTACTAAAGTAATGAACCCTCGGGTTTTGTAAAGATGGGGTTTCCTTAACAAAGAGATTCTCAAGAAGGATACTCTGATCCAAAGAATGAGCTAATGAGGATTTTAACAGAAATTGAAGGTTTAAAAAGCTGCTGTGTTTCTTAACACAGATTTAATTCCTTTCAATATGAATATCTCTGTTCTAATAGAATTTAATTAAAAGATACTTTTTTACATATATATTGATTCTTGGTTCATTTGGTGATGACTCTTCCCATACACAGCATAAAATGGAATCATGGTTATGAGTGGTGAACTGGAAGGGAATCGGCTGTGGTTTATTTCATAGTACAGAGATTACTTAACAATGACAAAGAAATGAAGATGATCTTGAATGGTGATGTGAGAGGGATAGAGGAAGTGTCTGTGATCTATTTCAAGCTAGTGTCTCACAATATTTTGTGCTCTGTAAACCCCAGAAGATCCTCATGCAGAATGTCTGGCTGTTCAGTTGAATTCAAGCCAGGTTTTTCCTAAATACCAAAGAGCTATGTAGTAAAGTGTAAGAACAAACAGTTTTTGCTTCACAGGTGGAATGCAAGATTACAACTACATATTTCATGGATGTGTGGAGATCACACTGGAAATTTCTTGTTGTAAATACCCACTGGCACGAGAGTTGCCTGCACTGTGGGATGAGAACAGAGAGGTACGTATGCATTTCAGTCTTCTGTCCTCACCTTTACCAGTTCTAATGGAACTCTGGGAAAGAATGGGATTTAAAAGTTTAGGAAACAAGCTCAAATAGCCAATTACTTCACACATCCTTAGACTGAATAACTGAAACTATACAGGTTCTGTAATATTTCATTCATTCTCTGGAAGCATTTGCTCTGCAAGAACAATGAAATCCCTATTTAATGATCTCTGGGGATATGGCTTTTTATACACGAAATTGAGGGTTTCCCTAGATAGAAGATGTGCATCAACATGTAAGACTTACTGTGTGTAATTTTGATAAAATAAATATTGTATTTAAGATCATGTTGTGTTGTACTATATTCATTATTTTGCTTTCAACCATCACAACCTATGTACAGATAAACTATGCTGTAAACTTTTTAACTCATGGTATATCTATCATAGATTTTTTAGACGGAAAACAAAGTAATGAATGATAGAATAATTTATTTACATAGAAATAACATAGGTACCATAAAGAATAACACAGAAACTCTAATTGATGCTAGTAAGGAGGTACCAGTGGAAGGCACTTTTGAACACAATAATGAACCTTCAGCTTCCATAAAATGTAACTGGCAGGTTCTTAAAAGGGCTCAGTTCCATGGCATTAGCTAGTTAAGAAGTTAATGCAACTATGATATCACAACTATCATGGCTTCAATACCCAGTGTCAAAGATGCATGCATACACACATACAGGGTGCTGGAGCAAGGCGTGCCACATGTCAGGAGCATGTGCATGTCTCTCCTTTATCAATATTTGCAAACCTCCTCTCTCTCCTCACATCTTCTACGAACATAGCGCGTCTCATCTCTCATGTGTTCACTGAGCTTGTCTAGAAATGTAACTTGCACAAAACCTTGGTCTCAAGGCAAGGAAAAGGCAGTTGAGTTGAGCTGAGTCTGACCGTGAGTTTAGAAGAGACAAAAACTTTTAATGTATGGAGAAAGATTGAGTACAGCAAGATGATAAAGTTAGTTCAGTGCTGGAATGACAAGGCAGGACTGAAGGAGAGAACAGTGCAATGGCATACAGCGATATAGTACTGGACTTGACACACTGACAACAAGATCTAAAGTGGCTAATGACAATGAGACATTAATTGGTCCAAAACAAGATAAAACTTATTACATATAGTGGGTGTAACCATGTAATGTATGTCATATTACTGTGACATTGCCCACAAAGATAAATGATAAATGAAAATGAAGTGCATATGAATAGGTTATATGATCAAGTTTATAATTCATGCCAGTTGAGCCCGCCAAGGCAGCAGGTTGATCCTCGTTTTGAGAACAGAGGGGGGCTATCAAGTGCTTCTTTCTTTTTGCCTGATATAATTTATTGCATCATCAATACCATTCTACAGTCATCTCTTTTTCTTTATTGTCCCCTCTGCATATTGAATGCCTACCACATCAACTCCATATTCATCATCTCATCCTGATATTGGTTTTGTCAGGTATGTTTATGTTTACCAAAGGTTTCGCAGAGGCGGCTCTATCATTTGGCCATTTTCTCCTTTGGGAGTATATCAAGGATGCTGTGTATATGCCACCACTGGCTGCTGCTTTCCTGGTACTCGCTGGGATGACAAGAGCTGCAGCAGCTACATTTACTCTCAAGTTGTTTAAAAACATGTGGATTGAAACTTAATGCTAACATGATATCTTCTGGGCCACTCATGGTCTCTTCAATGAACAGCAGAAAAACAGAGGTCACAAAAACTTGTTCATAAACTGTACTCAAAAGTGTGTAATTTTTATTCCTGTGTCTCTCAGTTCAAAACCAATGTCACAATAAAACTGTATATATTTCATGTATACACCATGCATATTTAAAGAACACAGTGCTAAATATGACTGTTGTTTTGACCACAAACACAGTAAGATGAAGTACAAGTTCTGGAAGTTGGAAACTTTGTACATTAAGATATAGGTTGTTTTCTAAATTAAAATTCACTAAATATGGCAAAATAATACATTGTTTATATTGGGATTTGGGTGGCACCAAAGAATATATTAATTAAAATAGGGTTTTACCTATTTAGTTTTCACAGCAAATTTCAACAACTGTATCTTACATCAGTGAATGTTATTGTTATTCATCTTTAGAGTTCTTTGTTTTCCTGCTTTATTTCAACATATTCTCAGCTGCAGAGGTTATGCAATGTCAAGTAAGATGAGTGTAAAAGACGAAATGCTTGGCACTAACCACTCAACCATGACATTAGGTATGAACTCTTAGAGAATCAACAGATTACTAAATGTGACAATTTTAATTTCTTTCTGCAGGCCTTACTGAAATATATATACCAAGTGCATCAAGGTGTCCGAGGAGTTGTCCGAGACAACACCACACATCAGCCTATACGTACGGCAGGTCTAAAAATTGAGGGACGGGATAGCTATTTCCGAACAACATCTCGTGGGGAGTTCTGGAGGATACTACTTCCAGGGACTTATCACCTTCAGGTGAAGTGTGTTTCAGGAACTGTAACAAGACTATAAATCGGCTGGCTAAACTATGAGAACTGGGGGACCCTAAATATTCTTGAGACATTCATGAGGGCTATGAATGGATGGAAATTATCAAAAACGTCTGACTTCTTGCAGGTTCATGCAGCAGGCTATGAACCACAAACAATTAAATTCATAGTTTCTCCAAAGAAACAGAAGGAACACATAACTACAACATGGCTAGATGTGAATATGCCACCAGTGGTACGACAGGCAACAGTGGTAAGTGATCAGGTTCTGCTCCTCACGAATCTGCCTGAAGAAGCACCAATGCAACACAGCACAACCACCCAGAAAATGGTAGGAGTAACCAATGGCCAAAAACTTTCTCCAACCCCATTCATAAATGTAACAGCTACCAGCATGGACTTGGTAAAGCTTTCTAATACACTTGATGCAGAAAGTCATGACAGACGAGAACAACTACCATTTATGGAAACTGCAGAAAGTGGTGGGACAATTCAAACTAACATGAAGCACATGTTTGTTGTTTTAAGTGTGAACTTTGTTTCTGTTTTATGCATGTACCTGCATGAGTGCACGAAGATGTGTTGAATGTTGTGGTTACTCTGAAGGATCTGTTTTTATAATACCATCACTTACTGATCTCATTAAAATACAGATGTTGCCAGTTTACTGACAAACTCATTTTGTTACTTTATATGCATAAAATATAGTATGAATCACAAATTTTGAAGGTTAAATACAATACAGAAATCTTACCTGTTGTAAGTTTATTGTTCTGATATTTTCAGAAAGCTCTTAAACATGCATGAATTCTACAATTGACATTACTGCTCAAAACAGCAGTTTATCAATATCAATTTTAGATGTTCATGCATGTTGGTTTGAGCTAATATACAGTAAAAATGTCGTTGCTATCATGTATATATTAAATTAAAACATTTCTGTTAAATTTCCTAATCACAATTACATTTTTTATTGTCAAAGCAACATGTAGGAAAATAAACTAATTTCAATAAGTACATTTTTGGTACTAAGTAAAGTGAAAGTAAAGTTGTCCCTCAGCTTAATTAATTAAGTGCTATGTCATGAAGATATGTGGGGGATTGGAGGTATAGCTCCACCATTCTTGACCTCTTCATTGCATGGAAGTAAGTGGTCGGCTTCATGCCTCTGCCACTTTGCCCTTGATACCCACTTGGATAGAAGTATCTTGTTCTGCCAGGAATCAAACCCTGGCCATCCAGCCTGCAGCCTGTCATGATACTGACTGAGCCATGTTGTGGGTTTTGACGCACTGGTAAAGCAATGGGACAAGTGTGTCAGTGGTGGTGAAGGATATGTTGAGAAATAAATGTTTTTTTCCAAATTTGAATATCACACGTTTTACATTTTATATCTATTTGTGGCCTGTTTACTGACTCTCCCTCGTATAAACAAGAATTCATTACTTTAATGACACGTATGTATATGAATTTTAAATGTACACAAACACATTATCACAATGTTAAAATGTATTCAACAAAGACATTCAGCTCAGATATCTGTTGTTCAGACTGACAGAAAGCCAATGCACATGAAGACAGATGACACTCTATACATACCACAAATCTCAGTTCTGTCTATTCTGTAGTAGAAACCAGATCAAAAATTGATATCTCTAATACTTTATTTCATAAGGAAAGGGAAGCTTATATCTTTTGAAAAACACAATTGCTTGCAAATACATATCGGTAATAATTATAATAGGAGCCTGGATATCTCAGTTGGTATAATGACTAGGCTAAAGGCTGAACAATGGGAGGAATCAGGGTTTCCTTCCCAGCAGGATCAAGAGATTTTTCTCTTCCTACCCAGTGGACATCAATGTCTTTCCCCAGAGGATAAAATGGCTGGGGCATGAAACTAACCACTCACATCTATCCACTGCCAAGATTAATAATGCATGGAGTTATACACTCTCTCATACATCTTCATCGCTTGGTCTTTAATTAAGCACAAGGACTTAGCCTTCACCTTTGTATTAGATTATAATGTGTGTATATACTAGTATATGTTGATGCTACAAAACCTAAGGTTGTGCAACTTCCTGAGGCACATACTGCAAACAATCTATTACTTAGATGAAAGCTAGGTTAATGGAAACCACACGAAGCAAATGTTTGGCTAGATAAGATCGTAAGATCCATTAAGGGTTTTTTCTTTTAGAAGGAAGTATCCCTTTGGGAGAGGAAATCAGTTAACTGTAGTGAACAGTGGAAGTGAAATGGAATTTGTGAATATTGGCCTGTGGTTTCATTAAACAGAGAATTATGAAGAAATGATGGGGGAGGTATTTCATGAGAAGTTCCAAAATATACTCTCATGATTTAGCGACTAGACATGGGATTTGGATTTGTAATTGGAATCTCGAATCTAACTGTGCTACTGAATGTGATTCATCACACAGTGAAGTAAGAAATGTTTCCAACATTTTTGAACAGAAAGGGTGCTTTAAACCGACACCAGTCCCCTTCAAAACAAACAACAGTTGAAGCTAAGATGCTCAGCTTACTTCCTACATACAAAGTATCCATAGTAAGAATGTAGATATGAAATGGCCAAAAGAAAGACAAAGAGTGTACTCCATCTTCTGCCATATCATTGTTAGCTGAGCCCTACAACACTCATATGACACAGAAATGAAATGAAATGAAATAAAAGGGCATGTAGTAACACAGGACAAAGGGTCTACAGAATGAAACCTACATGTCTGCCAATATTAACACCTTCCTGCAAGAAGCAAAAGGACAAACTGTTGCAGAAACATGGGCAAATTGTGTCTGACATGCCATAAAAGAAAAGCAATGCCATGATGACAGGCTGGAAAATATCGAAGTCAATGTTGATAATTTCACTTCAGAAATGATTATGGATGAAAACTGATGGAAATAGGAGGTAAGTTAAGTATGTGAAAATGTCTTTTTCTTTAATCTTCACACACCATAAATTGTCTGAAAATTTAATTCTAATTAGAAGTTTGCAACATATATTCACAAGCTATTAAAATAATAATGTACTTGTACTTCACTAAATGTCTTGAGATCAATTGGCATGTTCCAAACTATGCTTCTACCTTAGTCCTGTTTCTCTTTTACATTTGCTTACATGCACTCCAGGCACATTCTGAGTATAGTACAGTGGTATTTATGAGAAATTGTACTCCCACACTCACCATTTGCTGTAGGCACCTACCACTTTCACTTGTCAGGTTTAGTTCTTATCCCTGGAACTACTAATCCGTTATTAATGCAAACTGAAGACAAAGCTATCTCCCTGACAACAGATAGCCCCACAAAGCGACTAAGAATTTTCAAAACTGGATGTCTGCCTAGACAGAAGGTCCTACCTAAGGCCCCACCACTAAGTGATGCACAAACAACTAGGGGTACAAAGTGTTAAAGAGTACAATGAAAATGAGAAGCTGTGACGAGGACTAAAAGAATTAAACCTAACTCTATGACTCCTGTTGCTAGAAAGATTAATCTTTCACAAGAAAACCTCTACTTCCAAGAAGTCATCAACACGTGACTTACAATATCTTGTTGAAGTATTTTCATTTCACTGCTACCAAAAGACAGATCATAAAATGTTCAAGATTTTCCACTTCTGGATTAAGTTGTTTCTGCATGTAGAAGTATATGGGAGTACATTCTGGAGGACAATGTCAGTGATGAGAGCCTCTGATGCGAAAGGCAAGGTTATCTTCAAAGCAGATGGGCAAGATTTGCCACAGAATCATTCTACCTCAGTGAATACTCCAGTGGATACATATGAAATGGTAGAACAGGACCCTGCTGCTGCAGTTCATGGAGGAGGCACCCAGACTGTGGAAATCCCAATCTGAACAGTGTATTTATCAATATAGGACTACTTGGATATGGAGCATATTCACTGACATTATTTCTCTGCCAGCCTTCATAACAACTCAAAAGTGACAGGGTCAGGATGCTGACAACCAACCGGGAAGGAGCTTCTGAAGACATGACAGTGGAGAAGCTGGAGGGAGTTGGGCCAGGTCACTACTTGGTACCAGCAGAAACTGTGGTAATGAAATGGGTGGACAGAGACTGCCCACATGATGATAAGTATGGGATTTGTGAAAGATGAAGATGGAAGAGGAAAAAATTGAATTCTGTGTGTTTAGTACACCAAAGGTACGGGTGGGATGGATCTTGGTGACCACCCAATGATAAACAGTGGCTAGGAAACATCTGAAAAAATACGACACAAAGATGTCTTGATTTGTTGGTCTTCAGCTCCTTTGTCCTGCACAGGAAGTTTGGAGGAACAGCAGGACAACTGCATCTAGCAGAGGCACTGAGAAGTAGAAGTACATGATATCATCACATACACCATGCAGACTTGTTACAAGACCAGCAGAAGCACTGCTAAGGTTGAAAGCAGTTTTTTTCAGGGACAAATAAAGCAATAGGAGAAAGGGCCCACTTCAGGAGTATAGTGCACATTTATAAGAAGCTCACGAAAGAGAGTCTATTACTGTACATAATATGATGTTTCCTCTGTGTGGTGCCACATTCTAGACTTGACCAAACAGCAAAGAGTTTATAATTACAATGTAAACAGTACTCACTACTTGAGTGACTATGTTGTCAATGATAATTTCTTGCTGTCCCGTATAATTTGTAAGATTGTGCTCTGTGAAGTGTTACTTTTCCTTGTGTCATATTTGTACTGTACTGTGGGTCAATTTTGGTTATGATTTTTCTGTGTGAACAAGAAAACTGGTAGGAAAGTTTCAAATGCTCCCACTATTACACATGTATTTGCCAATATATTTAATAATTTAACATCTCTTCACTTGTAAGATAGCATGTAGGTGACAAGACATAAAGCTACCCAAGCTACGACATACAGATGTACCTCAGTTCATCCCATGTTGTACCTTGGGATGGAACTTGAGAGGATAAACTAAAGTGTAAATGTGTTATTTACTCTGAATTTATTCCACTGACAAACTGGCAGCAACTTACATTATGAGGATTAAAAATATTAATAATAAGAGAACATTTCCAATTAATATTCAAATAATTAATGTCCCTGCATATTAATAAGAAACGTTGAATGGTAAGTTGCACTTGTTAAAATATATTAAACTAAATGTCAACACATATATTTTATACATGTAAATCTCATCATCATCATCAGTAATCTGTCAAGACGACAGGTCCACAGTCTCTTTCAAAACAATTCCTCCACTTAATGCGATCTACAGCTTTCTCCTTCAAATGACAGTACCCTCTTCTGTCCCCAAGGTCATCCAGCATCTTCTTACGTCTTCTTGTCACTTCTATCCGCCCATCTATCTATTTCACACTAAATACAATGAAATCTAATGAAAACATGACTGTGCCCCACTTCCTTCAGCATTAGGTAATGCCTGTGGCATTGCTGGTTAGAGCTCAAAAAACTGATGATGGAGCTCTGTTTCACTTTGTATCAAGATGATCAAGGTCATTATCTGAATTACCCTAAGTTCCAAATTAGTGAGGTTTCACTGTATTAATTTCTCTTGTCAAAGACAAGTTGTATTGGTGTTCTCACTCAGCCTGTAATATTTGATTTCATATTCATCAAAATCATTCATTACTTCATCTACATGACGAAAAATTCTGTTATTTCCCCTACCAGCTTTACTAAATAAAATCTTGTACCAAATCAACTGCAGAACTTTCTTCCATCTCTTCTTCTACAGTATTATCCATTTCTCTTTTAAATAGAGATGCAGAATTATCATCACTTCGTATGTAACATGTTCAGGTTTCTCTTCAGAGCTCTCAATAGAGTTCAACAAACATCTTGAATAAATACTTAAATACTCAACATTATCAATCCACTGTAAACAGTAAATAACCTCATGTCAAACAAAGACACTGCTTAGGATGAAGAAGTCTGAAATATTCTACATTTGCACCCATCAGAGCAGTTACTCGATCCAAGATATAACCAATCTAAGGTACAACACCTTCCCCTATTTGTGCAACATCTATATTTCATTAAAATGGTATATATTTTTCACAGGCCTTTTTAATGATGCGTTTTCAGTATTGAGACTATAGAGCATTGGATTGTAGGATGATTGATAAATTGGAAATGATCTGCCTGGAGGGACTAAGGAAATCCATAAAAAACCTCAGCCAGGAAAGTCAGTGTCTCATCTAAGATTTGAACCAAGCACATCCCAGACAGAAGTCTAAAGTATTACTTCTAGACTAACCTGTTCAGTCAGTGTTACAGTTTTAAAGTCTACTTAAGTGGAATTAGTTGGGGGTAAATTACTGCATAAGACAATTTCAAGAGACATGTGTTCACAGTTCTGTAAGTCAGTAGCCTGTATTTGCTATCTTACATTTCTAGATTAAAGTATTTGTAAAAGAAGTGTGTTTTATTTACAAATGATACAGTGTTGCATCATGTAGTCTGGATCAACAAAGATATGTAGTTCTTTCTGCCAGGCAACATATATTCTTGTCCCAGTTTTTACTAAGTTTATATTTAAATATAAACATTTTATTGGTGTTATTTGTGCCCAGTGTTTCATGCATACCAACTTTTGATAATATATGTTAGTGTTTACTGTGTTGTACATGCGTTTGAACTCTGAATTTTTATGCAAATACACGTGCCTACAAGTAAAAATCCATCTTCCAAAATTAGAGTGATAAAAGTATGTGACTTTTATACCACTGAACAATAATTACAACAAACTACACAAGCCTAATATGCTGTAACACTGAACTTAAGTTTTTCTTTTATCTAGAGGTATAATTTGCGAAGCAAACAATACTGTACTGAAGGAACAATTTCTTGAGTCCTGCAAGGAACTAGCAACCAAGAGCAAAAGACATGGCACTGAATGCATGATATATGATACTATAATCACTGATTAGCGTATGTACTGAGTGCACATCATATTTGGATAAGAGTGGTACTAGATAAGACAAGGTATGTGTTGGAAATTTATACTGTCAATATTCCACCCTACTCGAAGAGCAGCATTACATGATACAAATTATTACTCGGAAGTCATTTGCAGTGTATGATGGTATATAAAGTAATTACCAATGTGCACAGAATAAGAACCCAATAAACAGCCTCAACTAGCATTGAAGAGTACTGAATATCATAAAAATATATGTAAAATATTGCTTTTTTTTTTGTGCAGGCTAATAGCGCAAGATTAAATTTCATGGACATCTCTCTCTTGATATCTGGATATATCACATTTTCTGTGGTATATCTGTTAAGTAATGGGTGCTGAAGAAGCAAATATACACATCACAGGATAACTACACAGCAGAAGGTATACTTTTATGAAGTATAAAGCAAGAAGTCAAAATATGAACTGTACACTGAAAGCATACACCTAGAAAATATGAAATAAATGAAAAACAATTATATTCAGGACAATATTTTAATGAACTAATGATACAGACTGCAGTCTCAAGTTGACAATGGAAATACAAAAAAATGCAAATAATTATTAATGTAGATATGTACCATATTAAAACCAGATGTGGTACTCTTTTGAGCATAAGCAGCTGTAAAGAGTCCAGCAGTGTTAAGCATGTCTGCAGATTTCTAGCAGCAGATAATAACTAGGAAAATATCACACATCCTGAACTGGATATGACTCTGTTCCTACAGTCACTTCCGCTGCCATTTCTTCTGTGCTGCAAAGATGTATGGATGTAACCTAAACATGAAGAGAAATGTGAACATCCTGCAGCTCTTCTTCATGGCAACATCTCCCCTGCATTTTCCTTTCCTTCCTGTAATGAGTGACCCATATGAATATGGAAACAAGATGATCCTCAACAGAATATGTGCAGCCAAAAACAATTATGAAGATGTCTTCCGGGATGTGATGTTGTGCAGTCTTATAGAAGTTCACTTGATTTTCAGAGGCATGTGCTACCTCCATCTGCAGGGCAGTAGAAATAACTCTCTGGAACAGTAATGAACTGTTACCAGACTACATAACATCAGATCTCATCATTATCATCACTATGGTAACTTCATATCTCACAAGAAGGGTGTTAATAACAATAGCTGACAAACACTCCAAAGAGTTCCAAACTTAGATTGCAATGACAGGGAATGAGATAAAGAGAGGGACCATCTTCCACATGTAACACGTACCTAGAATCAAGACAGGGAAACAAACAATACAAATTAATCACTAAACAAATTCAATGGAACTTTGTGAGTATATCTTAGATGAAAGTAATGAAATACAAGCAACAAACTAGAGATTCCATGAAACCAAAACAGGCCACATGGTGTAATACCAGAAAGGCTCAAGATTATGACAATCTGGACTATGGGAAAAATACTGAGTTATAACTGAGATAAAAATGATAAATACATGTTCAATACTTTGGGAGCTGGTGTGGTAAGTTTCATTGTACAGGATAGAGAATTCAACGAGTTTCAGTCTTACTACTATTGAGTGACTTCAGCTTTCAGGGCTAGGCAGCATTGAATGTTGAGGGTTTTCCAATGTTTGCAAACCTTGCAGCTGCTACCTTCAGGGTTAATGACTGAAATGGGTTTGGTAGTTCTTACAACTCTCACACTAGGGAGAGTGTTGGAGATGAAGCCGTGACTTGATGAACATAGGAGCGGGATGTTAACCAATAGGGAGCATCCATGTGGTGGATGAACATAGGAGCAGGAAGCTAACCAATAGGGAGCACCCATGTGGTTAATGGAAAGAGGTGAAGAGAAATGTTTCAGTAGCCACACACTTAATGAAAAGAGGTTATGAAATAATGTTCTGGCAACCAGGTGGTCTGAGATGAGGAGGAATAAACATTTCAGCAAAACCATGTTTAGGACACAAAATTAAGATTTTCTTTCCTCCTGCCAGTCCTTTCTTTCTTCCCCTATGTGAACAGGAAAGGGATTCTTCTTTTACCCTCATACAGACAGGATGGAAGTTCAGTGATTGCTGGATGAAGGTTGTTCACTGTTGGGTTTGGTGGGGGAAAGCTGAAGACAGGTTTTACTCTGTCTGTAGCTGTCTTCACAGTTAAAGTTATGGGTGTGTTAATGGTAGAGCCAGATATTGGCTATAACATCTGTGCTGTCAAAGCTGATGCTGTATTTTGTTTCTACAGAATATTCAGCTACCACTGACCACTGGTTCTCCCGCTTGGTGCCTCTGATGTGTTTGGAAATCCTGGTGGATATATAACAGCCTGTTTGGCCAATGTACACCTTGCCACATGAGCAGGGGACCTTGTAAACTCTCAGTTTTTAAGTCATGAGGGTTGTCTATCATTGGTGGACAAGAAGCAGGATGCCATTTAGTTAAATGGCATTTGGATTCTGTGAATGCCTCTTTCCTTCTGTAGCCTGGAGATGCAGTCCGTGGTGCTGTGAATGTAAAGTACATAGGTATGCCATGCAGTCTTGCTCACTGCTCCTGTTGATGGAACTGGCCTTTGATGCTCTGTTATGTCCTGGAGGGAGTAGCCATCGGCTTGGAGAATGAACTTGACACACTGTAGTTCTGTTTGGTTTATGTAATCCAGAAATCATTTAACAAAATGACATCCTGTTTCAGGCCCACTAAGAACAGACAATCCCTGATTCAAACATATTGTCATGTGTTTGGGTGACTAAGATGCGGGTTTGGATTGGTAACTGGATTTATTAATAACCTACAGGTTGTAACTACAATTAATTATTATACTATTGCTGCTTTACATAATGTACAATCACTCCACACTATCTTCAGTCTATCTGCACTGGTTTTCACGGATTTACGAACATGGGAACTATAACAGTCTCACTGAATCACACACTCCAAATATTACGCATAAATAAAGTCTTCAAATCACACATTAAATCCTCCCAGGCCGACCTCCTGTACTCTTTTGTACTCCTGGTTCCAATTTGCTCCATTTGTATGATTCTGCCGCTACTACTATCTATGCCAGCTTAGGAATTCCGCTCACTTATATAGCCAAGGGATGGACATTGGCCAACAGTAAACACATGTCATGTGATCACTATCTCATGTTGTGACGCCACTGCAGGCACAGAAAACACAGCCTCCTCCACTGTTGCATAACCTAGCAATGGACTGTGTTTACAGAGCTGTTGCCTGGCAACGTATTCATTAAATCTGTTACAATATGCAGTTTATTACAAGGTCCCCTGCTTATACAGCAAGAGGGACAAAAGGGAAGTTGTAGCCAATATCCAGACCTACCATCAAAACAACAGCTCCACAATTTTAGCCATGAAAGCAGATTAAGATTATGTAAACCTGCCTTCATCTCTTCCTCCCCCAAACCCACCGCTGAATCACCTTCATTCAGCTATCTCTGAACTCCAACATTTCTCCCACCTTATCTCAAGACAACCTGGTTGCCAGAGCACTGCTCATCCTCTCTTTTCATTAATTACATGGATGCTCCCTATTGGTTAGAATCCCAACTCTCTGTCCATCCATCATGGCTTCACCTCCAACATACTGCCTAATGCAACATCTATGTAAGAACTGCCAAAACCTTCCTGAAGTCACCCTGAAGATGACATCTGAATGGTTTTCTGAAATGCTGGAAAATTCTCAAAATTTAAAGCAATCCAGTCCTGAAAGCCAAAGCCATTCCATAAGCTTTGGCCACAAGACTGTTGGGACCGTGTGAGACTGTGCCCACCTGTTCTCTTCATGAGGCAACCTTGATGGCAGCTGGACTTCCTTTGCCTTGAGGCTGAAACACAAAGAGAGGGTCTCACTGACACAAGTCATACTATTCCAGTTGTTCCTCTCCCTCCTTTACCCTTCTTCTTCCCTCTATATGCCATGTATTAAGACTGGCAACAAAGTAACCTCAATTTGGTCCACAGTTCAACCAGTAACAAAAGGTATCCGGTCTAAATTTGGTTCAGGCTACTTTAATGTATGTCCCCTTAACTATATTTTAAGTAATTCACTTTCACTGGTGTTTTCTATCAGTAATTTCAGGTTTGCAAGGATATTAAAGCTTGTGCACCTCTTTCAGATATTACTTCCTGGTAAATGTGTTATTTTCAATACACACTGTGGGTGTATATACTGAATAGTGCCTTATAACTCAGCCTTTTATGATATATGAGAGCATGCTGAAAAGTACTGGTGCCACTTGGTAACACTTACCATAACAAATACATGTGAAGGTAATGATCGGTCCAGGAGCTCAGTGATCTCAGCCTGCCTGATCGGAATATTGCCTTGGTCAGAAATGGTAAGTCTCAAGCGTGGCAGGGCTACTAGTCCAGACTGCAGAGGATACAGGTTGTAGCACATCTTGTGGACTGATTCTGGTAATATGCGTAGCTGTAACTGTAACAATATCACACAGTCAACCAGTGTAGATGACAGATGATACAAACTGCAATCCATCTTGAAAAGTGATTCTGGCAAGGTGTACAGCTGTAGCTGCAGAAACATCATACTGCCATCCAATGCAGGTGGCAGAGGATATAGATTGTAACATATCTTCTGAGGTACTTCTGGTAAGATCAGCAGCTGTGACATCACACACTCAGCCTCAAAGGAAAAATCAGATTTTGTGTGTATATACAATGGTATACTCATGTTGCACAGCATAAATTGGCTACAAAGGGCTTTTCTTATGCTTTGTAAGCACCTGAAAAGTATTTTGTTGCAACATTCAGGAGTTTCAAGGGTATGTAATACTGGTAACTCAAACGCTTGACCATTCAGTTGCACGTACACGCAGGAGGACATATTATGACCGATTGAAACACTGGCTGAATCATGACACCACAGTAATATTGCACACTGTCACCAACTGAGGGATATTTGACAGTGAACTTCTACAAATTACTTGTGACTGAGTAACAAATTTTTAACATTTGCTCAGTTGCTGTAGCAACACTTCAGTGTGAATAATAACTTTCTGAAGGCCTCTGTTTATTCTAGAAGAAAATTTCTACAAATAAATACCAAAATGAAGTACTGAACCAGTTTCTGAGTTTCAGAAATAACATGTTATTTGCACACCCAACAGCACATAATCATAATTACAAATTACATACATAGTTTCTTAAGACCAGTAAATGATTTCCTCAAAACTGTAAGCTATACAGCAAATGTATATGACATCAAATAACAAACTGCATTGTAATAGAATACAGAATTATATTTAAAAATGAAGTATGATTGCTCACTTTCTAATCTAGCTTGTAACCTTCACCTTCAAGGTTAGTCAAACTGCATACTGAAGCTGTTCTACTCGTTGTACTCGCAATCTGCAAAACGTGAGTTGGGAAAAGAAATGGACTCAGGTCTTACAGTGGGAGTAGCAGTAGGGCTGTACACATAGACACAAGCCATTAAAACAATAAGAATTCTTAACCTAGGCTGAAGTAATAGAGTGAAACCAGACTTTACGTTTCTGACAGGACCATTTAAAATGAATGTAAAATCAAGTACATGAAAATTTATGTAGCTACCAAAATTAAATTAAATTTATACTGTATGAACTACTTACCTCCACGAGGCCGAGCTCTTCTTGAGAAGCTGCCCCTTGCACAGCTACTCAAGAAGTTTCCAATATTTTTTGGAACCCGAAGGTTCATTACTGTGTTCACAAGAGCCTTCCACTGGTCCCTGTCCTGAGCCAGATCAATCCAGCCCATACCACCCCATCCTGTCTCTCTGAGATCCTCTCCTTGGACTTCTATCCACCGTTACAGGGCTCCCCTTTCATGCAATGTCTTGTGTGGTGGAAGCCTGATGAACAGCCAGTCTCATCAGCATGACACCCTTAATAATTTTGAGTAAATGTTCCCTTCTCCACTCCCCCATTCTGCACCCTCCTGATACAGTTTTGTAAACAACAGTGTTCCACTGCTCGTAACCATCAGAAGCTTTAAAATCTTCAACGACCATCAGTGTGCCACTGGTTATTGCATTGCAACCTCTAGCTTATTTAAACCATGTGATCAACAAACTCCCCAGTTCTTGAAATGGTGACTGTTCCAAGATCTCCCTTTGGCCAGAGAACCTGCCACATCATGAGTAACACTTTTCAATTCTTTTCCCGTTCTTAATAATAGCGTTTAATGTTGACAGTGCAATTCCTACTCTGGCAGCTAGTGCACACTAGTAACTACAGTGCTATCGCTAATTCACCACAGCTTGCACTAAGTCTTCTCAGTCTGCTTCATCTTCTCCAGTTGTTGCCTGGTCATCAATGCTGCACCTTCCTCAGCTTCCATGTTCATGCCCTTACTGGCCAGTGACTGTCTCACAATTCACTTCCAGGCTGGTGGTCATCTCACACCAAACTCCTACCTCACTGCTGTCCCAAGACTCCCTCATAATTGCAGCTGCTCCATGTTATATAGCCTTGGCATGGACCACACAGAGAATGCCTCTCAACAGTTCTTCTATTGTTGCTTGGACCGCAGAGAAACTACCATTCCTGTGAATTACTGCTTATATGTCTAACATACTTACTAGGCATTTTCTTTAAGCTATACACAGAAAGGCCATGGGATTTTAACACCTTTTTCATGGAATATCAATGGCACTTTCTCAGAACACAAAGGCATTTCTTTGTAAAGATGTTCATATATTCAACCACAGGAATGAGATCTGACAGCATCTGAGGTTTCTCCATTCTGTCTCTCACACATCATTCAATGGTACTTCCCCTTTAAAGAGCACATACTATTCCATTCATCAAATAATTCATGAACCCCAAAACACAGTCATCATACCCCTCTAGTAACCAGGCCCCAAGCGGTCTCCGTAGTCTAGAGGTAATGTTCCCACCTCATGACTCGTAGTACGCGGGTTCAAATACCCGGCGGAGGTCGTTGAATTTTTAAGGGCGGAAAAATTCAGGGAACAAGTCCTCCGGGAGGGACTTTAAGCCGTGGGTCCCGTGTCATAGCTTTACGGCACGTAAAAGAACCTCATATCTCCAAAGGAGGTCACTGAGCCAAATTACGGACGTTTCCCGCCCAACAGTAGTCTCTAATACCTCTGGTAGATGGGGGAAGCATTATAGATACCTCTCAGCTAGTAGAGCCGGTCTCGCTGGCTGGGCGGGACTGATGGTAAGCACCAGTACCGGTAGGATATAGAGACTGGTAGAAATCATAGAGGGAAGCACAATGGACCAATACAGGTCTAAGTGCATGGGGAAACCCACCCTCTCCAATAACTAACTAACTAGGCCCCATCTCATACATTTTCGCAGCATCACTGCATTACAGTAAGAAACAGAATAATCGCACTTACCAATAATGGTTCTCGGTTATGCTGGTGGCATCATTAATTACTACAGTTCATGTTACTGAGGCTCCAACAGAAAGAGTCACACATATAATTTTAATTTCTTGAATAATGCTGTGATCTACCTGCTTATGCCCTGCAAACATGAATTCATCGCTTGCCTCCATGCTAAGCTCCAACTCAAGCAGCCGAGAAGTATAATTGTGAATGTGGTACGATACAGCCATCGGTGTGCGTACCCAGCCATGTGCCGGAAGGTTCATTTGTACATACAGTGGTGCACTTTCTACATGTATTGTTGGCATCGTGACACTGCTGCTAGTCACAAGTCCCTTGCTTCCTTCCCTAATGGTAAACAAACACTGTATTATTACAGGAAGCCATATGAAAAGGAAGCGTAACTCAGAATGGAAGTCCATAAATCGTAAGAAATTTGAACATTGACAAATATTCTTTGAGCTCTGGAGCCAATCTATAGCAAGACTCCAGATATACCTAGTATATTCCCTGCTTAACAAAATCCATTCACTCATAGTCTTAAGCGTTTGCTTCATTCAGATATTTATATTGGACAAAGGGCTCCAGAAATAGACTTAAATCTATTTACCCATACATTTTAACAGGTCAAATACATACTCACAGTCAGCCTCTATTAACTCAGCTGTGGGATGTGTGGGTTAGCATATTTCTGGAGAAACAGTTTAGAGTACTGCAACTCTACCTCTTCCATTTGAGAGTGTAGACTCCAAGGGCTACAGGCTGGTCGCTGGGTTCACTGACAGTGACACAGAAAGCCTCAGCTGCAGTTTCCCCATTCTTGAGGTGCAGAGACTGAAGCTGTGACTGGAGCTTGGCATCCACAGAGAGCACCTGCTGTGACTAGATGACACAGATATATCACATCAAAATATGATCATCATTTGCGGATCTACTTCCCTCACTAAGGCAAGACAGACTTATGACATCACTGTGTCTCCCTCAATTTTAAACCAACAGATGGATTTTCATGAAATGTGACATAACATTATAGCACTTGGAGTGACTATTTTCACATTTTTTAATTTCCTGCAATCAATAATATGAATATGGCTCCCTATCACCAATAATATGAACATGGCAGCCATATAAACTCATGAGGTAGGAGTGACAGCAGTAATTAATACAGTACATACATATGTGTATTTTTGTTGTAGCAGATTCTGTGGGGGGTTGCTTTTGATGCTTTTAGTACTGCAGGCTATACAGCATCAACTACTAAATTACTAAGATGAAAGGACTTGGAAGGAAGTGGTTCTGGCCTAATTGAGGCACCATCCTGGAATTTCCCAGGACTGAGGAAAATAATGAAAATTGTGGGCCAGCATAGGTGGAATCCTGGCTCAGATTTCAACTGAACACATCATAAACACAAGAAGAGAATGTTACTGCTAGACCAACCTGTTCAGTGTACTTTTCTCAAAGTCTTCTTTTTGTGGAATACAAAACAGCAAGGAATCTAAACATCTATGTTTAGTTCTCAGTTTGATGGCAACTAATGAAACATTGGAACTAAGAACATAGAATTCCATACAGAGGTAGATCACAAAGATACCTACAGAGATATTGTATGAATCATCCTCTATGCATTAAGAATTACAAACATGGTAGGAAATTGCCTTCAAATCATAAAGGCAATATTAACTTAGACATGTACAACAGCCCAATAATACATACTCGATTCAACAACAGTTTCTAAAGTTGTCTTCCCTTGTTTGACTCAAACAAAGTTCATTTCACCTAAACTAAATGTTACTGGCCCAGAAAAATTTCACTGTTACTGTGAAAATTTAAAACTCACCAGATCAACGGTACTGTCTTCAATTATCAGTGGAGAAGGTGAAGCGCAGTTCACATGTGGCATAACAATGAATGGTTCCTTTGCAAATGTCTTTGCAATAGGTTCAAACTTGAGTGAGAAAAACTTTGCCGTGATGTCAAAGGGTTTCACAACAGGCACACTGATTAATTCTTCCTTTACACATGAACTCTCCACTCTCTGAGAATCTCTGTTTATGGCCATGTTATAAGTTACCTACAACAGAAGTTACTCATTACACTTAACACAACTGCAACTAACTCCACGGAACACAGTCCTTCTCGAGAAGCTGCTCAATTTGCCACCTAGTTTGGAAAATGAAGGTTTGTTAATGTGTTCACAGCAGCCCACCACCAGCTCCTGCCCTGAGCTAGGCAGATCCTACACATATCCTCCCAACTAAACACAGGGCTTCCAAATGGGGTTCCCCCCTCAGGCTTTCTCGAGAAGCTGCTCGATTTACCACCTAGTTTGGAAAATGAAGGTTTGTTATTGTGTTCACAGCAGCCCACCACCAGCTCCTGCCCTGAGCTAGGCAGATCCTATGCATATCCTCCCATCTAAACACAGGGCTTCGAAATGGGGTTCTCCACTCAGGCTTTCTTCCTCCCTGTAGCACTGCATAACATGCTGGTTTGAACTGTTCTGAGCCTCCTGCCCAACCTCCAAAATAGAGGTTGTCCTCAACTGCTTATTCAGTACAATCACATACACCCTCAGTATCTAAAGATCATCTGCTCCATTAGCAACCTCAGGACCTGCCATGCTGTGGGAACAAGGGATCCACTTAACATACAAACAAAGGGAAAATTTCACAGACAATAACTGGCAGATACATTTAATCCCCTGAACCGTGCAACGGTTCTTCCCTGTGAAGTTCCTTGGAGTCCCCCCCCCGAAACGCCGGGATGCGAGCCGTTCCTCTTTTTCCACTTATAGTCTTTGCTGACGTCAGGTCAGCTGACCTTGTCCCCCCCCTCCTGGAAGCAATGCGAGGTTTCTTGGTTACGCTGAATGAATGCTTCGTTCTCTCTTCCCGATACCTCCGGTCAGGTAACTTCGCTGCTTCTAAATTCTGTGTTCAGGTTGAATTGAGTTTGTGAAATTTCGTTTCGGCCCTTGCAGTATCCGAAGGGGGAAGAGCGCCCTCGCGACGTGATGAAGGTTGTATCAAGTCGCGAGGTTAATCTTGTGTTTGTAATTTGGAAACGCCAGTAAGTGACTTACTGTTGTATTTGGTTTCCTTTTCACCACAACGCCGTGTGGCGTAAGTAAATGGATTTGTTTGAAGTTTGAGTTGGCTTGAATAGCCGGTCGCCCTTCAGGCGTGTCAGTATGAGTGTATATTTCTTGTGCCCTTAAGGCTCGCCAGAGTACAGTCTTTTCCTAGTCAAATTGATCAATGCCATGAGGCGTGCCTATGCTTGCGTCTGTGCGCTTAGCCACAGAGTAATTCTGTATAAACGGTTGATTATGTTTTGACCAGTGCCTGCCCATCAGGCAGAGTACACCTGTATACTTTTGTTATCAATATACACATTTATTTATATGTTGGAAACGCCAGTCGTATTTGTGTATACTTGGGTGGTGTGTGTGTTCCCTACTAGTTCAGACCAGCAGATCCGTCCAGCTTGGCCCATAGTGCTGACAGTGGTTTTCCTCTCCCGAGATCCCCTACTTGACCTTGGGGAGGCATAGTGCATCACGTACAAGCAAGTCGTCTTATGAGCCTGTCCCTTACCCATATTGATTAGGAGTTCACGGGTCTAAGTGGGTAGGAGAACTGGGTTCTTGACCCACAGGGTCGAGGGACTCGACGGCTCACCCCACAGTGTTCATCGGGGGCATTAGTGAACTTGGAAAGAAAGCTGCATAAAGAGTTATGACCATTTCTCACTGCCAATCTGATTCTTTCAAGTCTTACCTAAGCCTATTGTTAACCTCTTTCCTATGGTTCAGTGTAGACGGAATATCTTGCGTTATATCAGTACCCTATATGCCCCTCTTGTGTTAGGTGCTTCTTATTTTATCATCTACCTTAAATAGCCCTGCATACTAACCAACTACAAACTCTCATTTATTATCATAATCCAAAGATTCAACACACTACAGTGATACCAAGATTTTTCACTTCTGAAGGGGGGGCCACCTAATATAAACATAAAATTGAGGAAATTAATGTTTATGAAACATAAAGAAATATTTGTGTTGCTTCATACTGTAAGAAATTGAAAAATGATGTCAAAATTTGGAAAGAATACAAATTTGATGAATCTTAAATCAGTTACATTTTAATATTGTTCTTACTGGAACCTGGCTGGGACAAAATGACAAGCATGTAAAATCAGGGAAAATGTAAAATCCAAGTGTGTAAAACTGATGTTACTGTAATACCAAAACCCACCACTGGGCACAGTCATGAGATAGACTGAATTGTCCAACCTTGACAATGATGTTGCGATTTCCAACTCGATGGGCACGCAAGTAGAAACATTTCTCCATGCTTGAGCCTTTCTCTAGGTCACCGAAAGAAAGTAGCAACGGAAGTGGCACTAATTCTGTAGCGACATCCTCACACAGTTGTGCTGAAATATAATTTGGTTTGTGTTGAGGACGTGAAGGTTAGCATTACACTTCACAGGCAGTTTCTAAATGACATCAAGTAACTTCTACTAAAAGATATTTCCCAAAACTGATCTTGACTACAACTCACAGGCTCTTGTTCCATGCATGTAAGAATACTTTGAACCTACCAAGTAGGCTGGCACATTAGTAATGTGTCTGTCACATTCAGGATACACTCAGTCTGAACCCAAACCAAATTCCAGCTATTACAACAAAGGCTCTTGTAGTTTTCCTAAGACTCTCCAGGCAAAAAACTTGACAGTAGATCACAATCATTTTATCCTTCATTTCTCCTGTTCATCATTCTATCTCAACTCTTCTGACTCTACATAACATAAGTAGCTCTTAGAATTAAAATCTGAGGCTTATAAAAATTATTTGACAAAAAATTCTGATTTCATGCATCAGTACCTAACTGTTAATTCTTTGGAATTACTGTTTTTTCTTCTTCTTTCTTTCTTCTTTCCTTTAGTTCATTTTAAAAATTTGCATTATCATTATTCATCATCGCAGCAGGGTTCCAAATTACATGAGTCCTGCAATGTGTATATGGTACAGGAGGTTTTCAAAGCGTGTAGTTATCAAATTTGTAGTTCTCACGGTTCTTAAGTCTCCACTGCATGGAGAACTTCTTGAGCAGCGAATACAGTGAAATCCGAATTAAGCATTCCTGCATTTACCTATATCCTGATTGCTCCCACATTTAGTGAAATGCCAATTTAGTATTCCAACATTTAGTGAAATTGCAGTTTGATATTACTGCACTGAGTGAAATCACATTTTCACATTTACTGAACTTTTTTTTTGTTCTGGTCCAAGCCAAAGTCAAATACAAAAAAATAAAAAAAAAATAAAAAAATATATTACTAGTATTTTCCTGTCAATTTCAAATAGTAAATAACCTGCACTTAGTGTAAGAGACTTTTAACCTTCCAGAACTTACCTTAATTTGGTGAGATTGTAGGCAAAACAATTTATATTCATATTATCTCTCTGCCAGAAATCAGTGCCAAACAACCCAAACTTTGGAAAAGTAATGTCACATAGTGAACATGCACCTAACCACTCTTACGAGTATACTGGCTTCACCATATTCATCTGTCTGTCTATATGTGACAACTTGAGAAACTCAAGAAATTTGATAATGGAGAGATTTTACTAAAATTTATCAATACATTTTACCTTTCTTAGCACTGGACATAGTTGCCCAATATTTTACACTTTACATGAAGACCAAAAAGCACGTTTGCATGCATCTCACACATAATGTGTTAAATACTTATCATGGTAAAAATTAAACTTCTTTATTAAAACCGTCACAACACAACTATATTAATGTCAGTGCCTAAAGAAGTTGTATATTATAACATAACAGGATACCAAAAAAAAAAAAAGTTAAAAATTGTAGATAAAAGTAAATCTCACATTTTATGCCCAGTACACTCTCCTGCAAGTCACAATTTGTTAGACAAACAAAATGGATTTTATGCTGTCTGGAGACAAAGACAGAGCAAACACCAAGAACTGTTATTCTATGCACACATGTTTGAAGCTGTTATCATGTAGACATGAAAGTAATGACGAGTATTTCAACATTCTTGAAATCTTTAGTATTATCAGAACTAAGAAGCTAAAGATTTCTCATGCTTACATAACCTCTCGTACTTCAAACACTGACTGATGTTCTTTGATCACAAATTAGAATGGCTTTTGCATGCATGCTAAGTATTTCTGCCTCAGGTTCACCTAAATTCTCTATTCAGACATACATTTTTCAGATTCTGGAATGTCAACATTCCTTCCCCAAACAAGGAAGGAGGGCAGGACATGGCTGAATGGTACCTTTATGGACTACCAGCTATAAGCAGCTTGGAAAGCTAACCTGCAATAACAGTTAGTGCAAAACAGTGTGGAAAAGTAGCCTGGACCAGTTAGGAATTGCTCATTAGGATGATACTGATAGGAAAATACTCTTACCTTATACAAAAATTTTCCACATACATAACGTTAAGAAACTTATGATGCCAATGTTTTTTCTCATCATAAGCAACACTTGTTCAATAGAGGGATCATTGTCTTCAACACTGCTATGAATACAACTGGCAATAATAAAATTTTGCATCCATATTATTCCTGGAACTATTGATTACCTAGTGAAACCTTCTGTAAATGACCACGAGATCTCAAATTTGCTGTTCCAAATTCATATGACAGTAATAACTGATCATAACCTAACCTATACCCATAAACCTCAGTATATTTTCTTTTTGAGGATACAATGATACAAGGGCACGCTGGATGTCAAGTGCTGGCACATTCTGAAAAAAGTCTGAAAACCTTTGCAGTACAACCTGTGCGTGTGCTGGAAAGTACAACATTCTGCTAAAATTACCTAACACAGGAAGTTCATATTCTGATTTGTTCATAAACTCTCCTTTCTTCCCTGACTTAGGTACCCAAAGAAACTTACTGGATTGCTCAATATTGGGATCATCTCCACTTGTCTGGAGATTAACATTTGCAGATATCACTGTAATTTTATAGTTTTCTTTGTTCTTCAAGATGACCCTGATGGGGTACCATTCTGCAAGAAGAGCGGGCATATCATGAGAGACTTTCACCTCAAGTTTTGAGTCTCGTGAAACAATCTCAGCAGTTGCAAGTGGCCGCACATTATCAAAGTCTGGCATGTGTTGAGGTGATTGCCTGTAAAATATTATGCAATGTACAGTATGAATATGTAGCCACTGCTTTTCTTGGGTGGAAATGGTAACAGCAGACCACAAATACAAATGTTTCATGGTCCTCATTATCATACCATTCACGTACCATAATGAATTTAATTATAACTGCCTTTTTACAAGAACTAGACACTGGGAGAAAAAGGATAAAAATAACAATATTTAATTCCTTTCCCCAGGAAAATTCCTTGTATATAAGTAGGATACATAAATCATGGGAATGTAAATTATGTGAGTATATACTCTATGTATATTTCCAAAAGTTAGATCACGGAGAAATTACTTTTGGTCATTCAGTCACTGGAATAGTCCCAAAAAATTAAAATTAAAGAACTACAATTTCTGCAGAAATTGAAACTATGGCATGGAACATCAGAATGCTGTGGCATATGTCAAAAGCCCTCAAAGCAGGGGGCAATTTTACCTGAAATGCTGTAGCTCAGGACACATTCCATCACTTGGTGCTGTCTCTGCCCCAGTGCCGCTGAACCGCAGTATGGCACTCCGTTCCTGTGCTGACCCCAGATGCAGCAGAATGGAACCGATCTGGATCTCCTTGCCAACATCCTGGACATCTGGCAGGAACTGGCACACATAGCGGCGAACTTCATGACAGTGGAACAACAGAAGGGGATTGCCTGACGCATGGACATCCTGGGAACTGCTTTCACACACAGCAAACTCAGAACTGTAGCTGGGGTTGTTCACTGTCACCGAGAGTCGACTGAACTGCAGTGGGTGGGGGCAGCAGCTCCTGTGTCAACACCAAATAAATGATGTGTCAAATTCATGACACAGTTGTGGGATGTCGATGTTTGCTGAGACAACCTCTTGAAACTACAACAAATGTTTGTTGCGCTTAGAACGGGTATTACAGACAAGCAGGGAGCGTGTCTGAAGAGACTCCACTTGTAGTGGTTAGCCTGGTCTAGTGATGATGGTGCTGGGTGGAGGCCCCTAAAAGTTCTGGTAAGAACATATGATGCCTACTTTCCTTCAAATTCTTCAGTTTATGTGGTGAAACAGCCAGAAGTGTAAATGAATAATTACCTAATTTATAGATCCAATGCTGTACATAATTTTCACCAGTATGAATTCTGACTTATGTTAACTTTGTCAGGCATATCCTCTGAACACCATACTGTTTGGATTGAAACATAATTTCACATGCTTAGCTGGTTCATTAGTTATGACCATCAAACTGACAGTTATTTTGTAAGGCCAACACCTTGTTCTCTTAAATATAAAATGGGGGCGGGGATGAATTACCTGCTTGCATTCTTTTCAAGCATGAATAAGTAGCAAGGTTCATCAGGTTCAACAAGTTTATTTTGAGAATATACAAGATTGCCTATACATGTTATGGCCACCACTGACCACCAACATAAGGCACAGCCAACACTACAGCGAAACACTTCACATGTATGATGAATACAGGTCATCGTCATAAAGGCATTTCTACCATCAGAAATCAAGACTAGGCTAAAGTATTAATGCAATTAAAGCATGCCATATTTATCAAAATAACAAGACAGTATCAGTTATAGTCTGGTTTTATAAGACCCTGTGATGCAATACCTGATGAACACTTCAATCTCCACATACTGATCTGCCTTGTACTGAGGCTGTGTGAACCTGGCTTTACTCTCCACACAGGCCGTGATATTGCTCATATCCACAGCTACTGCGAGGGGCTCAGTATGAACAGCTGTGGTCCACAGATCTCTTGCATGCTCAAGCTCTTCTTCAGGGACATCTGGTTCTGGCTCTGGTGCTGTTTTCTGAAAACAGAAAAGAAAAGTATGCTAACCTATGGCTACATGACTAAGATCCTCACCCTTATGAATTGGTAATGCATGTGATGCATTTCAAACCGTTGCTGTAGGTGCCTCACTGGAAACGGGGAAGTGTATATTGCATGCACATGTCTTAGTACACAGTTTTATAGTCATGGAGAACCATACAGTGAGTCATTTCATTTTCACTGTGAGAACTTATTTTGAAACTAAGACCATTTTTCAAATGCAAAGACATTTTTGGCAAGAGTTTGATGTTCCATGACATCACAGAATTCTTTCACGTAATATCATTCTGCCCTGTCATACGGCTCCTAACAAGGCAGTACCACCATTTCTGGAAAAGAGGATATCCCTTGTAAACCAGACCCTGAGAGCCACAGTTATTAGCAGGATAGCAGCCAGCCAGCTGAGGAATGTATGCCATGGGGCGCCATTACCAAGCAAAGGCTGGTGAAGACGCAGAAGACTGAGCAGTCTTAGTGCATGCTGTAGTGAACTGGAGAGTGTGTGAATTAGCGAAAGTGCTATAGTTGTAGTCATGGTGTGTAACAGTCCAATAAATCCAATTACCAACACAAACTCCATGGCTAGTCAATAAATGCATTCTCTTCTGACCTATATTAACTGCTCTTTTGCTTTATTACACAGAGAAATCAGAACTTACCTTCAGAACTTTCATCACATTGTTGAATATTCGTGTCTTTTCTACCGGTAAGAGCAGTGATGAAGTCCCAAGGGCTTCCAATGAAAGCACTACATAATCCTGAATGTTGGCAGACAGGTATGCACATTTGAGTGCCAGAGTCAGTATGTTGGTAAGCAATTGCCACCACTTTTCACAGCGGTAGTCCCACAACATGTGTGTCAACAACCTGCAGCAAAGAAACAGACTTCAGTATCACAGCTTGCACTTCCTCCCGACAGTTCTGTCATCCAACCAGACACATGCCAAGTCTGTGTGAACTGGAGTTAGAAGCATAATAAACCTCTTCCCATGTTACATTTCTCAAGAACACAGCTTTGTACCCTATAATCGTGCTTGACAAAATTTCTGCATGTCATTTGGTCTGAACCACTTTTCAGGTGAGTTTGCAACCATGCATAGTGCCTATTATATCCAATCATTCATCCACCTGCTTGCACGCATGAAACAACTCAAAAAAATACTTGATGGTTTCCCAATATATTTGATACTGCAGAATTCTGTGAAAAATTATCACATCATTTCAGTTTTCATTTATATCAGAAAAGTTTTATGGTTGCTGTATATGAGGACCTACATGTGCGTGAAGAACTCACCTGTTTAATACTTGGTATGCTATCTATACAGGATTGAGACTCTTGCAGTCGTTATCAAGAGCTCTATGCTTGCTTTAAGTTATAAACATGCCAAACAACCATAACCATTACACAACACAAAGAAAATGTTGGCCATATTGCACCTACCCATGGAAGTGCTCAAATGTTGATTACGCAAAGGTTCTAATTCACTTTCTTTTGTCAAGCATTTGGATGAATAACAATGAACCTACAGAGAGCCCTACAAATCATTTTGATATTACTCATCTCAAATACATACTGTGACGTGGATGGCGCAACAGGAAGTAGGGGTCATGTGAACTCTGCATTTCCACAAGTGACATTACGCAACGCTCAGTAAACACCCCTCCCCGCGAGGCTGTGACGTCACACAACAGCGACTATTGCTAAGCAATGTGTAGGTAGAAACACCTGACAACAATACCTGATATCTGTTGCCGAGCAGCAAGGTGTTCTCTATGTTGCCCGTGCCGAGCCTAAATAAGAAGCAGCAAACACTATTCAGGAGTAGTGAGTACTGAGTAACCAGTCAGTTGCAGTCTAGCATTCGCCTGAGTGAGTGGAAGCAGGAGAAGTAATTGTGATACTGCCGATGACAGTAATTGTGAAATTGTAAATTGTGTAACTGAGAGTGAGTGGAATAAATTCGCTAGATCCAATACGGCGTAAAGTTATTTGTCGCGCATGACATACCCAACACGTGACAATATGTACCATTACTGGTCAAAACCAACTCACGTCAATGCCTTGCCATAATCCTGTGAATTGTAATACTCTTCAGCCATCTGAACCACTGGAATGAAAAAATAATATGCTGTTAAATATTACTACTCATTTATAGAATACACTACTCATATTTTGAATAAAAGGACACTCACCAAGATGTCTTCTCATGCGCGGGCAACGATATGTCTTAAATTGTGTAATGGCACTTCCAAGTAAGCCTATAATAACCATCTGAAAATGAGAATGAGGGGAAACCCCAATCGCATTACAGTTGGCACAGCACTGCTACATTCATATCAGAACACTGCTACATAATGCATAGGGAATTTTATGCACAGCCTTCTACACAAGCTGAATCCAATGTCCCTCACTGTAAGAATTAGAAGCAAGCAGGGGCTAAACATGCACAGTGATAAATCAAGCAGAGACCCCATACACTGGGCTATCTGAACCTGCAAATGGCTCACTACAATATTGTCACGATTATGTGTGACTGGTGACTCAGTTTACTGACCACTTGACCACTTACATACTCACAACTCATGACTACACTTTACAGATCACTGACACACTAGTGACCTTAGTTTATTACAGCCTACACTAGCCGTTTCCTGGCAACAGATTGTATTACAGGAACTATAACAGTCTCACTGAGTCTCACATAAGGTCTCCTCTTCACAGCTGCACTCTTGCAACTGACTCTTTTCTTCACAGCCTCCTGTACACAACTGAACTATCAACTACCTTTACCCCTTGTTTATAACAAAAGAACACTGTTCTTCTCTTGTTGTGTATGTTGTGGGTGTTACCTAGCAACAGCTGCTGTTTACAGAGTCACCACTTATCAATGGGTCTATAAGCAAAAGTGATCCCTTCTTCAGGCAATTTGTCCCAATAGACTACAGTGAACCTCAATTTCCTACTTTCTGAGGACTGTGCTTGTGACGTCTGTGATCAGTCTCACCTTCCTCCCTCTGGCTTGGTTTGCAAGGTGGTTACTTTCCACGTGCTCCCATTGCTCCTGAGCGGCTCCCTGATAAGGTTCCAGCTGGTCCAGGTGTACCACCATCAACCTCGATCAACAGTTCCACTGGATCTTGGATACCACATCATTTATCTGTGTCACTCTCTTGTATGGGCCTCCTGGACAATTTCCCCTTTGTGCGAGTTGGGTGATAGAGGCCGACACTGTCACCCTCCTGGTAGCCTGCACAGTTGGCCAGTCTGTTGTAACGAGTTTTCATCTGGTCAATGGCCAGCTTCGGCTGCTGGAGGGCATAATTCTGTATGTTGTGTACATGGTCAACCAAATTTTCTGCATGATCGATTATGGGCCATTCAGTGATGGGGATGCCCAAAACAGCAGGCTGTAGGGCAGAGTTCTCTCCCAAACACTTGGCTAGCTGGGATGAAACCTGGTGCGACAACCTTCTGTAGGTAATCCTCAACCATTTTGATATAGTGTTCCATCACACTGACCAACTGTGGTGGTGGTGGGGGGTGGGGGGCATGTGTGTGTCTTGCTCTTGCTCACTCTCAGGCATTGCAAAACCTCCTGCATGAGACGAGACTTGAAGTTATGGCCCTGATTACTATGTAGCTCAAGTGGTATTCCAAAGTGGCAGAAATTGGTAAGTAGCGCTTCTACCACTGTTGAAGCCTTTTGCTTGGGAATGGCATAGGCTTCCAGCCCCTTTGTAATATAATCCAAAGTGATCAGGAGGTATCAGATTCCTTGGCCACTCCGTGGGAAGGACCCTGCTACATCGATCACTATCCTTTTGATTGGGGCCCCGACATTGTACTGATGCATTTGCCCTGATTCCTGGTTCAGGGGCCATAAGTGGCAGCACAGTTGTTGCACTGTCAGCACTACTTCTTGAAATCGATTCTTGGGCCCAGTAGCTTTTGTACGTGGGGCTGAGGTTGGCGATGTCCAGTCTTTACTTCCTCCAGAATGGGTCCTAAGACCTGTTCATTCAGGTGCTCTGTTCTCAGAGCAACTGAACCACATCCAGCTGCTGCTACTGATGCAATAGCTTGCACCGGCTTGATGTCTGCCCGCGCCTCTATTTTGTAACAGTGGGTACACTCCTCTCAGCATTGCTGTGTTATGAGCCTGCACAGTGCTTAAAGTGACACAGTGATCTAGCATCTAACCAAGTAACCCTCTCTCAACTGCAACAGATTTGTGATCTGACAAGAAAAAAGATAGGCCGTGAGAGAGACTACGAACACTGTGATCACTCAAGGTAAGTCTGGAACAGGCAGCTGACATTCAAACAATTATTCATCACAACCAACATACATGGTTGAATGTCACGAAGTGGACATACTTCTTTATCATTAAACCATGTATGTCCACCTAAAAGGAGGACTGATCACAGTAGTTTTAATGAGGATGACTTTTCAAAGTATTCTCAACAGAAACTACTTCCTTGCTTTAATAAACAGCTCAAGAATGAAATATTTTAACTATTAGTACACTCTTATCAAAAGTTGTAATATTGATATTAGAAAAATTGGCTTCATTATCATAAACCAGTGCTCATTTAACTTACATATACTGGGCATATATCCTACTGCTCTACATCTGCATATCACTTACTGAATGGTGCACTCGCTGCTTCTCTTGGTACTGCAGAGCCTGAATTCCAAGCTTTTCTTTATCAGGGTCAGGAGGTTCGGCACTTAACTTTCCTGGACGCCAAGCCCTCTGGCCAAAAAACTCCAGCTGCTCCATGCCAGCCAATGGGTCAGGTTCTGGATAAACGTCCACAGCCTTTTGGGTCAATAAGAACAAAATATCTACAATTTTTTTTTTGATGGTGTCAGCCATAAATTAAAAACCTTTCTGATTTGTACACTGTGCTGTGTTGAATCAAATTCTAACATTATAGAGGATATTACTTCATCTTCGGGACCCGTAAGTTTCTCTGCAATGCAGGAAACTGCTTCTGAGACAAGAAGGAACAAATTGTAAACAGATTGAGTATAACATGAAAATGATCTTTACTTTACTTTACTTTATTTATTGCATTCTGTCAATCCATATAAGGTCAAACCAACCTATTGGATGTAGAATCTGTCATGTTTAGGAATAAAATAATAAAATATACATACATAACCATGTTTGAACATAAGATAATAAAATATACATTCCTAACCCATACAAGGACAAATGAAAACACTAAGAACCATTATAAATTAGTGCAGTTATATACAATAATACAAACACTGATACAGTTGCAGTAGATACATAAGCTGTGTAATTATATTATCCGTAGGAGAGACAATCAAGACAAAGTGTTCATTGAGAAGTTGATTTATATTCATCAATACTATAAAAAGCATGTTCAGTGAAATAGCTTTTCAATAAAAATTTGAAATCTTTAATATCTTTGGATAGCAATTTAATGTTTGAGGGTAAGTCTAACAATGATAAAGACCAACCAAATTAGCCAAAGTGGTAACGCTCCTTACTTGTACTTGGGACATTCCAGGTTCAAATTTTGGTTGGGACAAATGAGGTTATTTTCTTTTGTGGTTTTCCTCAGTCCCTCCAGCCTAGTGCCAGCACAGTATCTAAGGCCATGACCATTTCCTTCCACATCCTTTCCATTTCATCATTCATTAATCACTCCCTCAGTCTCAAATACTGGCAGTGTTGCTAAATAACTCATAAATAAATAAACAATGATAAATATATTCATTTGGCCTCCATTTGCAGAAGGTAGACAGGACCAATCTCATAATATCATATGATTTGTTATACTTACCTAACTACATAAATGATTATGGAACTGAATAAGAGGCCTGGGCCCTGAATGGGCTGGAAGACCCTTTAAAAAACCCACATACCTGACTGATCCCGTGATAGCAGAATTTCAAGATTAACTACTAATAATATCAAAGTCTATCACTGCCTCCACCTCCTCAATGTTCCAAGTGACCAGTTTCCTAGAAAATTTCCAACTGAAATTCTGTGTGGTTCCTTGTCATCTCCTTTCTAGCTACATGCCCAGCCAAACTAACACCCTTACATTTCACAATTCCAACAACAGTCTAATCCACAAAACCGTTCGTTTTGTAATATCCTAAATTGTTCGTGTATGCCCTTAGATCCAGTTATCTTCTTGAACACTTTAGTTTTCAGACATCTATAATGAAGAAGGCGTTGTATCTCCTGGGATATACTGTCATGTATTCCAGGGAAGGGCAACCTGTGTTTCAGAGGAGCATATTGCCTCCACCTTCAAAGTCAAAAAGTAAGCCAAGTAAGAAACCGGCATTAAGCAGACAACACTGCCTATTCCAGATGATAGAAGCCTTCACAGCCACTGCAATGAGAACTCAATATCCACTTGTAAACCAAGCCTTTCTTCATACTCATACAAAGCTGGCAAAATTGTTTTACACATATTGATCTTCAGCACTTCAGAGAGCAGATGTGACAGTAACTACTTAAAACCTGAATACATGTATTTCCCAAATTTACTCTTCTCCTACTTTCACAACCAAACACACTTCTACTTGTTACTGTTGTTCCAAAGTACTTACATTTTTAACATTACTTTTTAGATATACATACACATATACCTTCTACCCCTCTTCCATATCTAAAAGCAGAATACAATTTATGTTATGTCATTATTTTCAATACCTTACAAAGCTCTAAACAAGCCTCCTTTCTGTCTGCAGCATGCTGTGCTGCTTGCTGATAGTAGAATCCTGGGTGCTGTGTTTGCAGTGCAGGTAAACCTTGTCGGATTGCCTCATCAAAAATATCACCAAACACACAAAACCTAAACAGCATTCAGAAATTTACAAAAGTGTATTCCTGCCATGTACCACACACTAAATTTCATATCAGGCGCAAATTAAAAAACAGTGTAACACCTATACCTTGATGAAAACAAATTAAATTTACCATTACAGATTTAATTATGAGAGCCATCATAAAAAGTTTATGGGGAGACCAAATTTCATGATTATTAAAAGAATATGATTTGAGGCAGTCTACACAACAGTAAGTTCAGAAAACAAACAAGTTAGACACTATTGTGTCAACATCTGCTTTATTTTGCTGTTGATATCTTCACCACGTTTCGTACCTTACCTGGGTTATCCTCAGGTGTACATGAATATTTGGTGTTACATTTTTGAGTTGCATCTCAGTATATTTATTGACATGATGCATTCTTCAGAAACTGCATAAAGTGCATCATTCTACTTATCTGCTAAAGTTAAAATATTTTAAGCAAAACAAGGAAAACAAATTATATGTTGAAATTTGTATGAAATGTTAGGAAATCACCAAATTTCTCTCAATTTTAAGCACTTAATATGACAGTGGATAAGATATGAATTACTTATAATTTAAACTAAAGTTTGTCTAATTAAACATTCACTAAATAAAAAACAATTAAATAAATCTAAAGTCTTAACTAACTACTTGTACATGAAGCTGAGCACTTCTTGAGAAGTCACCATTTGCTTGACTACTCAAGAATTTCCTGAAATTTTATGGAACCAAAAGGTTCATTACTGTGTTCACAACAGCCCTTATTTGGTCCACATCCTGAGTCATACAAATCAAGCCTATACCACCTCATCCTATTTCTGTAACATCCATTTTAATATTATCCTCTCACCCACGTCAAGGTCTTCCTAGTGGTCTCTTTCCTTCAGGTTTCCCACCAAAATCCTATATTCATTCCTCTTCTCCCCCATGTGTGCTACATGATCTGCCATCTTATCCTCCTTCATTTGATCAGTCTAATCATGTTTGGTGAACAGTAAAACTTATGAAGCTCCTCATTATGAAGTTTTCTCCGCTCTCCTACCATTTCATCCTTCTTTGATCCAAATATTTTACTCAGCAGCCCATTCTCAAATACCCTCAATTTACATACGCTGTCCCCTTAATGTCAGAAACAAAGTTCCACACCCATAAAAGACTATAGCCAAATTATAGTTTTGTATATTACAATTTTCATGCTTTAAACATAAGGTTGTGATCTGAATTCAGTCTACTCTTAACTTCCTCAGTAATCAATTCTTAATTTCTTACTTTCTGAAATTTCTCAAATTTTCAAGGACTCTATTAGCTACATTTATGTTCTGATTTTGTCCTGTATTTCCACAGAAAAATGTATAACATCCCGCTGGCTCAATGCCACTTCTTTCCCATCTGACTTCTTGCACTCCCACCAAATCTAACATATATTCTGGTATTTCTCTTGCAACTGTTATGAGTGAGGCTCCTTATATCCCATGTACCAAGTCTCATGCCCAATTTACTTAGCTTAGGTCATCTATCCTAATAATCCATCCAAGTCTGAGGCCTTGTGTAACATTCTGCAACAAAATTATTTTTTTACAATGAGTTTTTAGCCTCAATGCCCAATTCCCAAATCTGGAGGACCACTCCCTGTCAGCTGTCCATGAATGTTTTTCAATACATTCACAACAACCTTCCACATTTGCAGTGTGATTCTCCCATTTGCAACCCAGGGAGATACCATGCTATGGTGACAAGGGATGCATTTGAGATGGAAATTTTAGGCTCTAATATGAAAATACTTTTATGTTGTGCATGAACTGCCATGAATAAAAAGTTCTCAAAAGGTTAAGTCTATTTGTGACTATGCTGGACACTATGAAAAATTTATCTACATATTACAGAACATTTGTCTGATTGTGCTTCAAAAACTTATGAAAATATGCATAAAATACATTTCGGCATACATGCAAATCCAGCCTGTTTCTATCCTTTCTCACACAATAGCTAACCCTTCAGACTTCACACATATTGTTCTATGCAGGGTGCAGAATGAAGACTATTAACTCTATTCTACTACACACAGAGCTGTTACATGTTGAGACAAATTTAATTAGAATATGAAGAGGGTACTTTTCAATATATGTTCTAAGCCAGTTTTTCAAATCATTCCTTTTGAAGTTTTATTTTAGATATGTCTATACACAAGAGGAGCAGTACTGTTCTACCCACTGCATACACATGCTATATATAATCTGCATACTCACTGCTTTGACATCCATGCATGATGTTCGAATGCCAGATCTTTCTGCCCTATCCGGTTTTTGAAGTGTTCGGTATGTTTACGGAACTGAGCAATGGCATCACGAGGAAGACTTAAATGAAACATCAGTTTGCAGAGCTTATAGTTGATAAATCCAGCCACTGTTTTAATTTCCAGGGCATTAGTGTCCACCATACGCAATTCTAATAAATTGCTATATGCCTGAGAGTAATTTCTGAAACAGAACATATCAATATTTTCATGCTTCTTTGGCAGAAACGTCTGTCCAATATGACTACGTGAGAAAGTATACTTTAATCAGAATATAATGGCAACTAACTTCATTGAGCAGGGCCCTCTTTGAGATGCTGACAGTTGCTCATCTAGTCTAGAAATTCTAAAAATTTTGTAGAACATTAAGGTTCATTATTATGCTCATAACAGCCCAACACTGGTCTCTCTTCTAAGGCCCCCCATACACGCACAGTTTGGCCTTCTGATTGACCTTACAGGCAAAACTTTCACAGTTTGCCCTCGCCCTTTCCTTCCCCGTACACGCGCAGATAAACCGGCAGGCTGCATGCCACAGTCATGGTCTTCCAGCCTATATTGCTGAGTCACACACATCACGTGCTACGTCCTGCAGGTAGAACTGATGGACTGACAGGTTTCCTACGGTCTAACAGTCCAAACGATTGGCCGACCGGCCGCACCACACACATCAGTTTTGCCTTTCAGTCTTAAACTGTGCAGGCCGAATGGGAGGCCAAACTGTGTGTGTATGGGGGCCCTAAGCAAAATAAAGGAAGTTCACACCCTCACATTCTATTTCTTTAAAATCAATTTTATATTATCCTTCCATCTATGTCTGAGTCTTCTAAAGCACACATCTTTCTGGTTTTCCAACCAAAACACTGTATGAATTTCTTTATACTCCCACATCTCTCCCACGCATGCTACATGTCCCACCCATCTCATCTTCCTTTACTTGAACATCCTAATAATATTTGGCGAGGAATACAAATTATGGAACTCCTTAATATACCATTTTCTTCAGCCTCCTGTTACTTCCTCCCTCTTAGCTCGAAATATTCTCAATACCCTGTACAGCTTATTCATTCATATAAAACAACAGACAAAATATTTTTTGATAGCAGACATGATGCAGAAGTGGCTGAGATGACAGTCAAAAGACTTCTATGATGCAGGTTTTGACACACTGGTAAAGCGATGGGGCAAGTGTATTGATGTTGGTAGAGGATATGTCAAGGAAAATACGGTTTTTCCAGGTTTGAATATCACATGGTTTACATTTTATATCCATTTGTGTCCTATTTAATGACTCTCCATCATATTTTGTTGTGACAAATATTAATGAAAAAAGCAGCCCATACTTGAGTGCAGTGTGTACGTCTTGTTTCAGCTCGTTCAGGAACCCAATTTTGAACAAATGGCGTACAAATAGATACTGATGTGTCGTCTTATTAAGATGGTCTCGATGAGACTTTATGTTTCGAGCCTCATGATGGTAGTAATTTTGAGCCAAATCATAAAATGCGTTCTCCAACCTGAAAGAAATAAAAAGTTAAAAAAAAAAAAGAAGATAGAAAGTTGACCATTATGCCTCTTTTGCCAAGACCTCACATGAATTTCTTGTTTAGTTTAGTGGGGTTCTCATGACTGACTTCAGCTATTTCTCTCTTGTAATGCAGTGTGTAGGGCAACTGCAAACAGTTCTGTAACTCTAGAAACTGTGTGTTATCCACCGGCAGTATACTGTGTTGTGTACCAAAACACCTCCATGATCCGTATAGTCATTAATGAAAATGGGATGTCACTCACATTTACACAGAAGATAAATCAGAGGTTTGCAGAAAGATATGTGTAATTTTATTAAAAGTAAATGTTCTCAGACTTAACCATCTGCAAAGCTGTTTATTCCTTTAAGCATAGTGAGAAGTTTCACCATTAAAAATCTTTGCTCATAGTGTACTTATGGGGTCCATATGATTCTCCTGAACAGTGATCATTTCCTTATACAGCATTAATCTTTTGGTCTCTCTAATGGTGACAGGTTTTACTGCTTGTCTTTGAGCAGCATACTTATTACTCTCTGCGGCAATGGGGTCACAAAACCTGTCATCTGCAAACAGCGAGAAACAATCCCCTTCATCACTTCCTACTGGAAGATCATGAACACTTTTGGTAGGTAATGAAAACTATTCCAGGTATTTTAAATTAAGCGTTGTACACTTGTTCGATGGAACAAGGAGAAAACCTATTCTCTTGCCTTGTCTTTGTTGTACAATTGTAGCTACACTTATCACCAATACTGCTGTCACTATGTTTCCTATCACCATCTTCCACAAAATCAACCATCCATGCCTCATCAAAACCATTCCTTTCATATGCTAAATCCTCCTCCACTGTGGCAGAAATTTAGTCACATTTTAGTATGATGCACTTGTGACTGTGATGGCTAGTAAACACAAACTGAGCAGAATTAGTGAGTCCTGTAGTGAGAAGTCAAGTGCATTAATTAACAAGAGTTCAATAAACACAATTATCAGTCCAAACCCCATGTCTAGTCACTACGTCATGACAGTAACATTTGTAATCAACACTCCGTACACCATTAATCAGTTACAGTAGTACTTTGCAACTGCAACAGATCTTAACAGTATGAAACAAGAACTCTGCAGAACATTTGCAAATGTCAGTACCTGTGTGTATAACCTAGCAAGTGATCTCCATGTGGAAGAACAAACAAGGCCTTGGCATTGAGTTCACAGCAGGTGCACAGCACTGCCGCCCTTTCGTCTGCCAGCATGTCTTCTCCTGTAGGCAGCGGAGCAGTCTGCTGGACAAGAATCACTGCAATACGACTGCTACGTCCATCCAACGCTGCCCTGTTTTTTAAACACCCATTAGTCCCTATTCAACATATATATATATAAACAGTAAAACTTGGTTATAGCAACATCGGTTTCTGCGACACCTTGTCTACTGCGTCAAATATTCAATGGTACGAACTAATTCTCATAAAGCAACTGTTTTTATACCTTGCTTAGTACGACATGTACAAATGCATCAACCTCGTATGTAACGTCATTTTCATTCCTGAATTTCTCTGATATCGTGGGAAAGTTCGATGTGTCTGTCCCCCCTCACTTTCTCTACTTGCTGACGTGACTGTCCTGGAAGAATACGACCGCGGGCTGCAAGAGGAGCGTGGGTTTTATGCGAAAACAAGGGTGTGGGGTGGGACTGCGTGAATAGTGCAAGAGGACGCGGCAGGTTGTTAACTGCATTCCTTTCCTAGAATCTCGTCTAACAGGACCTCACATTGTCTACTTACCCTATAGTGTTCCTGCCTAAACCCAGAGAAGGGCAGTAGCGAAAACATGGCAATCAAAAGGAAAGTTTTAAGCATTGAAGAGAAAGATAAAGTGATTCGTGAAATAGAAAATGGAAGGAAAAAAGCTGATATGGAGAATCCATATTAATTCCACGTTAATGTTACGTTAGTCTGTACTTAACTACGTATTTCACTAAAAAATGCAACATTTTAACTCGAATTTTGGTAGATTTTTATGTGACTAACATAAGGCTACTGTGGAAGTGCCCATTTCGGTTACGACATTCGTTTATAACGACACTATTTTTAGGTCCCTTTGATGACGTTATAACCAAGTTCTACTGTACTCTCTTCTCAAACTGTATTATGCATCATCATGAGGGGAACTATGTCTGAAGGAGAGGACTATCTGATATGGTTAAGTAATGTGGAAACACAGTTTCTGCCACTACCATGGTAACCTTGAAAGCTCTGTATGGAATCTGGCAAAGGAAGGTCAAGGGTCTTTGTTACGCATAACAGACTTAGCAAACCAAGAGTGTGCACCAAACTGCTTTCAATGGCAGATAAGGCCTCAAAAGGGATCACACTATGCAACATTCCCTTTAATGATTAGGTGGAAAATACAGCACACATTCTTTACAACCTTCATACAATTTTTAATTTAATATAAAATTTTATACCCTTCCAAAGTAGAACTGTATTGGTTTATGGAAGATAAATTATGATAGTGATTATCTAGCTTTTCAAATTTTTAGTACCAAGGATTAAGTTGCAGTTTAGTGAGAAAAAAATAACTTTTGTGGTGAACCAGCATGCTGTTAAGGTATGTTGGAAGAAGCGAGCTGTTATAACTTAGATGTTACAATCACACAGAAGACGACTAAGTGTCACACTCTGGCCAGCATCACCTCCTGAGGAAATCATCCTCAGGAAAGAAGTTTGATACAATAGTTTTCTTTGGAAATATCAAATGGAAAATCCCAGAAGTCGCACCATAATCAACTTCCATAAATTATTTTCAGAGTTACTGGCAATTATAACGAGTTCCAGATTCTTCATTCTGCACAAACTGTTTCAAAATATTAGGGCTTATATTTACCTCCATTTCACTATCCTCCCACACTGCTACTGATCCATGCTCATATGCTGACCTGCAGTGTTCTACTCACCGCACTGACAGCACTCGGGATGCACATTCAATGCTCTTCTCATTCCAGAGAGGGTCATCCCAATCCAATTCATAAAATATTACAACAACTGCTGGCATTTCATTTAAATGCTTATTCATCCAATTTCGCTTCAGAATGCCTTTTGGAATGTACCAGTCATAGGAAGTTCTCTGGAAATGGAAGTCTTTTCATTACAATTTTCAAATAACTTGAACTGCATATGCAGACAAATCTCAGTGCTACAGTGCTACACCAAAATTTTAACATGTTAATTTCTAACCACAATTCTCCTAAACTATTGTTGTGGAAAAGCAGGCAGTAACAGACACAGTGAAAGTCTGATAATATATATTGTATAAATTTGTATTAGCATAATGATGTGATCTAAACATTACTAAAACTTGGGATGCACTATCCCTTCCACATCACTACCTACATCATATTGTCATCCACCTTCCTACAGCAGCTGTGATCCTGCAAACTGCATCAGCAGGTCAGATGGCATATGGCTAAGGGGTCACATACTATGTTCAAGGTCCCAGGTACACATTCCAACTGGACACAGTAAAGAGTATTCTGTTTATTAACTTCAACCCTCATATCTAACAGAACTGAAACCTTCTGAAAGTGTGGAATAGCAGGCACCATCATGGTCCAAAGTCCATAAGCTGTTATCTTACAATTCATTCATTCATTCATTTCCTTTATTTTCCATATATCCATACAGGTAACACACCTAGGGTGTAGAAATGGTCCTTTGAAAATAGATATATCAAGATACATACACAAAATTACACGAGTGACATAATCAAAATCACTTACATTAATCGATTAACATAAATAATATAAAGTAAAAAATTTAATACGATAATTTAAAAATAACTTACTATAAAACTTGAATTAATACAATTTTATTTAAATTGCCTATATTAACTGAATTAAATACATTTCAAATTTACACACTTATGACCAATTATGTTGATAATATTCATTCATGGAATAAAATAGGAATGGATTAGGACGAAGTAGAAAATTCTGCTTTATGGGTGGGGCCTCATTAAGTTCACATACGCATGTGCGCATGCACACACATATTCATTCATTCAAAATTTGTAGTTACATTATCATTCTCTTCCACATTTAACCCAATATGTCTAGCTAGGTAATAAAATTATGATGTACATTGGTTAATTCAAAAAGTAAGGTTCACTATTTTTTATTTAAATAAAATAGCAACATACAGAGTAACTTATGAGGCTGAAATACAATGTCACATTAGTTTTACTTCTCCACATAGACACCAAGTCTGCTGATACACATCATAGTGATATATCAATCTGTGAAGTCATTCATAGCAAGAAAACATCCTGGACACGTAAGCAATTATTGACTTCATTGGAGTGGAAGAGCTGACCTCTGAGGTGCTTTTGCATCTTTTGGAAGAGACGGAAGTCTGATGGTGCCAAATCAGAACTGTATAGCTGATGTGGAAGAATTTCCCAGCCTCATCAGTTCAAGAAATTCACAGCTGCATCAACACTGTGATGTCAAGCAATGTCGTGCAAAAGAAGAACTCCTTTGGTCAACAACCTTGGTTTCTTGTGCCAAATAGACTCAAGTCGCTTCAGAGTTTCTTAATAAGCAGCTGCTTATTGCTTATTGCTGCTTAATGTTGAACTGGAAGGTGAAAAATCAACCAAAGGAACTACGTGAACATCCCAGAGAACAGTAGCCATCACTTTCCCTGCAGGTTGCACTGTCCTGAACTTCTTTCTGAGTGGAGATGCTTCCAGGTCACTGATTCAGCTTTGCTCTCTTGGGGGCAGTGGAAGACCCAAGTCTCATCTCCTGTAACAATTCTGTTTAAGAATGCTTCACCATGCTCCTCATAATACTGAGGGAGCACCTGGGATGGCCCCAAAGAGAGTGCAGTATATATTCGTATATAATTTTCGTAAAGAGAAAATTACCCAAACCTGAACTTTGTTACTTTCATACAGCTACTGCTCCACAAAATTGAAACATCCCGGATCAACTGACAATATGCCTGCCATCCTGACAGGAGACATACAAGTGTTATAAACATAACTATTTTATAAGTATTTCAATGGCTTATACAATCCAAATACAACCTTCAAGTGCAGCTGAGGACAAAATGTCCCACATATCACATACGGAAATAGGAAACATTGCCAAATAACACCTACAAGACATGACTGGCAACTGTCTGAACGGCAGTGCCATGCCTTTGTGGCATTCTGAAGTAGACATTTACTTTGTCCCAGTATTTCATCTTGTCATCAACAGATTTCAGTCTTATGATCATCCATGTCTTTCTTCAAGCAAGAAATGAATCATACTTATCAGTGCACACCAAAAGTATCTAAAAATATGATACCATTGCAGTATGAAGTTACTGCCATTTAAATGCAGCTGCAAGAACAGGGAGTGTGCCATTAAAAGAAGTCTTCAAGGGGTTATGTAACATGATAAAACAAAGTTAACTCTCAACCCTTGCATCCTATATAGAGTAATGGTTTCAAACCTGCTGGTTCAGAGGCCAGAGAAACAATCATAAATTTGACAAGACCCTGCTTCTGATATATGAGAATTAACAATAGCTTGCGTCTACAAGTAAATCTTCACATGATTTGATCCCCTGAGCAAACCAAACCTCCCATACAAACCTTTGGTTTCATGGGTGGAAATTCATGGGCTGCATCAAGGAGTTTAAATTGAACTGGTGCCCTGTACTGTCTCCTGTTGTTGCTGAAGGCATCCCAAATTGACCTATGAACAGCATTGTTTAATGTATCAAGGCCTGTTAGACCAATCAGAGCAAGAGGTTTGCTGCACAGCTCAGGAGGGAAGTCAAATGGATCTGTACCCATTTTCAACTGAGTGTCTGAAAACATAAAATTGACAAGACCTTTATAGTTATGGAGATACATGCTAGTTGAAAGTGTGCCTAGCCACATACTTTCTTTGGTTACTAATTCAATGAGATAAATTGCTAGACTTCGTGGCAATATATACTAATAAGCCTATCAGCGACTGATCTAATGCTAGTGGATTTTGGTCTGATACTATCTTCTGGCCTATAAAAGAGCACATGAAGGGTACATTGTTCTAGGAAATAATGCTGAGTAGTCCTTATAGCCAAGAAGATAGTGCTCTGCATTACTACCGCTGTGAGAGCCTCAAATCCTACAAAATTGTACAAGTTCCTCTTTGCAGGATACTCAAAAGTGCTGCCAGAAGTGACTGATTCGTTACAAGGAAAAATTTACTAAACAAACTGTGTATGGCTGTAATAATTAGGTAGTGTTAATTAACAAACTTCATGGAGCTGAGCCCTTCTTGAGAAGCCACCGATTGTGTAGCCACTCCAGAACTTCCCAGCATTTTATGGAACCCAAAGGTTCATTACCATGTTCTCAAAAACCCTCCACTTGTCCCTATCCTGAGATTGATTCATCCAGTCCGTACTGCCCCATCCTGTCTCTCTAAGATCCGTTTTAACATTGTCTGCCCACCTATGTCTTGTTAGGTGGGTGAACAATTAAATAAACTCTAAAATAAGTATGCAGGATTTGAGGTTCTCACAGGGGTACTAATGCAGGGATAAAACACTGTGCAGCCCACTGAAAGACAACCTATGTTTAGGAGGAACTTGTCACCTCCATCCTCAGGGCCAGAGAATAAGTCAAGTAGAAACCAGCATGAAAGCAGGTGGTGGCTCTGTGACATGTTCCTCTGAAAACATCAGTTGACTTTAAATGGACTATAAAGTGTTAAATCCCAGAAGACAGATCTCTTCATAAATAAGTAAGTAAATAAATACACAGTATCATAACACACAAGAGCACAACCTAAACCTTCACTGCAACAAAATGTTCCAGTTTCATACAAGTGCTATCTCATCTGACTTCAAGATCATGCTCCTTATTTCTCCTCAACCTGCCACACACCTATACCTTTACAATATGGCGATCAGTTATGTTAGATAAATTAGAATAGCCCAGCATTGCTAGCAAAGCATCCACCATGATGATACATGGAGAGTGGAGGTACAGATCCACATATTCTTAACCTCAGAACTCACACCCCAGCTCCTTATTCTTGGTGCCCCTTGGATATGAGGCTGGGTGGGCTTCTGAGCAGGTTCTGACACAGTAAAGAAGAGAAAAATATCTTCTCCTGCGAGGAATTGAACCCCAATTCCCTGGCTGTCCAGTCCATAGCCTGTCACTATGGACTTAATAAAATCCAAATCCCATAATAGTACAGATGGATTAGGTAAGTCAGAATATTATTTATTGTTTATTGTTATTAAATAACTCCACAAATCCTGTACAGGGGCTTTAGCACCCATAGGATATAGAGATCGTCAAACTTATAAGTAATAGTTACATTGGATCAAAAACTGTAAATAAATCTCAAATTTAGTATCTGGTAAAGATGACTACCAAACTACATGACTGTTCTGTAATTCTATGGCAGTTTATGTGATTAAGCAGCTTAGAGAGTTATGCTGAATATTAGATAACAGTTTCAGTAACAGGTTGATGTTTAAACAACAACTCAATGTTAACGAATAACATCCAACATGACAATGCAACATATTATATAGCATAGGCAACTATGTGCCAGCTTCCCTTGTTATTCAGAGAATGAATATCAAAAAGACTATGGCCCTCATGCCCAGTGGATTTGATGCCACCAGACTTTTTTATATGGGACTACATTAAAGGCAATCCCTACTGCAATAACACACACAATCTGCAGAAACTGAAAACCAATATATCCAACATTATTGCCAACATTTCTCCTATGACACTGCAGGCAGTGCCTAAGAACACACTTTGCTGTGCTCAGTTATGTATGCATCATGCTGGTGCACACTTTCAAAACTTTTTGTAACAAGATGTATTCTTAAAACCTTACAAGGAAATTAGTTATAATTAAAAAAAAAAATCACAATACTGCCCACATAAGTTTGGCAAAATTAACTCCAGCCTTCTAATACTTACTGTGTTTAATAATTCTAATATCAGACTCTCATTTACGAAAGTTACCCTGCAACCTTAATTCAGTGACACAATTGTTAATTTAACTTCAACGTATGACTAATTTAATTTGACATGTAATTAACTGACTCATTCTGTGGAGCAGGGTCCTTCTTGAAAAGCTAACAACTGACTTGACACGCAAGAAATTCCTATAATTTTATGGAAACCTCAAGTTAACTACCATGATCACAAATTCCCGCTACTGGTCTCTATCCTGAGCAACATGAATCCAGTCCATAACCTCCACCCATTTTCTCTAAGATCAAATTTAATATTATCCTCCCATCGCCTAGGTCTTCTAGGGGTCTCATTGTGTAAAGACAGAAATACTAACAGGACCCTTACAGGTCGGTTCTCCTTAAATTACTGTGAATATAATTCGGTAATCGTAAGAAAAAACTTACTTCAGAGACTGATTTGGGGATTGGATGAATTAAGGCGGGATTTTGACACGTCCAACTGCTAACAGGAAAAGTCAAATATACTTACGGGTTTGGAAAGTAGTGTGAGTTATAGTGCGACTGTAATACTACAACACTCAAACGTGCACAAATATTTTTAACATCACCTCATTATCAAAATAGGTTCAACAGCATTATTCACTACGTACCTCCTTCCGCCATTTTCTAGCAGACGACAATTGACAGCCCGTCTCTACTGGTCTCTACCGTCTCTACGGTCTCTACCAACACACAGTACATTTACAGTCAGAAATTACCAATAGACAACATGCACACTCTATGACCTCTATGACGCTCTATGACAGGCAATTTTAATGCTTACTTTTATCTTTTATAGACCGCCTCTGTGGTCGAGTGGTCAGAGTTCCTGGCGTTCCTAGCTACAGATCCAGAGGTACCGGGTTCGATTACGGGCGCTACTAGATTTTGTAAGAAGTAGTGGGTCTGGAACGGGGTCCACTCAGTCTCGTGATGATGACTGGGGAGATATTTCAAGGAAATAGAGGCTCCGGTCTAGAAAACTGAAATTAACGGCCGTGGGGATCCGTTGCGCTGATCACGCGACACCCTCTATCCGCTAAAGGTGGCACTAACTTCGCCGACAAGCGGCGGTCGCTCGGTCTGTATAGTTCGCATGCGGACTACAGGCCACGGAGTTTTTTCTTTTATCTTTTATATTTACAAAGTTACTCATTTGGCTCTACTGACCACCTATTGGCGGGAAACATGGCCACCGTGACGTCACGAACGTCATGAGGGCGGTACTGCTGCCATCTCTACGATCTCTATGCAGATACGAATCCATGGATGCAAAATGGCCGCCGCCAATACCGAGAGCACGATCGGTAAAGAGGTATGCTATCATAGCACTGGTCTGTGAGTTCTGCCACACACCCCGGAACTTCTAGTTAACAATTTCGTGAATAAATAATTTTGCAACCTGATTTCTTGTACTACACAGGTTCTTACCCCGTTGTGTTTTTTTTTTGTCGAAACGGAGTGTCGTATCACTTCACTCATAACCACTGGGAGAAAGTTTCTCACCAGTGCCTGTAAAGCATTGACCGCATTGACATTGTTTGGTTTCCTTCCCAACATAACAACTATCAAAATCTCATTCACATGTCACTGCGTATAATGAGTTTATTGGTCTTGATAATATGACAATGTGCTACATGTTTCGGTTTACAAAGCCATCATCAGGCAGTATACATTAAAGAATATTTTTGAACTATTGAATTGTGCTTTATATATGGATAAATATATTACAGTTTAATAACAATTACTATACACACTTGATTTTGTGTTCAGTTAATATATTCAAATTTGTATCTGAATTAGTATAAGTTGAATATAAAAATGTATTAAAATTGGAATGAAAGTCTAACTTTTAAATCGATGCTTAGAGATGTACATACATATACATGTACACATATATAATTAAACTTTAAAGACTGTAAAATGTATTGTGTTATGTTGTATTAAAATTTTATACAAGGAATTAAAGTTATTGTTCGTTATATTCATGGTACTTGTCCTGTCTAAATATCATTTAGTATGTACACTATTCATGTTGGTGTCTATTAGCTTAAGTGTAGTGTTATAATATACAAATTACTTTCAGGTTTTTTTAATATTTGATAGTGTTCAGGTGTGTTTTATTCCCACTACCGTTTGATTTTCTTTGTGGAGCAGATGCACTGCTCGGAACAAGTTGTTGCTGGGTTCTATGGAGTTTTGTTCTATGTTTTTCCACGATTTTGTTTTCCTTTATTTTATGGGTTGAATTCCAACTCTGGTGGAGTGTGTTAAATTCCAGAGTTGAAATTTAACCCACAACAAATCCACACATGTAAACGCTTATATATTTAGTTTCAAATAAAGAAATGTGTGTTCAGTACAAATAAATTGGTTTATATAAAATATCTACTGCAGTAGTGCTTTAACAACATTTAATGTATCCATGAAGTGAAAGTACATTGTTTTATGAAAATAAAGAACAAAACAAGATAGCAGCAGACATCAGTAGTAAGAATTACAGTACTCATCAGAATAAAACTATTTTAAAATAAGAAATTTTTTGCTCTGTATGTGTAAGTTGTAGTTTTCCTGTTCCATTGTGTTATATCTAACCAGTGCCCTTCTTTTACTAAAATATTTTTGCCATTACTCTTATACATAAAATATGCTAGCAGATGTGCGCCTCTTGACTTCTTGGAAGTAAACCAGTATGCATAATGCTTTTCCATTATGCATACTGGATGAAAAAAGCACTGTATCCAACTATGTCTACGTAAAATTCCAACTGGATTGAAGAGAACACTCAAGATATATCATCATTATACTGTATATCTTAATAACGTAAAAATATATAGCAATATTATGGAGCATACTGCTCTAAATATATAATCATACGAAAATTAAGTACACTGCATCTCCTAATATTAGTACTATAAACTAAGAGGTTATAATAAATAATATTTCAGCTGCACTGCTGAAAAACATCTAATAAGATATATTTTGACTTATGTAGAAACAATAATAAATACCCGTGATTAAGCAGTGCATCATTAAGGATGTGAATGCAAAGCTAGTTTACATACAACAGCCATGAAGTAATTTACGTATTCACAGCTGTAACCAAATTTAAAGTAAAAAAGATATCAATGGTTTTATCACTTTTAAGTTGGCACTGGTTACTAAAATCTAACATCAGTCTTCTCATAGGATATCACCATCGGATGCAATGTCCAGCTCTTGTATCCAGTCCTGTAATTGGTGTCTGCTAGGCTGGAAGACGTGTCATATCTAGGGTTGCGAGGCCATTCGGATCCTTGCTGATTCTCTTGAACGATTGTGAACTTCTGCAGTGCGCAAAGTAATGCCAAAGATATCTTCATGGTAGCGATTTTCATCCTGAAATACAACACACAGATTCTTTCATATAGTATTTTGAGCTCAAGTTATTTATGATTAGAGTTCTGGTGTTAGTAATGTGGCACAGCTCAAACACCCTTAAAAAGAACAATATAATGAAAATTCAGCTTCCATAAGAGACAGGGAATTCCTTAGCTTCTCAAGAAGGACCTGCTCAATACAATTAAAAATTTAAACAAAAACAATAGTTTGAAGGAATACTTACCACAAAAATAAAAGTTCAATTTTTAATCTAGTTTTTCCTAATAAGCAGATTTATGACAATCATCATTCCCATTTGCCTGTTTCCCTGTTATAACGTTTGCACCAACTAATGAAGTTTCATGGAATCTGGTATGTAAACCATCACACTAGAGGCCGTTTCATGCTTGTTTTCTACTTTCCTGCCATTAATAATACCAACATGGTGACCAGATGAACAACTGTTGTGGTACTGACTAGCATAACTTTACACATTGACATGAAGTTTTAAACAACATGGGAGATACACAAAATCTATATTTAGCTTTCAATTTCGTGATAGTAACTAATAAACCATTTGACCTAGACATGTGAACATAGGTATGGTTAAAATGAGTTTTTTTTAATGCTATTGGGGTGGGACTAAGTCCCTTGTACTGTGGCCACTGTACCAGCCCCAGATGATAGGTGAGGGTGATTGTGGAGTAATTGGTCGAATGAAGATTGGCAGGGGAAACCGAAGAACTCAGAGAAAACCCGCCCAAGCGCCACTTTGTCCACCACAAATCCCACTTGACCAGAACCGGGATCGAACCCGGGTCGCCATGGTGGGAGGCCAGAGACTAACTGCTTGAGCTATGGCGCAGCCTAAAATGAGCTTACTAATTCCATTTGATCGTTTTTCTTGTATGTAAAACATTAAAAACATGGCAATAATCTGAAACTTTGAAGCTATATCTGGCAAATTTAATGTAGTCAAACGAGCCAGTGCTATTGCACAGGTGAACCAAACAGCACAGTCTCAGGGGGTGGCACATTTGACACATCTTATTTTGTTAAACAAAAATTTATTTGTGCTTATCTTTAGTTCATGATCGTAAAATGGCGGCAATCCAAACATATTATGCAGAATGGTAAATAAAACTGTTTTAAAAATTAAGGCAATAATGATTGTCACAATGTCTGAACATTTCATATTCTGACATGTAACTGTCATAAATTTTTGAGATAGTTGATCTGCATTTAACCTAGGGAGGAGATAGAATTTCTCATTGCAGGCAACTTTTAAGTTTGTACCAGTCTCTATAGTCTTGAATCTGTACCAGCATAAAGTGTGTACAAAAATGGATAATTCAAATAGTATAATTATTAATTTATGGATTTCACCCTATTGTTGCAATATCCATCTGAAGTTGAACAAGCATCCATTACCATATAGTGCAACATTTGACTTTAGCCCATGTCAAGAAATAATTTTCCCCTTTTGCTGCATCACTCATTGGGCTATGAAAATGAACTTTTTGTTGTTTTTCCCCTTACCAAAATTTTTACCTTCTATTTGCAGTTGCATCATATAGACTGAAACATTTGAAGAAAAGTAGGTGAGACAGGATCTTCCCAGAACTTTATACGTATTTAGATATGCCATCTAAGAAGTGAGAGAGACAAACTTAAATGTTTTGGATCCAAGCTGGAGCTGCAGTATACCAAATTCTGCAATATAATGAGAAGTGCAGACAAATGCACATAAATATTCTTGTGCACAATCTTACATGTGGCCCCATGCACACATATACCCATACATATTTTAACTCTCACAATGGGGTGAGACTGAGTCCCTTGGAACTAAGGCTGCAAATGGCACCATTGTATGAGCCCCAGTGTGATAGATGAGGGAATGGAGCATTGGTGGGTGAAAACTAAAGTATCTGGACAGTGTCACTTTTTCACCAAAAATCACATATGGACTGCCCTGGGAACATCACCATATATACATGTCTAGATATTACATTGTGACATATTATGCTTACTGACATACCCTCAATGTGAGCATATAGCTCTCAACTTCAGAATCCAGCATGCCACCATGCTCTTGTATGATTAGCTTCAGCATCTGGTACACATGTTCAGCCATGGTGCAGTCTCCACACACATAGAAGTGGCCCCCTTCAATCACAATTTTCTGGTAAACTGCAGCTGCCTCCTTACGGAGAAGATCTTGAACATACGTCTGAAGATGCCAATTTAAGGTTATGTGAGAAAATGTGTTACCTTTGGCTTGTTATTTTTCAATAATTTGTTTATGTATTTGCGGCATATTTAACAACCATGACAATAACTCAGTTTATGTACAGTTAAATGACCGGTTGCAGGGTAGAACTGAGGCAAACCATGAAAACCTGTCAGGTTTGTCAATAGCACTGCTGAAACTCTGTTTTGACACCCCTTGAACAGAGCAGAAGTGTTACTACTTCAGCCAGCTTGCTTGTTATTTAGTAATATATTATCAGAATGCTAAGTTGATTACAAGGGTGTTCAAATGAAGGAGACTTAGATGGGGGAGGGGGGGGGGACATGTAGCTCACAAGGTATAGATGGAAATGTATACTAAATTTAAGTACAAAACCAAAATATAAAAGGCCTTTTTGGTGTTCTATGCAGAACTGGAAGAATACTATTAAAAGGCAGTTTAAAGAAATAGAGTCTGTGGATGTGGATGGTTTCAACTAGCTCAGGAGACACTACGGTGACAGACTTTTGTGAACATAGTATTGAATCATAAGGTATTTGTATGAGTAGGGACTTTCTTAACTAGCTGATGAACTGTCAACTTTTCAAGAATATTCCTGCTACACAGACCTGGAATGTTGTGTCACGTTTCATGTCTTGCCAGAATTATGTAACTGTTGGTTTAGAGGAATACATACATAAGGGTGATGTTAAAAGTAATATTTAGAAACTTACCAGCTCATGCTTGAAGTTATTATTGAAGTAATAAAGTAACAGATACAAATGACACTGATAATGTAAAGAAAAATGTTCCATTTTGTAAGAAATTTTCCTAATACCAGAATCATGTTCTATTTTCTTTACATACAAAATACAATTATATTCAAATTTCTATTGACTCAGGAGACAACTTAAGTCACCCCAAGCACTCAGATGACTACTGTATCCATTGTGTGCCCCTGATCTTTTAAAACCAGAGCCATTATACCTGAGGCCATGCTGATATCTGTTAAATCTAGCCATGCAGATCAAATGGTCTCTATTCATAGCCCAGCCAAAGCTATGTATTGATAAAGTATGTGGTAGAAGGTTAATATTTAGTCTCTTCAATGGCCAGTCAACAACCCTCTTACCAACCTACATTGTTTCCTATTCAAAACCACTAGATCCCTACACAGTTTATCTGAAGGCCTTTCAAAAAGGAGCTTTGACTTCCTCACATCTACTGGGACAGTATTGTGTTCAGAATGCCTCTCCTTTAACTGTACCTTAACGTTTGGCCTGCCAACACATGGTAGTTTTGGACTGGCAAATAGACTACTTAACCTCTCACTAGCCAATACAACTGTATCAACATATGTAAATATTTGCACTGTCTTATATTTACTAAGTTCAGTTTTTTTTTTTTTCATGAATGCAACCGTATTCTGAAATTTAGTATTCTAATCCACATCATGTAGATGTAGAGGAGTATGGAGATAATGCCCCATGCTGACTTGCACCTGTGTCTTTACTGATGTTACCTTTGGGATTGTTGGTTCTCGAGACAGGGCGAGGTAAACTTTAGCCAGTACCCCTTCTTCCAGCATCCTTGCTTTCTCCTCACGATACAGATCCAGGGCATGTTGCCGACATCCAAAGAACAGCCACATTTTGCCAAATACTTGTCCACCTGAAAAGTGGATACACAGTCATGTCATGTAAAAGAACATGAATGGCATTAATAGAGGTGGAGTTATTATAAGTTATTATTTAAAATTAATTAAATTATTTGTTTCATCAGAAGTTTCAGTGTAAGTCCAGTCGAGAATTGTTATAATTGTGCAGAAATTGAGAGAGCATCATATACAGAAACAATACTGTTTTGTGCTGACAGAGATCTGCAAAGCTCCTGGCAGTACCATAGGTTATATTGTTATAAGAGTGTTAGTAGCCAAGCATTTCTGTGCACAATGCTTTCAGTTACTGCACAGAAATTTTCAGACATGCACTGTATAAGATAAAGTGAAGCAATGGAAAATGCCCAACATACGCTTATTGTAATGTATTCCTTTTTATGTTTATTATTCTCATATTATTGACTAGCAACTAAAGGTCCATCTGTCTTTGTTTCCATTTATTACAGTAATGTGTCTGTGAATCCAGACCTCGAACACTTGTATCTTTATGTTAAATGCCAGCAGTGGTGGCTACTGCCTTAAACAGCTCATGCACCTGAAATATACTCAAAATTTTTCATATGGTATAGATGTACAATGTTAATAATTCAATTGAATTCAATTCTTTATTATTTATGTGCCGAGTCAACAGCCGCAAGGCCAATTAATAATAACAATAACAATAGTAATAACAATAACAATGACAACAATAATAATAAATAATTATTTAATGACAATTTCATAAATTTTCTTTTAGCTAATTGATCTTGATAGCCATGTCATTGCTATTACAAATATTAAACTGCCTGCTTCAAGGTAATACACAGAAATTATGTGAAATAGTAAATTCATTTCAAGTTGCCTTATTTATAAGGAAACTGTCCTCTACAATTTTTCAGTGATGCAAACAACACAATTACATTCTGGTTGAATCTCTGAGTGTCTGCCATTACATCCTTGTGGGGATTCAGAACAGTCAGAGCATCAAGATATTCTCATTCCACACAGTTCCTAGGGTAGGTCTTTCCTCTTCTTAGAATACTTAAACAATACCAAAATGTACCATCCCTGCATGTCAGTGTGTCTACACAGCCTGGCATTGTTAAGCACCACCATCTTTCTCAGCTGTCTAATTTTTACATTTTTATTTGAAATTAGGACAGACAGGAAAAATTCTAGTATGTTGTATGTGTAAGTACAAATAAAATTTAGGTGAAGATAAAACTATATAATTATTATTTCATGATTACAGCTTTTGTTTCTAAATACCATGGTTTTTAGTTGGACATAATGTTTCATATCACACAGTGATTGTGTGACTGTGATATTACCAGCTGCTGCATGAAGCTGGGCCATGCGATGCTGCCAGAAGCCCCTGAATGGTGCTATGCCTGTTCCTGGTCCCACCATAATCACTGGTCGACTTACATCAGGTGGCAGATAGAAACTCTGGGCACTGAAACAGAAGTCCACAAGTTTAACCATTAAGCTTTTACTGACAAAATGAGAATATATTTTGAGCTGTTCATGTGCAGAGTTTACTCTGAACACTATCATTATATATATTGTGATCATGATCATAAGTAATATTATTTGTGCTTAATGTTTTGCAGGTTTTTTAATTTCTTTAGTGCCACATATTTCATAAATCTTTGAATGTGAGGGTTGTTATGAATGATGAATTGAAAAATACATGAAGGGATGTGGTTGTAACCTATAACAAGGTGTGGGAACATCCCACATACTAACACGCGGTTTCGCCAGTCTAACAGACAGCACTCACTCCCAGTCAATCTCACATTGCGGCACATTGCTTCCACCACTTGTATTTATACAGTACTCGATGTCCAGCCCACCTGTAGAGCATCATGTGCACTAGCCAATCAGTGCTCACAATCGCAACTGCAGGTTTAAGCTCCACCCAGCAAGCATGGTATAAAAGCGGAGCCAAAAGCTCACAATCATCAGTGATCGCATTCAGTTGAGAGCGATCAGTCATCAGTCATCAGCTCTTTACTGTGCCAAAGACAGCTGCCACAACTCTCCAGCATTCACGCCCTGCTACCAGAGAGCTAATGTAGCTGCCGCAGCTCTCCAGCAACTGTGCTCTGTGACCAGGCAGCTAACATAGTTGCCGCGACTCTCCAGCAATCTTGCTCTGCGACCAGGCAGCTAACGTAGCTGCCGCAACTCTCCAGCATTTACGCCGTAGGCAGCTGTTCCTATCGGCGCACACAGCACCACATCACTGGCCAGACAGACCAGCTGAACAGCCGTAAAGACTTGGTCTACTACAAAGGAGCAAATTCTACCAGCGCACTCACAGTGGAATAAACTGCCTTTTTCAGGGACAGCCAACTTTTGAACATTCCAAATAGCTTTGCAGCTGTTCTGTACATTCAATTTATACAATTTAATACATACAATTGTTACAGTTTTGTGGTTGTGTTTTAGAACATTGACAATCCCACAAAGGTATTACACCAACATTTTTTCTAGAAAATTATTAAAATTTTCAATCAGTACAGCTGGTCTCCAAACCAAGAATCAAACCTGGAACTTCATGAATATGAAGCAGGAGTATAGAGAAGACTCCCACCATATTTGGTTAGTTCGCGAGAAACAGAGTTTCTATATACACTGTTTATATTTCTGATAGAGAGAAGAGGTGATTTGTTTCCAAACTTTAGACTTAAAAAATCTTAATATTATATTTAAGCATCCTGTTGCACTCCATACGATAAATGATATAAACTCCGTCCCAAGTGCAAACAATATATTCTGTGTCCTTGATCTTGCTCCCCACACTACATGTTTCGGTCTCAGACGGCCATCATCAGGTGTATTTAAAGGTTTAAAATTAGAACTAAAGATTTTATTATGGTGCTATTACAATAAACTCATAATTAACGTGTGTGAAGTAATCTACGGGTGGACAGCTATCAACGAAGTAGAAGTTGATAATGACAGGGAGAGTGTTTTAGATGTTAAATTTTGAACTGAGTGCAGTGTGACAGCGACGTGAGTGTTATACACCTGATGATGGCCGTCTGAGGCCGAAACATGTAGTGTAGGGAGCAAGATCAAAGACACAAAATATATTGTTTGCACTTAAGACGGAGTTTATATCATTTATTAAAAAATCTTAAATCAATTTCTCTTCAAGATAGAAATCTGTAACCATGTAACCTACTTTTTAGTACATGTATGTCACTAAAAGTCCCTATTTCTCTGCTTTGTCTACACACTCACCTCCTAACAAAAAGATTGATGTCATCTCCCTCATTTGCATCTCGAAGGTAGTTGGAGCACACACCATAATGCACAGGTCCTTCTCCATCTACATAAAATAACTCATTACACTCTTGTTTCAATTCTAAACACAATGGGAATGAAGATGTAACTTTAAATTTTATTATTTTGCAAGATACAAAGTATTGCAAAATAAAGGAATGTTATCAGCCAGTCCAGTAGGAAGACATACACAACTCATGTCAGTTCTTTCTATGTGTATTCAGACACACAGCATAATTGACTAGCCTGCAGACCAACAAATTGCAAACAAAACCAACTCAGACCACAGCAGATGGAAGAAATTATCCCTGTTCTTATGCACACATTTCTTACACCTCCATAAAATGTTCACATTCATTTGCTCTTCCTTTTCAGAATTAGGGCAAATCAGAAACTTTATACCTAAACTTTAAACCACTCTCATGTGCAAGGCATCTAAAAGATTTTCTAGGGCAGTGTTGAAGTCTAGCACCGATTTCATACAATTTCCCTTCAGTCAGCATTCAACATTTTGATTGTTCTGTATTGCCCAATAACACTACTCCCTGTAAAATTTATTTATGACTGTATGAATAGTTTTTTCTGTTTGGAACTGCAACATCCTGAAATTTATGCCAGAATCTTCTCCTTTTCATGTGGGTCATGCATGAACACTCATTTCACTGTGAAATTCTCATGCAGCATTTTAACACAAGAAATAACATAACTGCTTGAATGCTTAATAGAGCAGCAGGGATGTACCACAGCTCAGGCAATTGGTTGCCAGCTTCACACTGCAGCAGCCTGGATGCAATCACTGATCAGTTCATGTGAAATATGTGGTAGACAAATTGGCATTCAGTTTCACCTGCCAGTTCTCATTCCACCAAATGTCCATTTCTCATCTATCATCCAGGGTTGGTACAATGGACCCATTGGAGCCAAAGTATAAAGAGAACTAAGTCTCACCCCACCCAAAGAATAAAAATATATAGCGGGGTCTTGCAAATGTGACCAACATGTGTAAGTTCACTTCATGGAACCTGCAGAAATATACACTGGGGTGATACTGGAGAGAAATTATGATGTGTAAAGGCTGCTGTGCCATAAGTCTGAACATACACAGTGAAAGTTGGTGCAAGTAGCATTTTGACAGAGCAGCCCAAAGATTTGCAGCAGGCTTTTGAATAAACCCCATGTATAATAACAATGCAGATATAGGCAGATATGCAATTAAGGTTAACAGTAAAATCCACAATATATTTTCACTCTCAGACTGGAAAATATAATTGCTGTGTAATGAATCAGTCAAACTGAATATATCTTCATGCATACACATTTTTGTTATGTTCTATAGGCTCAGCTCCATAAGTAAGAAAGTAAGTAAGTAAGTCTATACAGTTCAAATGCGTTTCATTTAAATCAACAGAGCCGTCCATTTTTAGCATTCTTGTTTGTACATGCATCTCATTTGTGCCAAGAGAAATAACAAGGTTTTAGGGCACGAGGTTTCTGTCAACACTCACCCTGTGTCCTGTATGAGACAACTGCAACTGTGATGTGTATCTGACCACTCTGAACAATGGGGGATGAGGATATGCTGTAGAAACGGGGTTGCAGGGGTGTAAGTTGTGCAGCAAGTAGGGCTGGTGAAGGGTGAACAGATGGGAACTCTTCCAGAACTTCAAGAAGATGTGGAATTCTCCAGTGACGCCAGTCCTCATATGCTGCTGATTCCTTCGCCATAATCATAATCATGGATGTTATTAAGGAGATGAATAGAGTATCATTTATAATTTAGATTCTTTTGTTTTGTATAACTTGTGGAAAACAGGAGGCTTTGAAGTTAACAAATCACAAGACATTTTGATCATTTTACAGTTAGGCTCTGATTCTGTCTCCTGAGATCACAAAGGCTGATAAATGCATGAGAATGTCCATTAACCACTTTCCATTCTGCCACTCGTTTCCTGAGCCTACTGCTGCTATAGCAATAACAATAAGTATACAGTAGACAAACTGCTCTTAACTGAAGAACAAATAATGCACTTTCAAGCTTCTTGGTATAGTACAAGAACATTTTTAGAACTGTATGCATTTACAATGCTGGACAACTTCATTACTATTGTTTTATGCATCTGATTTCCATATATTTAGCTTAAGGGTCTGTTGACTTCTAATGAAATAATTTTACCAGCCTGTAGGATTCTTGTGCCAGCTATCTGTTCCATTTAGCTTTTTTTCTGATATTTCTTGAAGACTCAGCAGATCATGTGCTGGTTACAATACAGTCAGTATAACGTTCAGTTGTAAAATAAAATAATTAATTGAAGACTGCAATTGTAGAAGGCTGCAGACCCAACTTAGGTAGTGTAAAAATGGTATGCAATCTCAGGTTTCCACAACTGTTGCATAACCTAAAATTTACTATGAGACTAGAGGGAATATGAGGCATGTCATAATATGCACAGATCCTCTTGAATCCATGGCTGAGTGTCTGACACTGTACTTCAAACTTGGAAAGTACCAGGTTTTATTCTTGGTCTGTAGGCTCGTTATCCTCTCCATAATTTTACAGTTTTTCTCAGTTTCAGCAGCTAAATGATGAGATTGTGCCACAAAATAGGACATAACCATTCCTTTAACATTCTTTCCACTTCAACCTGCATAACCCATTTAACTGAAAAGCTTTGTTAAAAAAAAAAACCCAAAGACTTAATAAAGTATACAAATTTTTAATTTGGTGATAGCTGTACATATAATTTGAAAATCACTCTAAGTACCTGTCGGTACCTGTACCTGAAAATGTGATTGACCTGACTCCTAGGCACTCTCTTGCATAGTTGTTTCTCTTATGGAAAATGACATAGCCAAAAGAATGTTAGTAGCATGGTAGTGCATTACTTACTGTAGCTAGCAATGTCAGCCTCCTTTGGTCCTCAGGGTCAGTGGCAATAGAGGCAAAGTGCTGCAGAAGATTGGGAGTGGGTGGAGTTGTGATATCCAGAAATCGAGAGAACAGTATTCGTATGGTGCAGGGTGGTAGGCGTTCATGAGGCTCCCATGTCTTTAGAACCCCTGCAATCATTTAAAATTCCAAATAAATTAAACAATTTTCAAGATTCTTGTCAAAGGTATGTCAAAGTGCTTCAAAGAAGGAGCCAGAAAATTCCTTAGAAATATCAACATCATGATTCTGCACCTAGAATACTGTATAATGAATGAGGATGTTGTTCTCATAACGTGCAGCTTACCATTGGAGGTGTGAGTTTCCTTCTGCACCTGAAGCTCAACTGGCTCGTCTGGGTCAGTGGTTGTTTGCAATCTGGACAGAACTCCATCCACCAGCTCTTGTCGGTTACATGCAAATACACCTACATGGTCCCCTGGTGTGTAAGGCAAGTCGGCCGCCAGCTCCAGCAGCATTGTAGCTCGGCTATAATCATGTCAAATGTTAGTCAAAGAGATTAGAACTCCCCACATGGCTAACTTATCCATTCTACTGTGGAAGGTAATTTTTGAAAGATTGATCACAATGTATCACTGCCTTATGGAATGCATAGGTCAGGAATGGCGCACAACAACAGGCAAAACTGGGAGGCCCTGTGGGGTATCACAACTTAACAGTTATTTTTTCTTTCATTAAATAAAAATTAATTGCCAGCAATTTGGACAAGTTATGCAACAATATAAATTAAACTGTTTACAGAATCATGACACCAGTGACAGTTCTCATTAGTGTGTCTGGGAATTTGGTGTTGTTAAAAGTGGCAGAACTTAATGAGAAAGGTGATCTTTTTTTAACTGAGGGAAGGCATTAGAATTTCTGACTGCCAGGGGACGCACTGACTCAGCTCTGCCAGGGTTCACTTGACTCTGTCAAAATCTGGTTGAGTCCAGTCCACACCTTCACTGTCTTCAAGAGCCATATAAACCCTTTACAGTACACTGGTTGCTATATGTACCACGTGCTCTAGCATTTGAAAAGTAACATTTTACTTCCAGAGTATATTTGTACGTTTTATAATATATGATATATGATATAAACAATGATTCACCTAAATCCTATTAACAGTCTGGTCTTTATTTTGCAGAAACAGTGTTGTTTCTGTAAGGCAGAAAACGAATTTTGAAATATTGCTCAGACATGTTCCATGCTTCAGAGCGTTAATTAATATCCAATTCCATGTCCCTTTCCACTGTTTAGATTGTGATAAAATGTATGTGCAAGTGTAAAGCCTTTCTGATATTTTATAATATTCCAGTTTTTGACCAACCCCAAAACTGCTCAACTACTCCACATCAGCTACTTTTTTCAATATACCCCTACACTCATAACTGTTCTCCATATCTAGAAGATGTCTTTATTTCCAACCTCAGAATGTGTCACATCATAACACAATCTTGATTTTAGTCCTGAGTCAAATATGTAGTTGTGCCTTTGGCTTTGTGACAATGCCACATTGACTGCTGAGGGTTATGCAAGGTTTCAGCTAACCTTGCATTTGTCATATCCAATGTTAATGACACCAGGGGCACCAGTGACTGCATCTAAAGACTACTGGAGAACAAAGGCATTCAGACAATCAAAAAATTATAACAGCATCCCATTTCAGGACTGCCAAAGACTTCTAAAACCCCTTAACTCAAACATCCACAATTTACAATATACCCTGCTCAAGTGGCAGTGTGTACATAGGCCAAACAAGCCACCCCATAACCAACAGGATTTCCGAATACATCAGAAGAACCAGACTGGAGGGCTAGCAACCAGTGGTATTCAAACACCTGGCTGAGACAAAATGCAATATTGGCTTTGACAGAACAGAGGTTATAGTCAACAACAGGACCTACCAAACCTGCATCATCAGGGAAGCCACCAAAATAACACAACACCCCCATAAACTTAACTATTACTAAGAGAGATACAGACTGAATAAAATCTGGCTTAACTCCCGCAGTGATCATTGAAGTCCCTGTACACGCGGGAAGAAAAGGGAGATAGATAAAACTCCATTTCCTGCTCACATGGGGAGAAAAAGAAACAAGGAAGGAAAAAGAGGGGAGTCTTTGAGCAACTTGTGTCCTATGTATGGGGTGGCTGAAACATTTTAGCCGCGCCGGCTCAGGACAACCCGGTTGCCAGAACACTGTTCATCACTTCGTCTCATTAACCACATGAATGCTTCCCATTGGCTAGCATTCTGCCCCTTGTTCATCCGACCAGAGCTTCACCTCTAGCAAACTGTCTAATGTGAGATTACATAAGAGCTACTGGATCTCTCAAAAAGCCATTAACCCTAAAGATTGAAACTGTAAGGTTTTCCAAAAATATGGAAAATCCTCTATATTTGACATGGCTTAGCCCCGAAAACCGAAGCCATGTATTTTTGTATTGCTGTGAGGGTTGTGGAAGCGGTCAGTGATCTATTTGAAAGTCCTGGCACATGATTTTCCAGGACTGGGAAAAATAACCGAATGCTCAGGGCCAAGAAATTTGACCAGTTACCAGTTCCAATTTCAGAACAATCAAAACTGTGATAGTGACACTGCTTACCTGGCATCACTGCCATGCAGATTCGTCTTCCTCAGCAGCTGACATGGGGTCACCTTCCTGTTGTGGTACTTGGAGAGCGCTATGATCAAATTGCAAAAAGTATAAGTCACAGACAAAGACCGCATGTGCTAACCTGAAAGTCTACTTTTCCTTATAGCGCAGTTGGTCACAACAGGTCTCAGTAATTCTGAACAAACTACTTTTTAGCAAGGCTTCTACATTTGCAAAGGATATTTTAGCCACCCGATATCCAGCTTTGTCCTAGTGGTGACAACAGAGAAGTGTGTGCCTGCTTTTGAAATTTCATGCCAACTTCTGCTGAACCACACGGCATGCATTGGGTCACAGCAACCACGCCAAGATGATACGTGTAAGTCAGTTCTGTAAATCATCGGCCACCAGACAGGAACCTTCTGAGAGACGCACCACTGAACACTGCCTGCTTCTAGGTGCCTTTCATCATGAGAAGTCTTAAGAAAATTGTCGTGTTATTCACTACATCCAATTCCTTCTGAAAACAGAAGTTGGCAGCACAGGCGAAGCAAGCGGCACGGTTTTATGGGCGACACATTGTACACGTAGCACCCTCTTTTGTCTTCCGTTAAATGCAAATTACTCTTTGCTGTTCTTTTGTTCTCATTTTTCTTTCTCTATGGTTCGATAGCCCTTCGGACCTTTGCCGCTCTTTCAGTTTCTTAACCCTACCCACATTCTGCACGACACCTTGGATGGGGGATCAGCTCGTCGCAGGGCCGCTACCTGCCCACAGAACAACACAAACAGAATAAACGCACACAGACATCCATGCCTCGAGTGAGATTCAAACCCACGACCCCAGTGTTCAAGTGGGCGAAGACGGTTCATGCCTTAGACAGGGCGGCTGATGTGATCGGCTTTTTGCTGTCATGGTGTCCATTACTTATCAATCATCCAGACACTTTATGCAACAATGTAACTGCAAGCGCTGGAACTGTTGTTTGATCCTGTAATGCCTGCAACAGCGCGATTGCTGTGACCGGATGTTGCCTCATTCTTGCTACTCTCTCCTTGATCCTAGTTTTAATAATGGCGCTGGTGTAACAGTTGCCTGGGAATTCCACGTCATTAATTGTGACGAAGCTTTGAGAAAGTTGATCTGTATTTTATTGCGGGGCATTACCTTGGGCAGCCCCCTGTATGGTGCGCTGTAAACGCTAGATAAGTCATAGACAACAGTGTTCTTTTACACTAAATTAAACTCAGCCAATTTCGCATTGCCGCTAATTGGAAGTATCTAGACCTAACATGTGGTTCAGCAGGGGCGCACTTACGCGTAAATGCGCAGTTTCTACCAGTTTCCGGGTGCCATGAGGCAAGGCTCTCCATGAGCTTCTTACAAACTAAATATCATCGCTACAGACTTCCTAGAAATTCATGAAGCTACTTTTCATGCCATATTAAAAGCAAGGAAATCTGAAATCACTGAACTACTTTCTCGATATTGAGGCTTTGCATGTTGGTGGGAGCAGGCGTGTAGGGACGGGGAGTCCCTGAGAGGGTCAGCAAATGGAAATGAACAGACAGTTCAGTAACATCTGGTCAGTAGCAGGCAGACAACATAAGGCCGTTTAACTTTCACAGTCGTACCTTTGGCGATGCTCTCTTGCTTGGCCCCCACGAGCCTCACAGTAGCAGAGGAAAGGGTGGGCGACCGCAGGGCCAGCGTCGCCTCCAGAAAAGTATCGTCGTCATCCAGGCAAAACGTTTCACAGGCAACCTGAGTTCGAATCCAGCAGACATCATACAAGAGATAATCTTAGTATGTTTGTAAGCACTGTGTCCAAAATAACCTGTACAGAAACAATGTACGTACCTACACAATGTGCGGCTGGCGAAAAAATGACGGCTTTATGAATTTCACTGAAATTTATCTAAGCTGTATACTCGTATATCATAGCTAACTTATCGCCAGCCGACATTTCTTAAATAATTCAGTTCTGAAACTAACCTGGAGCACCATCTATGTTTGTAAGACCTCACGTTCAAGATTTCTAAGCAATGGGCAAAGGACGAGGTCCAAGCATAGATAGCAGCCCAAAACAGTATAGTATTGTCACGTGATACAGTGACTATAGACGGGATTTGGATTGGTAATTGGACTTACTGAACATTAACAGATGGTAACTACAAGTAACTTTAGTGTTATCGCTAATTGACACACTCCCCAGTTCACTACAGCACGCACTAGGCGTTCTCAGTCTGCTGTGTCTTCACTACTCGCTGGCTGGTAACAGCTTCCAACACGGTAGCTTCCTCGGTTCCCATGTTCACGACCTTACTGCCCGGCGACTGTCTCACAACTGACTAAACTCTATACTTGTCCTGCTTATAACATCTCGGCACGGAGCTTACAGAAAAGCCTCTCTCAGCAGCTTCTCCAAAGTTGCGCCACGCAGCTGTCGCACGGACAGCCGAGATAACGCCACTTCTCAGTTAGACCATTGATGTGTGTTGGGAACCTGTTGCAGCCATTACTTAGCAACGGCCATTGTTTACAGAGTCATTACTTATCAACGGGTTTACGTGATACATTATATACAAATAAATCACCTTATTAAATAAAATAACAAAATATGGACATTGGAATCTTGAGAAACCAAATGAAAATAACAAAGGCTAACAATATTTGTATGTACCTCAGCACAAAACATAATATAGTGTCACGCGTAGGGGCTACGCGTGACGAAAATAAGGGGCTAATAGTTAAGGTGATTGGGTTCATTAGCACTTCGATTACACTCTCTCTCTTAATTACACTTAAATGCTGCGCTATTGTTGATTTACACAATTTACAGTTCACCGTTGCACACACACACACACACACACACTATAATTCTCAGTCTTCACTATTCGTCTCTTGGCAACGGCTCTCAACAGAGAAACTAGCACTTCAAATCACTGTGAAGTCCTCTTATTATTTCTTGTTCAATCACCCTGTACTCCTCTGTCCTAATCTGTACTCAACTGATCTTCACAATTCACTAAGGACACGACCCATTCTCGCTCTTGTACTGTCAACAGCTGAACCCTTCTGGACTCTCCTTAGCCAAGTTAAAGTCAGTCACATTGCGACTGACGGTCAGTCAGTCAGTCAGTCTTGGTGCCGAGCCCCATCTGGGGCTCATGACCAGATATATTTTACTCTTTGACAGTTACGGTCTTGTTATTGTGGGGCGCCCTCTCTGATGAGAGGACATGTCGCAAGCGGACTCGTGTTATATAGCCGCAGCAAGGGCAAGGCAGAAAATACAGTTTCATTGTTGCGTAGCGCAGACCACACAGAAAATAAGTCTCGTCATAGTTATGACGCCAGTCCATTGGCGCGCTGACTGTTGTCTAGCAACGAGCGATAATCATTCGTCCTATTGTTGCGTGCGCTTATCGCGGGGTGTTTATCGAGCCGTTGCCTGACGTTTTCAATGTTAAAAATATGAATTATTACATTCACATTACCTACGTTTTAACATGTCGGATGACGCTAAAGGTGAATTTGTAAAATCCATAGAATGTCCACAAAATGCTAGAGATTGAAATCCATTAGATGATCATGTTTCGGAGTGAAATTCAGCAGGCCGCGTAGTGAGAACAGTCTTGAGAGTCACTGGAGGTACGGCGACCTCTCGTAACACAAACCATTTACCAACGGAAAAGATGGATAACAGTAAAGATTTCCTGCGTTTAATTAATTAGACAGCACGGTATAAAGACGGACGGGAAATGGGTGTATAGCTCCACCATTCTTGACCTCGGCAGTAGATGGGGGTAAGCAGTAAGCTTCACAGCTGACCTGGATGCAGTGTAGAAGAGAAAAATATCTTGCCGTTGCCGGGAACAGAACATCAGTTCCTCCTCGGGCATCCTATCCGTAGTCCGTCGCTATATCCAACTTCCGAATTATACATGTAGGTAATTAGGAATGAATTTCTCTGTAATCAGGAAGACTATAGCAAATAGGATTCCTGTATTACTGTTTTCAGTATACCGTTGCTTTCGGCGGACCGTTTTCTAGCTGTTTGCAATTGATTCTGCAAAATATTGCAACCCGGAGCTTAAACACGTTTGTACACTGGAATAAAAGGGCATTTACGCGAAGTGAATCAGACGGCTCAGCCTCATTATGCTTTTATTCTTCACAGTGTTTACACATTTTCACGGATTCCCCGCTGCCGGGCTCCATTACCGCTGACTAACTCGTTCCTTTAAAAGATTCCCTGTAGTCAAGGGCAACCGTACGTTGAAGCCGCAAAAAAAGAGGGGCTATCACATTCCATGCCGTTTCCAATTAAAACTGTGACAGAATTATATAAAGAATATCCACTTTTAATACTCAAAACGTGATAAATCTTCTCCGTAACAAATCAACATAATGAATCTTCTATACACATCGTAATGTGTACTTCAAAATGTACGAGTAGCAATCTCATTCAAATCTACAGGGCCGTTAAATTTCACTATTCTTAAACGTTTTTCTTTTGCGACATTCTATATATGAAGAAAGCAGTCTTCTGNCCTATATATGATTGCACAACTCAACATCAAAATAAAAATGCACAATAAAAACTTCAGTGAACAGGGTTACACGCCCGATCACACCAGTGCAAGAGCAGAAGCATCTGGACAAAGCAGACCGCGAGAGAATCACGTCCAGTGCATAGCAACGTCTAGTCCTATCCATATATCACAACACAAACATTTAGATTCGAACTTTACTCACACTGAAGACTTCTGGGGCCCACTTGCGGAAGGTCTGCTCCTGGCCACACATCTCGTCCCCCTGGGACAGTTTGAGCAGCCGCTCACCTCCGAGTTCTCCCAGAAGATTGTCCACATACTTGCCAAAGGCGCAGAAGTTAGGGTAAGCACTTGACCCGAGCGCAAACACGGCAAACCTTCATGGAAACAACATAAGCAGCAAATCCTGGTTCATTGCATTACTGATACATGCTAAAATTAAAAACAAACGGTATTATAAAGAAATCGGTCTTCTGGGATGTGGCGCCGTGTAGATATTGTGTTGACGGAGGTTTCGGAGGAAAGTCGGTTAACACAATATCTACACGGCGCCACATCCCAGAAGACTGCTTTCTTCACAGTTACCGCCGTGAAAACCTCAAATCTTACAAACGGTATTATACTTCAAGGTTGATCAAGAGGGTGGATCTCCCGCTATGCGCGAAGTCCCTCAGAAAATAAATAGGGTACCCTGTTTTGATTTGTCTCATTCTGGTCCGTCACACTATTAATTACAAAGTGGATAATTTTCAGTACAGTGTGACATACAAGTTTACAACACTTCAGTCTTTATTCAGGGTACTCTGTATTTAGTTTCCTCTATTCAAAATTCCAGTACAGGAACTCGGCTAACAAGATTACGGTAACAAACAGAAAAGTGACTTCTTAAATTAATTCTACTCGTAACCTCCTGATTCCAAATCCGGACACAATTTGGATCACGTCACAATTTTGTGCGTTGAATTCTGAGCTAGCACAAATGCCTTTCCACTCTTGTGTATTTTTCTTGGTGTTCTTACAATTTGTCTCCTATAATTTATGTGAAATACGATTTTTATTAGTGAATACAATTGTGTAGTTTAAATAACATGATTACTTCAAATTGCGTAAGCCTAATAAGAGGCATGCTCCTCATATCCTGCACACAGGAACAAACGTAACTTCTCGACTGCCACTTTTTTGATCAGAACGTGCATTTCGAAAACAGCCTGCTGAAAGGTTTAAAAATAAATGCCTCAAAATTGTCGTACAATTGAAGTACATAATTTGCCCTTTAAGAAAATTATTTCAGCTTTCTGCCAGTCACAGTGGGTAGCCGCCAAAGTGTCTGAAGGGGCAGACGTCTGCAACCGTCAATGTATGCCAGTGGGTTAGCTACTGGGTAACTTAAATACACTCTATCAATTCCAGAGGTTATTTAAGGCTAAATGACTCAGTAACTATCTGTATCATTTACTTGCTTTCTCAGCTATTCATCCATTAAGTAATTCACTAATGCAATCGCCAATTCACTAACTCCATGGAGCTAAGCCCTTCTTGAGAAGTCGCCAGTTGTGCAGATACTAAGAACTTCGCACTTTTTGATGGAACCCGAAAGTTCATTGCCGTTTAAAAGAGTTCTCCACTGGTCCCTATCCTGAGCCAGATCAACCCAGTCAATACCACCCCCACATATCTCCCGAAGATCAATAATTTACTTACCAACTCATCTAGTCACTCACTAAATGACTCTATCATTTAGCAACTTACTCACTCAGTCGCTCAGTTGCCTATTCAACCACAGGACCGGTTCTGTGTAGAACTTTTGGTGAAGTATTCGTAACTTCCTTTCATGGGAAGTGCTTTGTAGCAAGTCAGTCGGCATTCACAGCAGTAAAAGCTGTGGTAACAATGGCACTGCTGTTCTCTGGACCCGAGTTCACAGCCTGACTGAAGGACACTTGCATAATTGCATGTCATTTCGACATTTTGCTTCCGCATGGAGCCGCCCAATTACGCAAACAGTAGCAGGAGATCAATCACTCATCAATGAAACTTGATGATCGGCTGTAATCAAACTAATGGATCGGACTGTTTTGTAAGTTGGGGGGGGGGGGAATAACAAGTGACACGGGCGGTTCCACCATAGCGTGTTCTCATTTGCTTTCGACATCGCACATTCAATGAGACCTCACTACCGTCAGCTCTTATCCCATCCGGAGCAATCCCAAATGGCGTCAAGACAGACATTATTTCTCAAAACTTCATCATAATCATGACATGAAAACGTTATGCTCTGTGCCGAAAGCCGCCAGTGGCGTGGCAGTTGTCAGAACATTTCCACGTCGTGTTCAGATTGCCGCAATCAGTGGTCACAAGTTCCTTGAAGGTGTTTGTAATGTTCGCCTCTCCACGTGGCCGCTTGGTTCACCTGTGTCGTGTCGCCGCCCCTGATACGTTCGCACTCCTGCAAAGCACAACTAAACTGCCGCCCATTTCCCCAGGCCTAAGTATATACCGACATCAAGATTCGCCATTTTTAGCCTACTGTCCTTATTTTGAAAAAAAAGTAGAAGTACGCCCATGCGATCACAGTCCTGTCTGTGTGTCTGTGTATCCCCCCATTAACTTTTGAATAGTCGAACCATTCTTTATGAAATTTGGTATGTATATCATGACACCTGAGTTCATCTGAACGGCGTAGTTCATAGACACCTCCCACGAGTATCTAGCTATATGTATACACCCCCCCCCCTGTAGTTTGTAGGCAATGGCTCAGTAAAAACGTTACCGCGGCAATGAATATAGAAGCAAGAATAGAATTGTTGGACGCGTCGTTTTCTGTGCTGTCCTTGTCGTATCAAAGGAAAGCAGACGATCAGTTCTTCCCACAACTTCTTGTAATAACATAGGCCTAGCAGAAAGAACATGCCGGTCACAGTCGCCGCGCAGTCTAAGGCATGAGCTGTCTTCGCTCGCTCGGACGCTGGGATCGTGGGTTCGAATCCCACTCGAAGTATGGATGTTTACAGAGATACCGCGTTCATTAACCAACTGTTCCCTATGAAATCAAGATTTTAGCGAATATGCACTGTATCAACAATGGGAGTTTTGTTTTCAGCAAAGATGGAGCCTTCAATGCCGACTGAAGAACGTGTACATGTCACTGTCACCTAGTGGTTCAATTCGTAAGTATTTTTAAGAACAAAGACTTCTGCATAAGGACCATCTGGCCGTCATGTACGAGTATGTTGCGTCAAGGCTGATCACGAACAGGACAAGTAGTTGTGTAAACGCGCGTGAAATTCAACAGAACGGTGAAGACTGTAAGGTGAGTGTCTTTCACCGGGCTGCTTAGTTTCACCGAATTCACACAATATCAGCCCAGTTAATCTTGCCTTCAGACCCCCCCCCCTCTTCTCCCTCCTTTTGTTGTTCCTCGTTTCGTTTTTCCTTCTGCCATACGTTTTTATGCACCACGCTTTATTTCGATAAGAGTTTAACTTTAGTACGTTCTATTGCGTTATATGCAGCAATGGGTTGTTATATAAAATTGAGGCCGGCAGCCATTTTGATTCCCCACGCAATGATGACACAATATGGCAGGGAACATTAGTTATCTCCAGACCAACGAACTCCCTTACTTACAGCCGTCACACGCAAATGAAATTACTCTGGCAGAGAAGGCAATTACAGGAAGACACCTGCCATTGCATGCCAGATGATGCAACTCGCGTCAGAAGTGATCACTACGTGCACTTCGTGTTCACACCCACTGTTTCCAGGGTTTGCAAGAGACTGCAGTGAGACAATGCCTGAGCAGCCCTCCACGACTTGGCGGCTGCCAGCTCACGGTCATGTTTTTAAATCGCGTTAGCTGGAAACGTCTTAGCCACGTACGTGATTCAATTAAGCGCTTCAACAGTGGGAAGACTCTTAGGCGGCCCATACACGTACGAATCTTGCTCGCGAGTCCGGCTTGGCGAGGAGCCGGGCTCGGATTAATTTAACCACACATGCACGAGTTTGGCTCATTGGAACCCGAGTCGAGTAGGACTCGCGAGCCAGACTTGTTCGTGTATGGGCCCCCCCCTAGGTTTAGTGAGCATAGTTCTATTCTGAGAGTACTCGGTTTGAATCTAGGCCGAGAGACATATCATCTTGACTGAGGCATTCGAAGTTTTCCTCAGTCCCACCAGGAACATGCTAGAAAGGCAAGTATACCTTAAAATAGGCCACGATTGCTTCATTCTACATTGTATCCAATTAAATATTCACTATTACCTAAAAATTCAAAGTTATATACGTCACTGGCGTCGTAAAATTACAAACAAACAAACAGAAGAAACTTCTGGTCGAGCGAATTAACTATACACTAAAACCAAGAGCATGTAAACGGAAAATTTAGCTTCCTACAGGTGGCACCACTGCCGGGAATAGCCTCTGAAACACGTGGTCAGCTCTTAATTACAGTCTGCATCGCTTATATCCATTCCTTACAGATTAATACAGGGTACATTTGGAATATGTTTGCTTTGTATTCGAGAGGGCGCTAGTTCGAATTCCAGTCGCGAAGGCTGTCATACTGTATTATCGTTTTGTGATTCCCCGCGGTCAGTGGAGCCCTACAGAATCGAATATAATACAAGCAGTACTGTGTACTTTCAAACAGAAGATTTTGTGTGTTATATTAATAAATACACGAGGAAATGTAAGGCTCAGAAAGTAGACCTTAATATTTCTATCCATTAAATGGGTCCCTTTTCACCATCACCAACTTACGGTTATATATTTATTTTTCATCCCAAATTATGCAAGGTTCGAATATACACTATGATACATCTACGTATGATTTTAGTGCGCTCACGCTAATTACGAATTCTCTGCGCGAAGTCTTTAGTACGAGCTGCGGCCACAGCTGATCCTAAAATCGTACTTACCACCCTACAAAGAAAAATAAATTAAAAAGCTTAGATATTTGGCGACGCGGTTGCGTGGTTGAGGCACTATGCTACAAGCCGGAAGGTCGCGGGTTCAAGTCCCGATGCGGTCATTGGATTTTTTCAATTTACCTAATCCTTCCAGCCGCACTATAGCCCTGGTGTCCACTCAGCCCCTAACAGAAATGAGTCCCAAGAATATTCTTGGAATGTTCTTGTGGTAAAGGGCGGTCGGCGCATAAGGCTGACAACCTTGCTGCCATCTATGAGCGGATTGTCTAGTAAATGTGGGAACCTCAACATCTCACAACCCTATGGGCCTCCACGGCCTGTTACAGGGATACCTTTATTTTTACTTTTTTGGCGCACTTGTTCACGTGAAATGCACTGAGAGTATGTTAGTTTTAGTACACAGACCACATTAAGCTCAACTGTACGCATCAGCGAAACATTATTTTCCTTTATCCATAATAACGAATAAATTAAGTTTCCAGGAAGCTACAAATGGTTACCTGGAAGTGCCAAGAGATGGCAGGACATGTTTCTTTTCGCTGGTGTATCACATAACGGAAACACAGGAAAGATGGCCAAGTTCAAAAGCGACGTCATCTTATTCAGAACGTGGCGGGGTTAATGTTCAATATCAGGGTAAGTGATTTAAAAGCATCACACTGTTATGCAACAGAAATCTACGTTTCACAATTCAAAAGGTCCACATTACATGCCTGTTATCTCACGACTAGAAATACAATGAATAAGCACAGAATGAAGAGGAAGCATACCTGACATTGCTGAGGGGCCCGAACGTGTCTTCTGCCATGACGTCACTGACGGAACCCCTGAGCGAGTCGAGGCGGTCCAGCTTCCGGTCTGCCTGTTGACCGGCAAGCTCCGTCTGGCTATTGGCTTTGATGAAGGACTTGGAAGTTGCCATGCTAAGTGGGTTAGAGAGCGGGTGGCATGCTGCGTGTTAGTTCGTAAGGTACACTGCTCTATGCGCATTAGTGCTGTCTCTGCTTCCACAGTGTTTACCATGAAACAGGGAGGGGGAAGTATGCCCTATAATTTTCAGACTGAGATATTACGTAGGCCTATACTGTGCCTTTTCGCACTCCACACACACACACCGCCTTAGAAACTGGCTTTATATGTACCATTTTGAGAAGAAACATACGCAGTACAATCAAATAGTTATGACAATATGCATATGGCAACACAACAAAAATTTCGTTAATTCTATTATTAAAATGGTTATGAAATGGTATGCTGACGAACATATGGAAGTGTTTTGAAATGAGGTGTTTGTTTCGTGTGTAACCGAAATGAGTAATGTAAACTGTGCTCTAGTTCAGAGGTGAAAATCCAGGGAAAAAGCAAACCGCATTAAGTCTTAATCTAATGCAGCTTTTTTGATAAAGGAAATTATGAGAATGACTAGCGTACAGTATACAATGGAAATGCGCACGAAGGAATATCCTTTTCGAATATAATGAGCACTTCTTGTTATCTCTAGAAATATTTCTCGGAAAAGTAAGTGCATATTAATTTCTCTGTGTTCTTTTCTGTCTGCATATTCTACTATTAGCTCCTACAAAAAAAATAATTATTAAATTTAAGGAACTTAAGGAACTTGATTGTTAATTATTAAAGTTTATTTGAAAAATGCAGGATAATACTGATATTTTTATTGAGCGATGTTTATGATATGGATGGTTGTTTATTGTATTTGTAAACCGTTCAATTAATTTTCTGAAACGATGTGTACAGATATTTGTTTTCCTTTTACCTTTCGAAGAGGGAGTCCACATTATATCCTAGCAATTACAGTAATGCGAAGTGCTTAATTACGATTAGGGAAAGATCGCCCTGCTCTGGACATCTCGCATCCTTGCAACTTTTATGTTGACCATGCCTAACATTAGTGGAAGAGGTGCAGGTGGGCCAGTTTCTTAAGACGTAAGTCTAAAATGCATTACAGAAGGGAGAGTTACACACAGCTTGGTGCAGCTACGATCAAATTTAAAGCCAATGATTTTAATTTACATTTAACCTCTTTAGAAAGAAATCTACACGTAAGATCTGAAAGCACAGTGAACCAATTATAAGAACAAATTTTAAAGGTAACTTTCACGTTTTTAAGATCTTCAGAGATTGGTACAGGGAAGCGAGCAATGCGCAACGCATGTACTGACTGATCTAAGTAACGAACAGGGTGCAAAAATACTTCCTTGACCCTTTAAACAGCGAAGCACATGTAGATATATTTTTAAGTCGGTTATTTTTTTTCCTTGGCACTACAGCCCCAGTGGGCCTAGGCGTACCTCCATGAACTTCTCAGTTCACTTCGGTTTTTCTAGATCTTACACATTCGGTAGGACTCCTTGGGCGAGTGATCAGCTCGTCGCAAGGCCTCTACCTGTAGACAAACACAGAAAAACGCACACAAACATCCACTCCCTGAGTGGGATTCGAACCCACGATCTCGGCTTCCGAGCGAGCGAAGACAGTGCATGCCTTAGACCGCTCGGCTACCGTGACCGGCTGGCGGCTATTACTTCCCAGAAATCACCCGTATCTGTGTTACAGAAATCAATTGGTTAATGTTGTTTAGAGAATCGGTTGCAATTTGTTACGATAATCAAACGAACCCCACACATATGACGTGTGCTCGTAATGCGTGTTATTTGTTAACCAAGCGTCTGCTCTATACTCCATTGAAGAAAAGGCGAGTTAAGTGGTGAGTGGAAATGATCGGCCGTGGCCTCTCTACTATTCATTTAAGGACACACTGAGCTCCCGTGTATAACAGCAAGTGAAGGGCCGTCCGAAAATCAGTCTTACGTTTTCAGCTTGCATAGTACGAGTACACACGGGTGCGACTATGTAATTCCCTTGCCTTCTCTTCTTTGGAGTATAGAAAGCGTAGTTAGCATTGCCTTAAAAAGGGTTAAGACAACACACATATATATAGAAACACAATTAAGGAACGAAACAGTATCATGAGAGTACATGAACCTATACATAAAGTACCCTATAAAATACAGAGTGATTCTAAATTATTGTCTGGGTTTCCATGGTCTCTAATTTTCCAACCTGACATGATAAGAAAGCGCGCTTGTTGAAGCTGGTTAGCAAACTGTATTATTGGCTCTACACGCAATAAAACTTTTTCAGTTAGGCTTTCATATTCTGTAAGCAGTTTTACTTTCTTTCCTCGATATACAAACTTAGGCCAATAATTTAGACTCACTCTGTGTCTCGTGACAAAGTTAACCCACGTCTAGTGGAAGACTTCGCTTACAGCTGTGAATGCCTTCCGCAGAAAGTAACTAATTACCTTACGACATAACCGTCATATGCTAATGTCTTCCGGGATGTTATAACGTGTAGTTTGGCATGCGTTAACCGACGTTTCCGAGGAACGTCTCGATGGAATTTTCAGGTTATAGCCTAGCAGATGTTTACTGATGTTTCGGAGGATAAACTGCAAATGAAGGTAGCGTCTTCCTCCGAAACGTCGATAAGTATCTACCAGACTACATGGCACCACATCATAAGAACCCGAAATCTCAGCTAGGCTCAAGTACCTGCAACTTCTCGGCTATACGCGAAACGTCGCTTACCTGAACTTGTCCGCGCCGTTGGTGACGCCTGCCGAGTCGTTCATCTTCATGGCGTAGAGGTTCTGCGCAAACACCTGGTGAACACAGCGCAGAGAGTGAGCACAAGTGAGCTGGGTGACACGACATCAGCCTTGTCAAAACAGCCCTTTCAAGTTCAAAATCTGTATATCACTGTGGCGTGTAGACCCGTTGTTAGGCAACAGCCGTTGGTAGGTAGCGGCTCCGCCAACAGACACGAACGCAATAATGTGAGGCGGTGGTTTCTACGCGGTCCGTACCGAGAAGTTGTGGAGTTGGTCAGTTAGTAATGAGTCAGTTGATGAGTTAGTTGAGTTAGTCAGGAAGCCGCTGCGGTTCATTCCTCGTGAGAGGTTGCTGTGAGAAGCCGGTAGCTGAGGCCGGGGAGATTTTTGGAACCCAGAGGAAGGGGAACATCTGCAGATGAAGGCCGCTACCCAGCAACGGCAGTGAAGACGCAATTATGGACATTAGTGTGTGTAGCAGTGTACTGTAAAGTATAGTCACGCGCTGTATCGAAGAGTCCAACAAATCCGGTCATCCATCCAAAATCCGTTTAGAGTCACATCCATACGCGCGACATTACGTGATTATAAATTCAGGGCCAACCTCACTGAAAACAGATCGATTCCCCACTACAAAACCGAACCGGTTAATACCGTTTAGGTACATAACTGCTACATATTGGGGAATGACATACAGTCCGTAAATACTCTGTGGGAAATGCAGACTTTTACCGTTAAAGAGTGTAATGCATACGCTGTAAAGAATTGATTTATGTTTACCTGGTAACGCCGTCGTGTGATTCATCGCCTGAAGGGGGATAATTGTTGGGGAATCTGGAAAGGAGGCAAAATAAGCTGCTGAAACGCGCTAACTGAACATTCCCGCTGGAGAAAATGGCCAAAACCACCGGTATCCTCATTCAAGGCAGTTGGCAGAACTGAAAGATTCGAACCCTGTACCTCCTGAATTGAAGTATATTGAGTTTCACTATGCCAACTTGCTCTGTCGTTTTTTCGTAAGGCAATTCATGGAATTAAAAAGACACATGAACGGAAACATCCGACAGACAGCCGGGCAATCTGTGCCAATGCAGTATTCTTCGTGTGGTTAAGGTCGCATGTCTGTATATAATTTTACAGAGACGTTATGGATACCGGGATATAAACACCGCATCGTGACAGTTTAATCTTCCGTACTGGAATCCTGAGCCCCTTTACACGCGTCTGTTGTCAGGGAGGGAGAGAAGGAACGTCGGGGAAGACGTTCTCTTCATTTACGCGTACGGTGATGATACGTGTTACGGAGAAGCGATCCATAGTAATTATAGGCTTAGCTGATAATTATGCGAAGCGGGGAATGACAACGCCTCAGTATCCGAGATTTTAGAAAGCTCAGTGAGCTTCCACATTCTCTCGAATTTTCTTTGGGTGTCGAAGCAGAACCTCACAGTCGCTTCAGTTATGAAGGACGTGCGTTTACTGATATAGACAGAAATGTGAAGGTGCATTACCAAGATCCCTAATGAAATTAACACGAAGTTTTATGATGGTATCCAATGGCACGAGTCTGTAGATAGTTGCACCAACAGCTGCTTCACTGGGGAGCCGGGATAACTCAGTATAGCGACTGGCTACGGGCTCGACGACCGAAAGATCGGGGTTCAAGTTCCATTAGGGGCAAGAATTTGCTCTTCTCCATGTCGCCCAGACCGGCTCTGGGGCCCACCCAGCCTCCTATCCAGTGGGTACACGGGGCTCTTTTCCCGGGGTTAAAGTGGCCCGGACGAGAAGCTGATCATTGATCTCCGACTATTGTTGAGGTCAAGAAAACGTGGATCTATACAACCACTGCGCAACACAGGGCAAATTTACCTTTGCACATGCCGGGGGGGGGACTACACACTGCTCGGGACATAACTGACAAAGGCGTTTCGAGTTAGTTCCTCTCCTGCCTTTAAGAGACCGGCTGTCATTTTACTGACGGGAATTTTATTTTATTTTGTGCACTTAGTATTAATGACGGCGGTTGGAGTCAAAACCGGAACTCACTGAACGCACGTTAACAAAGAGACCACTGGGACAGACCAAGATGATTGTTATAAAGTAAAGTAATTCCTTCCCTTAAAAGCCCTAACACATGAAGAAGTATGGGAGAGTGGAGGTGTAGCTCCAAGCATTTTTATCCTCGGCATTATAAACTGCCTGAAGTAGTCTTTATGAAACTCGATATGTATATCATGGCACCTAAGCCAATCTCAAAGGCGTGCTTCATAAATCCCTCACATCAGTCTGAGAGTCTGCACGTAAATCCCCCATTGTTGCTAGGCAACGGAGTAGTAAGAACGTTACCATGGTAATGAATACATGCGCAACAATAGAAGAATTCTTTGACCTGTAGTTCTCTATACGGTCTGTGTCGAATCAGAAGGAAGTAAGCGATCAGTTTTTCCCAGAACTTTTTATCAAAACAAGGAAAGTAGGCTAACAGAAGCAAATTGAAGTTGGAAATTAATTATAATGTGTTGGAGGTGGAGGCGGATGTGGTTGTCATGGCGATAATAATTAAAACATAAAAATTCTTTAGCTTAATATTTTCTATTTTCAATGAGATAATTTTGGTCAAATCTAAGTTCCATCTCGGGATGGGCACAGTACAGATCGCTTTCGGCGTCCCCGCGGCTGCGTCGCTCTGCTTACAGAGCGAAGCGAGAAGAAATCCACTCTAAGAGGAGCAGGGGATAACGGAACAAGGCTCAACTGGGATAGCGGCTGTACAGGCTATGTACGAAGTGTAAGTCCACTTGAGCCGCAGAGCATCGAACTTGTGAGTCAAACTTTAGTTCCAAAAATTTGTGTAGGTTTCGAAGCAGAACTTTCTTTGTACTCAAATGCAATCTTCAGAGATATCCTCGTATACACTACTGCCGGAGCACTCCATGTGCTTCAGAAACTTGGGAACTAAGGATTTCATTCTGGTCCACAAACATAGGCCAACGGGTGAAGCCTAACATTGCAATCAAGAAAGTCAAGAGCTGTGACAATTTAGACTTTTCACCGTTCACAACATCCACTGCTCAGTTCAGTGAAATTCAGTAACCGGATACAAAACAATAGAGTATATTATTCCATTTGAAAATGCAGGGTAGAAGTAAACATTTATTTTCATCCACGATTTAAAAGACGCCATATTTAACAGTGTTTGGATCCTGTATTATCAATGCGACATTTTTAATTTTGTACAGACGACAGATTAGCTTTTCTCTCTCCTCTTTTCAGTTATGTATTCGGATGTGCGTCTTCTAAAAATATGGACTTGAAAGGATTCTGACGATGGTGTATACTGTACTTCTTTTGGCTTCTTTGGACACTATCTATCGTCTGGTATGTAGAAGACAAAATACCACAACGTTTCGGAGACTGGATCTGTCTCCGTCCCGTGATTGAGGCTAGCTCTTTCTAACGGGCCCAACTGAGTAGGTTTATCCTGCCCTACCCACCTGAGGACGGAGGCAGATCCAGTCTCCGAAACGTTATGGTCTTTTGTCTTTTACATACCAGACGATGGATAGTGTCCAAAACAAGCCAAAAGAAGTAATGTAAAAATATGTTTACACATATTATGGGTAATTAATTTTATTGTATTTTATGGGACAAAAGGACGAAATTTACATTTTCCTCTTTCGTTTATCATTTTTAAAGTTTCAGAACGCAAGTTTATGCGAACACACTTTTGATTCATTGTGTGGTTACTACTTTAAATCCAACGGTTTCATTTTAAGGGACAGACGATAAAAGTAAACCTTTAAGCGAGAGGCACACTTGTTTCCCTGTTTATTTAATTAAGCACTGTGCCATGAATACATATGAGGGAGTGGAGGTATACCTACACAATTCTTGACCTCGGCTCTAGATGGAGATGAGTGGTCAGTTTCACGTCCCGGTCGCTTTGCCCCCGGAAAAAGCGACTGCGGTAACCATTGGATAGGAGGATGGGTGGATTTCAAAGTCGGTCTCAACGCTGTGGGGAAGCGAATGGAAACCGGACTGTCTAGCCCGTCACTGTACCAACTGAGCTATCCCAATTCCTAAAATAAACTTTCAACGACTTTATATATGAAGTTCTCTGACACACATTTTTGCTGTCCCGTGTCATTTTCCTTCCAACTTACTCTCTCCAAGGAGCGGAACTTCGGAAAATATCTTAAAATGTAAAATGGAAATTTTCATGGGATTTAAGCGCAAGACACTTTAAAGTGGCCATGGAATTTTTTTGGCCATTAAGAAAGTTCCATTTCCATATGATGCCCCACTGTGTTTGAGAACTGCTTTTCTTTTTTATTGTGACGTGTAGGGTGGTACGCGTGATGAAAATGACGGGTTCTATTTCGGATGATTGGATTTATTGGCACTTAGTCATTCTCCCTCTCTTAATTGCAATTAATAAAGCGCTATCGTTGATTTGCACCGTTTCCATTTCACCGTTGCACACGCACTAAGAGTAATAAATATCTGACCATGAGCCTCAGATGGGGCTCGACACCAAGACTTACTGATTGACTGTCCGTCAGTCGCAATGTGACTTTGACATTGACTTGAGTTGAGTTGAGTTCAGTTTCAAGTCAGAATAGTTCCCGTGGAGTGTCCAGTCCAAAGAAGGTGACAATGTGTCAGGCAGCGATTTGTGAACTGCTGTAACCAGTTGTATACAGGTCCAATAAATTCGATCATCAAATCCAAAACCTGTCTTATTAGTCACGCAAACCCGGGATACGCGACAATGTTATTACACAGTGGGGTACCTGAAGCACGATTAACTTGAACATAGCAATAAATCAGCATCAAGGGCCACACAAAGAACTGCAGTCAAGGGTTGAGTCTCGATATGTCTGATGTGAGCAGAAGTCGAACCAGTGCCTACCTCTCCGTTCTCCGGGGGATCTCCGTTACCGAAAGTGGACGTGACGACCAGCAGAAGAGCCTCGTGTTCGATGCTGCTCATGTCGTAGTCAGCCATGCAGTACACCTGCAACACGCCACAACACAACAGTGGGTCTCTGCTAAGGAACAGCTGTTCAAGACACAGCAAGCTGGAAAATGTCTTAACGGGTGCGGTGGTGATTTGTACGTGTAAATTGTGGAGATTAGCGATTGCAGCTATAATTTTTATTGCTAGTGGGGTGGGACTAAGTCCCTTCTACTGCGGCCACTTCTGGCCTACTGTACCAGCCCCAGATGATAGGTGAGGGTGATTGTGGAGCAATTGGTCGAATGAAGATTGGCAGGGGAAACCCAAGTACTTGGAGAAAACCTGCCCCAGCGCCACTTTGTCCACCAAAATCCCACTTGAACAGACCCCGGGATCGAACCCGAGCCGCCGCGGTGGGAAGCCAGCGACTAACTGCTTGAGCTATGGCGCTGCCTTTGCAGTTATAATTACATGTAGTTCCTACTTCTGTGTGTAAGTGGTCAGTAAATCCATGCACCAATCCATACCCTGTCTATAGTCACGCCACTAAATCGTAACAATATTATATTGCAGCATGTATGTGCACAGTCCTCGCCATCTTTGTGCAACTGCGTCGGTATATTAACATTCACACTTCATGAGGCGAAGACGTGTGAATATCGACGACGTTGCGCTTGCGCAAAGACGGCGAGGAGTGTGAACAGGATAACTTTTGTTATGCATAAACATGTACATATACAGAATTTGCGGGTTTCAGTGTTCATGTTGGTTCTGCTCTTGGATGTCTGCGCCGTGGGGATGCGGAAATGTTTCGGAAATATGTGCTGCCATCCTCCTTCAGGGTTGAAGTGAGCAGGGATATAAGACCAAGGAGCAGATCTAACGTCTTACAGAGCTGCAAAAATATTTTTGTTTCTGAAGCAAGACCCACCTGCGAGTTGAAAGCGTGTCCGAAGATCTCGCCCAACTTCTTGGCGTACATCTCCGATTTGCCTGTCTCGGTAGCGTACAGCACTGTGGCTTTGATTCGGCGAGACAGCGCCCGTCCGAACAGTTTGGACGTGAACTTCACTGCCCTGAACAGGAGAGGCACTACTGAACCGTTGCGTCAAGGAGGATGCCGTCGGTACGGGAGAAGTAATCATTCTAGGGGAAGGTAAAGTTACCCCTGTAACAGGATGTGAAGGCCCGTAGGGTTGTGAGACGTCGAGGTTCTCACATTTTCTCTAAAGATCGGCTCACAGATGGCGATAAGGTTGTCAGCCTTACGCGCCGGCCGGCCTTTATTCCCGGTACTCATTTCTGTTAGAAGTTGAACCGACACCAGGGCCATAGTTCGGCTGGAAGGATTAGGTAAATTACAAAAAATCCATCTCATCGGGACCAGAACCCGCGACCTTCCGGCTTCTAGCATAGTGTCTCAACCAAATACGCTACAATGTGCCCCCTTCTAAGGGAAGGCGATTCCAAAATCAAAACCCTTGCTTCCACGTTCATACTCAGTTGCTACAAATGATTCACCCGTTATACTGTCGTTTACAAAATGTAAATTAGGTCTCAACACGGTCTATGGCTTCCTTTTGAAATATGTTCGATTTGGTAAATATTTAATGAAATGAAAAGAAGAATAATTTGTAGTTCAGTTCACTGCTTTGGAAAACTTTTGAGTAAAACTCTTCATTCCAGCATAACATAATTTTCATAGGAGACAGATTTTGTGCGCGTTAACTTGGAGAACTTGCGGTGCTGCTTTCCTTCCAACTGTCTACAAATTGGAGTTACTGTGGCAGGGCTATGTGGTTTAGAAATAAGATAATCTAGCTTCTATAGCCCAGTTGCAAAACGCTTTCATCTTCCCCCCCCCCTTACCTGGCGATCTGTTTGAAGTGAAATTTCCTCCTCGGCTTCTTACTCTTCCCCTGCTCTCTGCCTTTCTTCCACTGATGGCTCTTCCAAGCCGCTTCCTGAAACAGGCAGCGAAACAAACTGAACACGCCTGACCAAAGCCGCTCCCTTAGACGCGAGGAAAGACAAATGACAGGAAATTGCAGCATTACCTTTCCATTCCATTAAATATTTGTTTTACCGAAATATGTTCTAAACAAATGTCTCAGATCGTAATAATCCTGCAGTTCACATCTCGTGCTGCAACTAATTCGCTCCATGACGGGCCATTTTTGAGAACTTTCAAAATTTCTATCTGAATTCCGTTTAAAAAGGAATTATACTGTATCAATATGATCGATATCTCGACGAGATCTCAGCTTGCCTGGTAATCATACGAGGGTTTCAGCTGATACAGCGCCATCTCCTGGTGAAAAACGGGAGTCACAGAGCCAGAGAGGGGTGGCACGATCCAGACCCAGTCTGCGGGACAGCCGTTCCTCAGGCGCAGCTCGTTCTCGTAATGTTTCATGAAGGACTCCGAGGCCGTGTGGTGGTCCACGACAGTCACGTTCCGCGACTGCGAACGAAATGGCGCTCTGCATAACTCAGAGGAGGGGCACCATTATGGAAGATAAAACCTGACAGATGCGGACAGAAGTGATCCTGGCCTGACTGCAAACCTTGCCCAGTATTTGGCTGGGACTTGGGGAAACAAAGCGTGTTACTCACTCACCTGCGTCTATAGTACAACTTAAACTGTTCGCAATCTCCGTTTTGTTTAAAATTACATTAAAGTTGCATCAATTACTTGACTAGTTGGGCGCATACAAGGGATATACTCCCACATAGTGAGAACGCATGCAAGATGGAGGGCACAAACGTGGACGCCGCAAAAGGAGAGAGAGTTCTGTTCTCAGACAAAGATATTCTATTGTGGAGAACTATATGAACAGCATGGAAAATTATTCACTTAAGCTCTAGTGCAGTGCGGCGGTTTCAAGAAGTGAACAACTGCCTCAAGATGGCCAAGTACGGCCGAAACATGTAGCGACTGATGTGCTTTTAATGTCATTTTAAATTAAAGAGGGATCGTGAAGAGTTTCAGGTTGCATTGAAGGCGGGGGTGAATGAGTGAGTGGTATATGGATGCAACTTGTTTGCTCAAATATAATATTAAAGCATGATACTTACCACAACTTCCCTCTGAGCTTGATATCAAGCCTGGATCCCCAGAACATAACATAGGAGTTCTAAACTTGGGGAAAATATCGTGTGCCATGTGATACGTTCTGCGTTATAGTTCGTTTTGGGATGGCAGATATCCGGCTGTAAACTTGTAACTTTTGTTACTTTACTGCAATTATGAATCGCCATGTTTCAAGCCGACACAGCGAGCGAGTTGTTATTACCTGAAAACTATGCAGAACTGCGAGGTTTATCTCGACGAGAGCTTTATCCTTCCACAGAGTGACTGGAGTCCGTGTGTCGAGACCCATTCGCACTGCCACAATCTGAAACCACGCAACAGGCTTCAGTTTCAGGCCAACACAACATAAGCCAGTGCTGGCTGCTGCAACTGCACTAGCTGCAAACAAACGTTGCTGCTTGATATTATCTCACAAATTCACATTGATCTTCATGTAAAATCAAAATTATTTTTGTTCCATTTTAATTAAAATTTACTTATATAATAAAGTTGAGTAATCATGCGCAGTATCAAATTTCAACGAAATCCCTTGTGCGGTTTTGGAGCGCCTACACACAGGACAAAGAGCCGACGCGACTAGGGACAAAACTGAGAACGCGCCTTGGCAGGTCTCCTGAAAAGTTCGCATGCTGTTTAACGATATAATCTTAAGATATTATTTAGCATCAAGTCACATACGGTATAACATCGGGACAAAAAATCGTGTAATCCGTTGAAAATAAGCCGACGTTTCGGAGGGAAATTTCGCTTCCATCCTCAGGGTTGAACAATAAGCCAAGCAAGACACCAGTATGAAACAGTCATTCCAAGTTTAAATTTGCTTCCGCGTCTTCAACAGACTCCCCCCCGCTGTGAGAACCTCAAATCCTGCATGAGTTTATGGTCCCGTTCTATGAATTTTACAGAACTGGGGAGAAATGAGTCGTTGTCCACTTCAATGGGCAACAATATACCTCAGCCAGGATACTCGAAGCCCCACTTAACGTATATAAGTAAAGTAAAGTCAAAGTAAAGTAAAGCTATCCCTGTAACAGGCCGTGAAGGCCCATAGGGTTGTGAGAAGTTAACGGTCCCACATTATCTAGACAATCGGCTCAAAGATGGCGGTAAGGTTGTCAGCCTTACGCGCCGGCCGCGCTTCACTCCCCAGGAAAATTATTTAATTAATTCCTGGTACTCATTTCTGTTAGAGGCTGAGTAAACCCCAGGGCCTAGTGCGGCCGAAAGGATTAGGTCAATTGAAAAAAATCCAATGACCTCATCGGGACTTGTACTCGCGACCTTCCGGCTTGTAGCATAGTACCTTAACCACTAAGTATTTCTTTATTGCTAGTGGGGTGGGACCAAGTTCCTTGTACTGCGGCCAATTCTGGCCTATTGTACCAGCCCCAGATGATAGGTGAGGGTGATTGTGGAGCAATTGGTGGACTGAAGATTGGCAGGAAAAACCGAAGTACTCGGAGAAAACCCGCTCCAGCGCCAATTTGTCCACCACAAATCCCACTTGACCAGACCCGGGATCGAACCCGGGCCGCCGCGGTGGGAAGCCAGCGACTAACCAATTGAGCTACGGCGCGGCCCACCATATATAAGTAAATAAGCAGTGAAAACAACGGGAAAAGAATACAGAAAATCTGAAACATATAACAACACAAACAAACAGACAAGATTATAAAACTCAGCCCCAAGCATTATCGGTGGAGCCAGCTTGATCGGTAAACTAAATATATTGTGAATTGAAGACGTTGAATATGTCAACGTTAATTAGGTCTGGGGTTTCTGGGTATGAAGACTGCAATCTTTTTGGATGAGAAACCGTATGGTTTGGTATAAGTCCACTAAGATTTGTGAGGAAAGTACCATTTCCGTTTTCCATCCTTTATGAGGAGGCAGGACGTTCCTCCGAAACGTCGCCTCAGACTGACCTCGAGCATGTTGAGGCGGTGGGCGTCACACAGATTCCTGCAGCCGATCTCAGTGCTCATGTACCAGCCGTTGAAGGGGGCCGCTGTGAACTCGAGACCTCCACAGTCGAATAACATGTTAGCAACAGCGGGGAGCGCGTACCAGCGCAGGTCCAGCTTCTCGAACCACTCGAACCTGCGCATTGACAAGCACGGCTTAAGTGACTGCGTTTATCGAACTCGAAGAGAGAATTGCACATTTCCCAGCTTTACCAGCGGTTTCCACAAAGAAGCTAACTACACATCACAGTTTTTGAGAGGCACTCTGTGAACCACGACTTCACTAAATATTCGTAGCTGCAGTACCGACTCAAGCATAGGAACATTTCACTGCCGTTTATTCCTACACATTCTGTTCCTGCTGTTTGTTACCAGTGGCTCCGGACAGCTTTACCTGTCACTTTATTGTGCCCGCGCTCTCTATTTGAAGAATGCCGTCTTCTGGGATGTGGCGCCGTGTAGATACCACGTATATTATGAACCGACGTTTCGGAAGAAAGTATCGCCTCCATCTTCGGGGTAGAAGAAAAAGAAAGAAAAATCCGCAGGTGGCCACGCGCTCACGCTCGTTTCTCGCTCGAGGATTTTTCTTCCTTCTTCTTCTACTCTGAAGATGGAGGCGATACTTTCCTCCGAAACGTCGGTATATACTATACGAGTATATACACGGCGCCACATCCCAAAAGACGGCATTCTTCATAGTCACCGCCGTGAAAACCTCAGCTCTTACGCATTCTCTATTTACTTGTAGCCTAGACTTCTGCGTAAACGGGCGATAATCTCGGACATTCTGACAACACAACGAGGCACATCGACTTTCCTGAAACTTTAGTTTCTGAAGTCTGTGAATTCCCAAAAGGCCCCCATGTCAGAATTCTCAGCTCTCAGAAATGAATGGCCGTTCGGCGGTCATTTCCCAGGAATCCAGAAAGTACGATATTGAAACCAAATCATGTTTCTTTTGGCACAAGTTTAATATCGAAATTTCGTAAAATGTGACATATAAACCATGTATTTAGCGAATTATTTGATTTGTAGATCTGTACTTTTTTTGTGGATATCTCCCGAATTCTGGCATGTGGAAGAGTTGAGCATCAATGTAACACTCATACTGAAAAATGTATTAACACGTTCCTTCGCGACACGTTAAGGAGGGGAGTTCCTATTTATTTTATACTTGAAAATAACATAGCAATGTTCGATTTAGTAATATTAGTTGGTTTAGTTTACAATATGAAAATGTGTACCCATAAAGTAAAATTAATAAATACTTCCACTGATATAAAAATAAAAAATAAATATTCTATTTACAAGTTTGTAAGACAACGACGATCCTTAATCACAAGGAACAGAACAAGAAATGTATATGCGCTCATGAAATTTCTTCACCTGGCCGAGAGAAACTGGAGGGTTGAGTTGGCCACGGCATTTCGCACTGGCTGAGCCATGCATACTTACACGGGGTGGGACAGCGGGACCTGCAACACCAGCTCTGGCGGTATGTCGAAGTAGTCCGGGTCATGACCGTTAGCTGACAGCACCAGCGGAAGGATGTCCCATTTTGTCCTGGCACTCTTCCACCCGAGCTTCAGACACACCTGCATTTGCAGACACGAGATCATGACACATCCCCTGTGTTGCCTTGCACTTCATTAGCGTCCAACTGCGGGACGACTGATGAAATTAAAAGATGTGGAAGGATTCGTTTTTGGCCTAAATGACACACTGTCCAGTCATTTGCCTTGAGACACTAAGAGAAACCAAGAAATGCTTCAGCATAACGAATGTCCGGCTAAGATTCTAGTCGGGCGCTTACCGAATATTAGTTTCGAGCACTAATGCTGCGCCAACTTGCTGCGCAGTGTCTCTGGATCGTTACCATATTGTATACTTTCAAGAAACCACAAGATTTTTGTTTGATTACCGCTCGCAGAATGAAAACTGCTCGCTGCAGATCCCATTTACGCCCAAAAAACATTCTGTATCGATGGTGATGATTGTTCGGGTTCTGTAATAGCGATATAACTCGATCAGCTGAACTAACTGTTGCCTGCCAGGAGAATACTCTTCATAAAGGTTAGCCCTGTTCATGCTGGTTTTCAGGCAAGTTCGCGAGCGTCTAGTAAGATCGCCCTGTGCATCCGTCCGTACGCATGAAACAACTCTAGGATTGTTGTCAGGACCTCCCTGAAGCCCAATATTCAAGAGTTCTAACCAAGCGGACAAATGGATGGACATGCGTTTCAGAGCACAACTCGAGCGTAAATCGGCAATTATTTATCGGAGGGGAAAATGTTTCGAACAAACACTGAGGAGAAAAGTGGAAAACACGTTTCATGCCCTCACAGTTGTTCCGTAAGTCTTAGGGTTTTATGGATAATTAAACAAAAGTTGTTGCTCAATGCCCCGGAATTTTAAAACCATGTGACCATTTCCGAACTTGCATATTCAGCAACCAACAGTAGTTTTCCGAACACACACGAAGACTACCGAAGTCTCTCATTGTCGAAAATAATTAAACAAATATTCTTCTAGCTGTAACTATAGGTCTACATATGTAATTAAAATATAATTGAACGTGCCTATAGAATTGTTAATTTTAAAAGAAGATGGAGAAGTTCCTGCAAAAGATCCTTGTCACGCCTCCTCCTTTCTGTCATGAGTAGACTCCCTTTCCTGTGCCAGCAGTTTTAGTTCTCCCGTCCGGCCCCGTTTCCCCTTCCACAGCTCTCGCTCAAACTGGCCACTGCTATCCTCCGAGAGCCGCTTTTACCTGACCGCACGTTGGTACCCACTCACCAGACTATACGGCGTTACAGACAAGCTGATCACATAAATTATCTTTTAGTCTCCAGAGCCGACATCGATTGCAGCGCTCCAGCGAAAGCTGAGTTAGAACCTCAGACTAGGCAACAGCCGCCGCTTCCCAAAGCCTTGCCAGTTCACAATCCGCGCTTTACAGTCTGGGCTGCTGGAATAAGAGAAGGGAAGAGAAGAGAGGAGAGGATGCTAGTCAGTTTGGGCAGGATTCACATATTGCCCTAAGAGTGTATGGCAGTGAACGTGCTCGAACTGGCTCCAGTGGGTAGACAGGCCGCACTACACCCACCTCTGTGAACTCGACGTTCAGCGGGTCGCCAGTGACACCGCCGTCCGGGTTCTTGTAGCCCGCGTAGCTGATCAGTTGCGGGTTCCATACCTTGAAGTCGTGTCTCCCATCCGTCCTCTGAGGAAACACCGTAATCGCGGACCTGAAACAAACANGTAACTGAACGCAGCGGTGAGCTCGGGGTCTTGGCCAAGAGACAAGCTATCCTACGAGCGTTCATAGTTTTACTTAGTTGCTCTTGAGATAGTACGATGGATCCTACTCACAATCACCATACCATCCGACACGACATAAGACTATTGGAAAACATAACCTTACTGGACCAAGAACAAGACGCAATGAAAACTGCATGTGATTCGTTGCAGATTGATGCACAGGCATCCCGTTCTGTGTAGTTGTGGGAGCTGAGGGACGCTCTAGTCCCTTGGTTCTGTGGCCCTTAATGGAGCCTGCTGTGCCGGTCCCTGAAAATGAATGCGTGTGAAGCATTTTCAGGAACTGGCAACCGAGCCCTGAATTGGTTGGGGAGAAACCATTTCGTCCAGCACAAATCTCGCACGGACTACCGTGGAACTGAACCCAGGCCTCGGCAGTTACGGTATGACCTACACATGTACATTATATAGCACTGAAGGCGAGAACTGTGAAGTTCCTTAACTGCGCAATGCCAGGGTGTGCGCCGTTTGAGTGCGCACAATTTCCAGTTGGTATGTCGCTGTTTTAATGGTCAAGACTTTCTGCTTCGTTAAATGCCAACGACATGGAAGCACTGCCCTCGTAATACGGGCTGATGCGGACCTAAATAACCGACCCAGGGGACGATAAGTTTCTGTCATTTCCCCCCACCCCCAACCAGCTAAAACAGATAAACTTTCTCTAAACGTCCCCACGATTAATCACTTGAAACTTCCAGACACTCTGACGAAAGCAGCCATTTGTGTCGTGTTCCTTACACTGCCGCGCACTATCTTCATATTGCTGCCAATTAGCGGACATGATGTGAATTAGCAAACATTAATTTTCGTTTAATAAAAGTAAGGGAGAAATGTGTTTGTAAAATGACCGCCACATACATCTAAACCCCCCCCCCCCCAACTCCTGTTCTTCCTACATGTTCTCAGACTGCGCCAGAATAATTCTATTTCTTATTCTCCTGCTTAAAGGCTGTAATTGCGTGAGTACCAGATTCACATTGTCCGTGTGCCTTCATTGCATCTCATGCACAGTGCGGGGTGCAGCAAAACACTTAGTCCCTTAAATGACTCGTGGAACTAACGAAACGCTAAATATTCTTATTCATCACTAATTTCGCGGTCTGGAAATGAAATAATGACGTCACATAACATTTGTGTTACGTATCGCCCTGCTGTAATAACTTTATTCGTGGAAGAGTAAGCGGTTGCCTAGCAACGAAAGAATGGTGGGCCTAGGTCGGTTTATGCATTATGCTGTATATGGTCTCCTGGCAACTACCAGAGAGAGACAGAGAAGACGGAAATATAATTGGGGTGGTAAAGATTACTACATCGAGAATTACACATGATTGATGCACTTGCCTGATGTTTCCTTTGTTTGTGCTGTACTTTATGTGGTTACACAAAGCCTCGAACATGCCACTTGTAGTGGTGACGTAACGGCAGTCAAACACCTGCAACACATCAATAAACCATGCATGTAGGATCTAACTCTTCCTTTCTGTCTGTACCCAAAATCTTACAATACTTCATGTGTTTCCAGTGCCTTACAGGGGCGGCAACTTGTCTTACATGTGAGCAGAGCGTTTAGTCTAAAGAGACTAAGCAGTTGGGATAAATAGTTTGCAAAGTTTTGATAAAAAGAATGTCTAGGACTGGGCATCACAGGCATGCTCATAATTATTTCACGCGGGACTTTTTAGGATAGCCCAGTCACCATAGGCACTAGAACACGGGCCTGATGACCAAGGGAAAGCAATCCCATTCTCAAGACCGGCAAGAATAACTTTCTCTACAGTATTCTGACCCTGGGGCCCACCTAAAGGTGGATATTCAATCGCAAGGGAGTAAACCGGCCGGGGCGTGAAGCTGACCGCTCACTTTCTTCTAGTGCTGAGATTGGCAATGTCAACTTACCACGTGGCTTCGTGGGGCGGTATTTAATTAAGCACACGAAATTCTTTACTTTATTTAATAACACCGCAGTGAGCAAAATATGGCACTCCTATTAGAAATAAACGGGGAGGAAGACCAATTTGTCATGCAAAATCATACTGACGGCGCCGTACGCACTGCGCACCAATGGATGGGACCCTGGGTCGGTAGATGGATGTTTGGTTTTGAAACCTACTGGGCTACTTAGCACATGATGTATTGTTTGAATTATTAAATTAAGCTCCTTAGTCCTGCTGACGCAATCGAACAGCACATACTTGCGCCGCTAATGCGGTTTGTTGAGACACACGCCAGGGGGCTTTCTTGCGCCATTATCAACACATGTTGCGTCGAAGTTGCGGTTTGTTTGAACCTCCATTACATCCTTCAGGAAATTAATTTGACATGCGTATTGCTTTATGAAGTTTGATTATAGACAATAAATGTTTAATGCATTAATCTTTACACTATAATAGAACGCCGATTATCCGCATTATTTAGCGACAAATCTCATTATGATAATTGGATTTAATGCTTATCCATGGAAAACGTACTATTATAACGCTATTATAATGTACTGTACTATTATAATACTAAAAACCGAAAAACTTTTAAAACAGATGAAACGAAGAAATTGATAAATACAATTATAAATTAACATTTTCAGTCACTTTATATGAAAAGTCCAACTCAGTGAGTCCTCATTCCTCGGTTTTCGTGTTTCGGTTATTGGGCAGTTTGAATAACAGGCGTTCTACTGCATCTTCTTCATAATTACATTGATCTAGGTTACTGCTAGCCGCTTACAGTGGCCACTCCGTCTAAGACATGAACCATCTTCAGCCGCTCGAACACTGGGGTCGCGGTTTCGAATCCCACTCGAGGTAGGGATATCTGTCTGGGTTTATTCTGTGTTTGGCTTGTTCTGTGTGTGGGTAGAGGCCTTGCGATGGGCTGATCCCCGTTCCAAGGATTCCTACGAACTGAGTATGGATTAAGAAACTGAAAAAGCGGCCGAGGTCCAAAGGGCTGTAGAGCAATATAGAAAGAAAGAAACCAGCTTCGTAAATGTGTTACATAACAACAAACTTTGTCAAAAGACGCAGCATTGAAATCAGGTTCTGCAGTGCCTGCTAATTATGTAGTTTCTGAAATTCTGGCCAAAAAATAAAACCTGTCAGTGGGGAGAAATACTAAAAGGTGGTTGAAGCGCAGTTGCAGATATTGCATTTCCTGATAATAAGATAAGTTTCTAATGTTAGTTTATCACGACTGACGGTTCGAAGAAGAGCAGAAGCTCTTTCAAATAATATTGAAGAAAATTCAAAAGAGAACGAAAATCTTCCCCAGTCTTCTTTGGTAACGGAGGAAGAAGGAGACGTGACACCACAACTGGCTAATTTTGTTCGAGGAATAGACAATTGATTCATAGTAACAAAATAATTAGAATATCTAATGCCCATGAAAGGGGCAACTACAAGCGAATGTCTGCATGATGAAATCAGGAAGTGCTGCAGATTTTAATATTTCAGTTCAGCAATTAGTTTCAATGGATGGCGCACCATATAATGCCGAAAAGAACAGTAGATTTTCTTCGATTATTACGATAGACGTCAAAAATACAACAGGGCGCGAATTACTTATACATAATTTTTTTATACATCAAGACACTCCGTGTGTCAAATCCGCACAAATGGCTTAATGTTGTTACAGCTGCTGCGAAACTCAGCTAGCATGACGCGTCTCTGCGGCAAGATCCAAACCCACAACCTGCAACCACTTATCGGTGAAATTCGGCCTAGTTATGTACATTACCACTATCACCTGCAGCACCGCTGTTGCCACTATTCTGACTGTTGTATGGGAGGTTTCATGTGATGGGCCCTCATACAGGGTCACTCAAGTGAACGCAGTTTCCACAGATTCTTAAAATGTTTTCATCATGCAGTAACCATTTCACTGACACGTTTATTGGAAAATTTCCGTTTCGTGTTGTGTTTAAAAAACAACGTTTCGAAAGCTGACTTTGCTTCCGTCATCAGATGAAATTATGTAATATATAACGGTCTGTATGTAATCTGTTTCCGAACAGGGTGTTTTTAAACCAGAAACGACACGATGCGAACTGTCCACCCTGTAGCAGTTCAGTTATACATCTGCATTACAGACGTTTCGACGTAATTCGCTCAGTGGGGGGTGGAGTCCAACTGGGTCAACTCGGCACGGCGGCCACTGATTGGCCTATTGTAGCCTGCCCCTGGTGATTATGATGATGGAGAATTTGGTGGAATGAAGATTGGCAGGAGAAACTGAAGTACTCGGAGAAAACCGTCCCAGCGCCACTTTCTCCACCACAAATCTCACTTGAGGAGACCCGGGATCGAACCCGGGCCGCCGCGGTGGGAAGCCAGCGACTAACCGACGTTTCAACGTATGTTAAACCAACGTCTTTACACTCCGCGCATGCGCCTATTCCAGTTTTAAGATATTTTATTGTCTTACATGAGAGTACACTTCCGACATTTCTATCGCTTGCTTCCCTCCACATCTGTCTCTTTGTATGTGCACCCATGCGCTTACGTAAACAGGGTAATGCAAATAACAGGCCTGTAAAACGAAGATATATAAACCCTGTGTTCGCAGGAGTGACAGACCTCTACATTCACTCTATGCCACGCTTCTGAAATCAATTTATTAATTTTTAATTTATTATGTACATAATGCATATGAGGAAAAAATATTGTGACTATGAGAAATATGATGTTGATATTCGACGCAATTACAAGTTTTGGTCCCCTGTAAATGTGGTTTTCGGAGAGCCGTATATTTTTACGAGGTGCTATCGGAAAGTCCCAGGAATGTTAGTGTTGTAACTGCCTCAGTGAGAGAATATGAGAGAGGGGCTAAGGTTACAGTTCCGCAAGCCTAATGCATCAGTCTGCCACATGACACCGCGCTGTGAACATGCACTGTTTTTATAAGAGTGCTTGCGAAGAATGGTAAAATCGAGCAAAGTGTCTGCATCAAGTTTTGCGTGAAGCTCGGTAAATCCGCTACCGAAACCTTTGAAGTGTTTCGCGGGGCTTTTGAAGAACATCCATTAAGCCGGACAGCGGTTTTTGAATGGCATTCACGTTTCAAGGCCGGTCGAGTGTCAGCTGAAGATGACGAACGTTCAGGGAGACCAAGCACCAGCAAAACGACAGCAAATATTGGAAAAATTCGAGAACTTGTCATTGAAGACAGTCGCCGAACAATATATGAGCTCGCTGACACCGTTGAGATCAGTTATGGAGCTTGCCAGGAGATCTCAACAGAAAATCTGAACACGTGTCGCACTGCTCCTCCGTCACGACAACGCTCCTGACGCTCGGGGTCGACTGAGCCTCTAACAGAAATGGGTACCAGGAATCTTCCTGGGGTCAAGGGCGGCCGGCGCGTAAGGCTGACAAATCCGTTCTGAAACCGCAGTCAGTTTGGAGTGCCTGGCCCCTCTTCATCACACGATCGGCGTGCGCCCATCTGGACGTTGTTTCTAGTGCTCTAGCAGTATAATGCATAGATAATGGAATTTATGGCCGGCACATGACATATCGGCGGCGTCACTTCTCAGAGAGGAACCTGAGGCCAGACGTGGAATGAGGCGGCGCGAAACAAGAATATTAAACGGGGCGCTCTACTCCATCAATGCCTGAAAGATGGGGAGGGGGGTTGGTTTAGTAGCCGTTTGCTTTGCGAGTCTATAGGACGTTATAAGCAGTGACTTGGCTCCAGAAGATAAAGGGTCATTTTGCTTAAAATAGAATATTTATAGAACGGTCGTGTCTGGTATGCCTGTAGCAAATGCTGAGCCTTCGATACCCGGTATGAATGTCATGCCACAAGAGGCTAACGCACAATACGTCCATTAGGAACGAGAGCCAGTTGTAGCCTGATGAGAACTGCCGCGTTGCACACGGCCAGAAGGGAAGTCCCTAGCCGGCGTGCAGTCTGGATCCTCAACACAAAACGTAACTGAAACCCGGCGGGCGGACAAGTTTTTCCTTTAACTGCACTGCAGAATGGATACATAGAAGTAACGCTTTAAGAATAACACTACCTTCTGGGATGTAACGCCGTGTAGAGGTCCACCAGGAGCAAGCCAAGCAAGAAAGCAGCAGAAGTAGGCGAGCTGCTCTCTGCATACTCACTGCTGGTTTCTTGCTTGGCTTATTTTCCGAACATGTAGATAGAGGCAGTACAGTCCTCCGAAACATCGCGGAGTTTCTACACGGCGTTATATCCCAGGAGACAGTCGTCTTCATAGCCACCGTTGTGAGAACCTGACGGCTAATGTTTCTAATTTCTTTCTCTTATTATTATTGCTAATAATTCTTGTTTGTACTCCTAATGTTCTGTGTTATGTAGTTATTGTTACATCTCCTCATCTTCGTTTGTTTGTTTGTCTGTTAACTGTTATGCATTAATGTGTTTTTCCTCCAGTGCTTGCCTGTAATTTTTCTTTGACTTTATGTTGTGT